AAAAGTTGCAAACACTGGTCAATCGCAGTAGGGTGAAGACTATAGTTGCTATCGTGTAACTCCTCGTCATCGTTTATAATCGCAGTGGCCTGATGGGAAACGGGATCTGCTGTGATATCTTCCAATCCTCTAAATCGAGGGCCGTAGTCCAAACCCCGCTTATTCAATGCAGCATACCAGTAGTCTGCCTGTATTTGTCTAGCGAAAGGCTCAAGGCATGGAGTGGATTCGCATTCTTCTGCGTCGCCTGATCTCACCTGGCCAGTACAGTGCTTTTTCCAAACGCCGTCAGTGCAGGAACTGATAGTGAAATCGTACCACTTGGAATCGGCGCTATCCGTTAGTCGAACTGGCCGCAGGGAAGTGATAATTTCCAGGACCAAAGAATCTTGTAATATAAGGGCCGTCTTCATGAACAGGTTTCTAATTGAGTATTCGTCGGAGCCAGTAACCTGGCGAATAGCTTCTCCAACCAGGGCGATATAACCAGCGCATGGAAAGACAATTTCTTTATTCAGCCTATGATCCCAAATCCAAGGAATGTGTTCCACACGTAATAAGTTCCTCCATGTAGGCTCCAAATCACTTGATTCAAGGACACGCGAACCTAAGATCTCATGATGGGGATGTTGGCGATGCCTCCAACGCTGGGAGATTCGACTCTCTTCCCAATATCTCTGGCTGTGCTGCCATGCGTATGTTGGAAGGTTCGTTACCACTTTTCCTGGGCCGTTAATCGCCAAAAATCGAATAGAGCTGCCATTTATGTGCGCTCTCCCAGCGGCAGTCAGTAGATTTGTGACCTGATCTTCACCTCGAATAAGAGTGGGAATGTAAACAGCGTCAAGCTTAGGTGTATGGCTTTCTAATATTTGTCGGATGGGCCCAGAAAGAGCTGAGTGAGGACCAATCTCCAAGAATGTAGCGCTTCCTTCATTCTCACTGAAATATTTTTCGACGGCAGTGGAAAATAGGACGGGTGACACCAAATTTTCAACCCAATATGCAGAATCCAGCTGAGATGGCTTCACGACAGTCTTACCCGTTACACTGGAATAAAGTGGGACCATAGTACTGTTGAAAGTTATATAGGGCCGTATTAGTTCATTGTACGGCTTGGCCAAGGTCTGCATATGATCTATCGAGGTGTTAGTTTGCGCAAATCCATGTTAAAACAGTATAAGCAAAGTGTTCCAACACGGGCATTTCAACTTACGAGAGTGATATGCAATTTCTACGCGGAGTCGCCTGCAAAAGGTATCTTCCTCGGTGGATTGGATCCGATCAAGGATCTCGTCAAGCTTGTCCTTATCCCCAGAGAGCGTTACACTTCGGGGACTATTCTCGCAGGCAACAACCACACCCTGCATTAAATAACCCTTGGCTTTCTCTGGAGTAATGCCAACGGCAGCCATACCACCGTGCGGTTTCATCTCATCCTTGGTAATTGATTTTGCTAGCTGTCCGCGATAATAGGAAATGATAATGGCTGACTCCATGGTAATAGCGCCCGCAGCGTACGCAGCCGCGATCTCTCCGCTCGAATGGCCAATTACTCCGGCAGGAAGAATGCCCCATTGGCTCAGTAGATTCGTCACGCCAATTTGTACAGCAGTGCAGAGAGTTTGCGCAAATTCAGGCCCATCAACTCTGGTAGGGCTGCCAGGATTCAAAAGCTCCTCTAAGTAAAATGAGATTAATATGTGAACACACCACTCGGGGAGGCTCCATACCTTCTAGACTCCAGTCAGGGCGATGCACCAGTGTCTGCAACGCTCTGTCCATAACCCTAATGTCGTCACGGAAGCTATCAAATGCAGACAGTAGCTGTTTGCCCATACCTGGCCATTGCGCTCCTTGGCCGGTGAAGACAAATACCATGTTCTGGGACTTGGTAGATTGGGAGGTCTCGAAGTTTGCAGTGTCAATATTACCATCGTGCTTGAGGAGTGCAAACGCCCTGTGTTTCAAATGCTGTCTCCTAACACCCAAGGTAAAGCATATGTCGTCGGATAATTCTGGTCGCTTTTTTATATAGGTCCTCATGTTCCCGATCTGTTGTTGGAGTGAGTTTGATGAGTTTGCTGATAGAACGAGCAGCCGTGGTCCATCGTGTCTCGTTGATGTATGGTCATGACCGTTCTTCGTGGGCAAAAATGAGGAAGCGGATTCCAAGATTGCCTCGTCAAATCAGCAAGTGTTTAGACCAAATAAAACTTGGAACTTGTATCCTTACATGTACATTTGTTCCGCCAATTCCAAAACAGTTGACGCTAACTCGCTCGCTCCGATCCTGTGGCCAAGAAGTTGGTTCCACAGGCACTCGGAGCCCAGCACTTTCGAATGGTACTAAAATGAAGGCCCGTTAACATTCACTTTCCCTGACAATGCATTCAGATATTTACATGCCTTTCGGATTGGGACGGTTGAAATGGATGTTTGGCGGTATTATTTTATTTTCAAGGGCCAACGCCGCCTTGATAATGCCCGTTATCCCTGAGGCGCCTTCCGAGTGCCCTATATTGGGTTTTACCTAATTCGAGTAAGCCAAGAGGACCAATAAAATATGTAGGTCTTTCATGCTGTTGTTAATCAACTCACCGCCCCGATATAAACTCCCCCTCGTTCTCCAAAAAGGTTGGCAACCGCTGATAGCTCCGTGGTATCACCCATAACAGTTCCAGTACCGTGACATTCAAAAAAGGCAGTTTTGGAGATGTCATGAATCTTTGCCTGGCTGTAGGCCTGCCGTATGAGCAGTTCTTGAGTTTCTGCTCCAGGTGTTGTAATATTAGGCGTCCTCCCATCACAGTTCGTAGTGGTCGAGCGAATAACCGCACGAATAGGATCACCGTCTCTTACTGCATCTTCGAGCCTCTTAATATAAACCGCATTGATAGCCTCACCTCTCCCGTAGCCATCAGCTTCGGCGTCGAAAGATTTGCAGATCCCACTTGGTGAGAGTACCATGTTATCGGACATAGTCGTCGTCATCGTAGGAGCCAAAATAAGACTAGTCCCGGCGACAATGGCACCAGAACACTCTCTAGAGTATAGAGACTGGCATGCCTCATGCAAAGCAACCATAGAAGACGAACAAGCTGTCCGAAATGTGACACTTAAAGGAGTCAGCCAAAGGAACTTCGCGTGGACTTTAGAATCAATCCTTACCTAGGACCCTTTAGGTCATACTCGTAAGAGATGCGATTTGAAAGCGCAAAATCTCCTGTGCCAAGTGCTCGGATTCTATCAACATCTTGGGTATCTTTACATGACATATCCAGCCAATCTTCTCCAAAGGAGCCAACAAAACAGCCAATATCCTTCCCACGCCACCCAGTTTGGCCACCACTTTCTAGACACTCCCAGACGACTTCGAGAAGCAGTCTCTGTTGTGGGTCCAAATTGGAAGCTTCATATTTGCCCATTGAGAAGAACGATGCATCTATATATGCCGGATCCTCGTGTAAAAAGTAGCCATACTGTGTTTTGACTGATCCAGGTTTGGAGTTGTGGTAGAAACCATCGATATTAAAACGCGTCTCAGGAACCCGGCCACGCCCATCTCCTTTGGCAACCAAAAATTCCCAAAACTCCTCGGCAGAGGTGACACCTCCTGGAAGTCTCATCGCCATGCCCACGATTGCAATGGGGGGTGGAGCATCGCGCGCTTCGAGGCCGGCTTGGGCAGGCATAGTTGAATTGCCATTGGACTCGCCGTGGTGTAGACGATCCATACCGTCCGCTATCTTACTCTTTTCCACAAAATCTTCCATGGCAATTGAGCCCATCTTCAAAATAAAGGTATGTATTCCGTGGTCTGTCCTCGAAAACACGCGAATGTTTGTGAAGAACAGCTATCAAGACAGGCGCGAAACAAAATCCGAGGAATTACGGACTCTGCGGAAGATAACTCTGCTTTCTGAACGAGTTTGGTTTTAAATATGATAAGCTTGGCTGTACGCCGTACGGAGTACTCGATGTAGAGTATGAAGAAGAGAACGGTTTATCGGACACGGTTCCTCTTTCTTTTCATATCTCAAATGCCCAAAACCCGATAAAGTTTGGCATTTCGATATATGAGATGCTGCATGGAGAGTAGAGCGGCTGTTTTTGCTTTTGATAGGAAATTCTTACAGCTCAACCTGCATCTCCATGCAGAAAGCAGTTCACCCACTGGAATGGTATCATGATTAACCGAGCCATTGGTGGATGGGGCTGAGAGGATGTCCGCGACTATGTACGCCACAACGCATGAAACGCTTTGATGCTTCATGAATGGGTCAACTGAAATTTGAGTCCCTTCTGCAGTTCCCACTTCAAGACAGGCGCAAAGACGCTAAAACTGAGAGAGCTGAAGAGAATGGTGATAAATAAAAAAAGCAAAGAGTTGATGAAGGTAAACGAGATGAAGTTAAATAAGAGTTCCGCTCCTGGATTTGATAGGCCACCGCCATGCTTAGTCATGAAGTAGCTCTATCACATCGCGATCACGACCAACTAGCTGCTTATCATCTTCACTTCAGGCACCTGTCGTCACTTCAAGACACCTATCTTGACATACGGTTGGTACTCTGTAGTTATGAATTATACGGGGTATTGAGGAGCTATTCCGTACTATTCATAACTTAGCTGTACCCACCTTGGATGCCCGCGGATATGTGAAATCCCTTTTTATACCAGTGGATCATACGGAGTACTTCAGCCATTATTCGGTGGCTTGCAGGCTAATAACGGGGTTGAGCAATTCCAATCGCGTAAAGCATCACCTTCACTCCGTACTCCCCGAGATTTTATACCCAACTACATGACGGCGATCCAACTCCGGATCTTCGTTCTCAGCTGATGCCCGAAGATCTCCCGACCACCACAATGCCGAGCAATATTAATATCCCGAAGGAAGGATATATATCCCTACCCTCCATTTCCCACCCCTGATTGTCTCAAACTACCCTATACCTCCTCTACACAAGAAATTGTACATATTTTCGCTGCCCAACATGCTCCTCAAAAAAGCCATCCTTATTCCCCTCACCCTTTGCTTGGCCCCTTTCACCCAGGCGCTGAGCAAAGATGCCGACCTCGCAATCACCCACACTAAGGAGCTCACGGCAAGTTTCCAAGCCGTTGATACAGCTTTCAACAACTGGGGCGGCAATTTCATTGCGCTTCTTAAGCCTGTGAACTCTCTCCGGAACTTGCACACCGCCTACACGACTGCCACCGCAGACGCCAACAAGGCCCCTCAGTACACGAAGGAGGAGAGTGGCTTGATTGTGAAGAGTATGGAAACCGTGGCCAGTTCTGGTGACAAGGCCAATGAATCCCTTCTCAAGAAGGTAAGAAAGCTGTCATTATTTCTCTTCTCATATTCTAGCTCTTTTTCAACATCACTAACACATTACAGTTACAATGGGTGCGTGTGGCCAAGCTCGGATTCATTGCCGATGCTCTTTTGGAAGTTTTCAAGAAAGAGATAATGAGGTATCTGGATGCCATGGCCCCAAAACTGGACTCAGACTACGCTGCGGATATTCAGAAGTTCAAGTCTGCAGCGGACTCCTCATTCCAAAAGATATCTGATGGTCTCTCGGGCTAAGACATACCTTAACAATGAATCGATATGCATTATGAGCAAAGAGGAGTATTACGTCGAATATTAGCTCCGATAAAGAAGGGTTCTTTTTCATGTCAGGTATTGGCCGAAACAATTAAATTTATATCTAGGCCCCTCGGGCTTCTATTAAACAATTCACTCCAGGACTTACAAGAAAAATATTTGTGGCTGTTTTATGATTCAAATCGCCGGGTATGCTGTAGCTCTGATTCCTAACAATAGGATCACCGACCCTACCACAGAGTCGTAACTGGTTGGGTGTTACGTCTAACCTGTAGAATGATCTAATAAACGCCGGCTTTCTTGTGCACTCATCAAGATCGAATATCATAGTGTCACTGTAATGTGCGGCGGATCTTTGGGCCTATACACTCCCTACATAACCTAAAAGAGGCTCAAAGGATTTTACACAGTAAGACAATATTTGGCATAACTCGTTAATCTCTTCCGTTGAGCGAAGCTTCTAACCTAGCGGCATGATAACTAGTATTGCACCTAACAGGGCTCCCATTCGTCTAATAGCTTTAAATCGAGTGTTGAAAACTACATACTCAGGATATTAGGCTTAATATAGCCACCCTCTAGCTGCTCTAGAGCCTCGTTGCCTTAAGCCCCAACACAAACATGATACCGAAGCCATAGGTTGTTACAATCCTCCCCCACGTCTGGGTTCCATTTATTAAATTTGTCAACGGAAATCCTATATTTCCGAACAATGACATCACAGGTATTCCCATTCACGACCTTGTGCCATTTCTTGCACTTGCATATTGTGCCTGGTTGCGTTGGTGAGGGCATACCTGGGCTAGCGCACCCTGTTGGAGTTGGTTTAGAAGTCTTCGGTCTCGTGGTGGGAGTCCCAGGGATACCTATTCAACGACTGTTAATGTCTCGAGTATCATGACTCGTTGGTCCGGAAGATTCATACCAACACAGTAATAGTAGTTCAGCCAGAGGCCGGAACAATCATCTCCGACTGCAGGATTCCACTTGACAAACTCCCCTTGCGTGAATGTGCCATATTGGTTGATGATGCTGGCACAAGTATTACCTGATACCACTTTATACCACCGTTCACAGTTACTAGTAATGTCGGCCTGCCTTGGCCCTGGGGCTGAGGCTTTAGTAGACGTTGCAGTTGTATTCGACACGGTCGTGCTTGTGTTTGATACAGTAGTGTTCGAAATACCAGTCGGAGAGACGCCGGGCATCCCAAGAATGCCCACACAATAATAATAGCCCGTCCAAAGTCCTGAACAATCCTTTTCAACTGCTGGATTCCACTTGACAAATTGATCCAGTGTGATGGGTTTATATCGAGGTATAATTCTACCGCACGTGTCCCCGCTGATAGCTTGATAGAATTTTGTGCAAGATTCTACCAATCCAGCCTGTGTTGGTGATGGTGCCGGTAAACCGGTAGGAGTTTGTGACTCCGTCGTCGTCGTTGAGGTTTCCGTCATTGAAGTTTCTATCGTTGAGGAATCTAAGGTTGATGTTGTCTTCGTGGGAGCTTCAACACACACCGAAAGGCCTACTCGAAGGCCGCTACAATCGGGTTTTATTCCTGGGTTCTAGTTGGTTCCATTATCAATTTCATTGAATCCATTCATAGACTTGATGCTAACTTACCCATGCCAAGAAAACTTCATGGCTAAGCTCCCACAGCCTTTCAATTTTCTCACATGTATAACTCTTATCGGTGACTTCAAGGTACCAGGTACACTCCGAGTTTGTGCCCTTGTACGTCGGGCCGATAGGTTTCGAGCCATGTATTGCCGCCGCTGCTGCACTGATAAAGTGGGCCACGGCCAGACTTGACGCCTTCATCGTGATGTTTGGGGAAGCCCGTACTTAAGCGCGGGAACTCGTCCTTATATCAAGGATATGGGGCTATTTATAAAATTCTGGCTTCTTTATATGCAGAAGCCATTGAAAACCATGCTAGAGCAACCAATCGCGCGACCTCCCCACTTGTTTCTGCGATTCAATCCCCGTCTAAACTGTTGGTGCATTTTCCTCTGTGCCGCATTTCTGCCAACGTGGGAGTCACGGCTTCATTCGTGCAACAAAATTACTCTTGTTGGTTCGATTGTGACTGACTGCATCCGCAACCGGAGGTTCCTTATTCCGTTAACAGAGGATTTCCCCTAGAAATATCCTGTATAAGATAATGGGCTATAAGGAAATCATTGTTTCCGGAGGTACTATAGCTCGTCATTGCGATGTAAGATTGTACCCTTAGCTCTCAACATTGGAGGCATAGCCACCATTATCCAACAAGCAGCGTAGCAGTGACTTCACGTTTATGAATATAAGATCTGATCTATATTCCATTGCCGAGAGCTTGGTATCCGCTTCACTCTTTATATCATTATTTTTGTAAGGTTAGTGAGCAGTTAAGCAGTTATTTCTCGTAGTATCGGAACATTCATGAAGTTGATCTTTTTATATTCACGAAAAGTGAGAGTGGCACGTGACCAAACAGCTCCGAGCTCGAAAGTCTTGGCATATAAAATCACATGACCAGCGGATCTCAAATCTCATATCAGAAAGAAAGAGTTGATAAACGCGATGATGTCGACACAGAGCATTCAGAGCTCTATCCGACCCTGTGTTTTGCTGTTTTTCTGCTGTCTCATGGCTGGTGAGGTGAACTAAGGGACTAAAATACAACCATTGCCCGGCGCGTGAATAACCTTGAAAATATCACGCTTCCAAAACACTCTTCACAACCTAGCATACCCTTTGCGATAGCCTGCTGAGACATTATGGATGACCTTTACGACGAGTAAGTGTTACGGCCATAGAACGGAAGTGGATGGATACTAGATCCATAGCCATGCGCGGATTCGATGGTGAGCAACCGGTGCTAATTATATTCCTAGGTTCGGAAATTATATTGGAGGAGAGAAAGAGTCCGAGGAAGAATCACAGCATGGTGATGCCCAGGCCCCGCAGTTCGATTATGATCTTGAATCAGAGGTGGAAGCGCCGGCTGCCCATGGCCAGGAGTTAATGGAGATAGATGGTGAGGAAATACATTTGCAATTATATCTGCTATTTCCAGCTAACTCGTCGTGTATACAGATCAAGGTCCATCCAATGCAGTGATTCTTCACGAGGATAAACAGTACTATCCAACGGCGCAACAAGTTTACGGCGCAGATGTCGAGACAAAAGTACAAGAAGAGGATACGCAACCCTTGTCGCAACCGATTGTAGCACCAATCCAACAGAAGAAATTCGCTGTCCAGGAAGCGGATCTGCCCCCCGTTTTCTATTCCCGAGAGTTTATGACAGATTTGTTAAACTATCCCGACCAGACACGAAATATTGCGCTTGCCGGCCATCTACACCATGGCAAAACTGCTTTCATGGACACTCTGGTTATGGAGACACATGATATCGCAAATAAGCTTGACAAACGGATTGGTAAATCGAAAGATGAGCAGCTCCGATATACAGACGTGCACTTCTTAGAGAGAGAGCGCGGGTTGTCGATTAAGTCGGCTCCGATGAGTCTAGTTTTGCAAGGCACGAAAGGAAAGTCTCATCTTTTCAACATAATAGATACCCCCGGCCATGTCAACTTTGTGGATGAAGTTGCTGCATCGCTGAGACTGGTAGACGGTGTGGTTCTGGTGGTGGATGTTGTCGAAGGTGTTCAGATTAACACCGAACAAATCATCAAATACGCTGTATTAGAGGATCTCCCGCTCACATTGATCATTAACAAAGTGGATCGACTCATACTAGAGCTCAAGCTACCCCCTACAGACGCCTACTTTAAATTGAAACATGTGGTGGAAGAAGTGAACACCGTCATTGAGAAAACGATACCAGGACAAGGTGAGAAGAGAAGGCTGAGCCCTGAAAAGGGTAACGTTGCGTTTGCGTGTTCCTCGATGAACTGGTGTTTCACTCTCCAATCATTTGCAAAAATGTACGCCGACACATATGCGAAGGTTGATCTCTCAGAATTTGCAGTCAGACTATGGGGTGACATCTTCTTCAACCCCCGAAGCCGAAAATTCACACGCAAAGGCATGGAGGAACAATCGAAGCGATCCTTCGTCCACTTTGTCCTTGAACCTATCTACAAACTTTATTCTCATACTATCAGTGAGAGCCCGGAAGACTTGAAGGAGACCCTAGCAACACTTGGAATCAATTTGAAGCCTACCCAGCTAAAGACTGATGCTCGTGTGTTGTTAAAGTTAGTGTGCGCGCAATTCTTTGGTCCTGTTACTGGATTCGTCGACATGGTTGTCCAGCACATTCCATCCCCAGTCGAAGGGGCTAGCAAGAAGCTGGACAAGTACTATACGGGGCCACGGGATACGAAAGTTGCTGCAGCCATGGCTGCCTGTGATCAAGACGGCCCATTGGTGGTACATGTCACTAAATTATACGGAACGCCAGATGCTTCCGGGTTCAATGCCTTTGGGCGGATCATGAGTGGAACCGCGAGGGCAGGCCAGCAAGTGAGAGTTCTAGGTGAAGGGTATACCATTGACGACAATGAAGACATGGTTGTAGCAACCATTTCGGAAACTTTTATTGCTGAATCCCGGTATAACATTCCTACGAGTGGTGTTCCTGCCGGTAACTGGGTGCTTCTTAGTGGAGTCGACAATTCTATTATCAAGACGGCGACACTTGTTCCTTTGGCTCTAGAAGACGACGAAGAAGCATATATTTTCAAGCCTATTAAACATATGACGGAATCCGTTTTCAAAGTTGCCGTTGAACCTATCAATCCTTCCGAGCTACCCAAGATGCTTGAGGGACTCCGAAAGGTCAACAAGAGCTACCCTTTGATTTCGACCAGGGTTGAGGAATCAGGTGAACACATCGCGCTTGGGACAGGAGAGCTCTATATGGACTGTGTTTTGCATGATCTTCGTCGACTATACGCGGAGATGGAACTTAAGGTATCTGATCCAGTCACGAGATTCTGTGAGACTGTTGTAGAAACTTCTGCAATTATGTGCTATTCCATCACCGCAAACACGAAAAACAAAATTACCATGATTGCCGAACCTCTTGACGATGGTATCAGTGAGGATATTGAGAGTGGGCGAGTTAACATCCATGATCCAATCCGAAAAGTTGGCCAGTTCTTCGAAGAGAAATATGATTGGGATAAGCTAGCTTCGAGGAGTATCTGGGCATTTGGTCCCGATGATATGGGCCCCAATATTCTTCAAGATGACACTTTACCTTCTCAGGTGGATAAGAAGTTACTCGGATCGGTGCGGGATTTCGTCCGTCAGGCTTTCAACTGGGGCACGAGGGAAGGCCCATTATGCGAAGAACGTAAGAAAGAACCCCATGCCTCCTTTGGTTTTGCTCTTTTGGCAATGTTATAATGCACTTTTATCCGTTTCTAACCACGTTGCTATTATATAGCCATCCGAAACACCAAATTCCGCCTAACAGATATCTCCTTGGCTGATCAAGCCTTCTATCGAGGCGGCGGGCAAATTATCCCTGCCACTCGTCGCGTTGTTTACTCCTCCTTTTTAATGGCCTCCCCCCGATTGATGGAGCCAATTTATACATGCGCCATGACGGGCCCCCCCGATTCAGTCGCCGCCATCTACACTGTTCTCTCCCGACGACGTGGACACGTCTTATCCGATGGTCCGATCGCGGGTACCCCCCTCTACTCCGTACGCGGTCTTATTCCAGTCATCGACTCATTTGGTTTCGAGACCGATCTTCGAATACATACCCAAGGCCAAGCCACCGTCAGTCTAGTATTTGACAAATGGAGCGTGGTACCAGGAGACCCGCTAGATAGAGATATAAAGCTCCGACCGTTGGATATGGCTAGCGCCATGGCCACTGCGAGAGACTTCGTACTGAAAACTCGCCGAAGAAAGGGCCTTGCGGAGGATATTACCGTTAGCAAGTTTTTGGAACCGGAGCTTTGGAAAGGGCTAAAGGAAAGCGGAGTCCTAGGCGAAACATGATTGCATTCGTTCTTCATAAAAAGGAGGGGATAGTTAATTGTTTTACGGATGTACAACTAAGACATAATGGAGTTAATAAAGGGCCCGATTCTTCGGACGACCCCTGTTTGCCAAAATATTTGCCAAAATATTTGCCAAAATTCCCTTATATCAATTCTTTCTGTTTCCACGATCCATCGTGATAAGCCAAGAATGAATCCCTTATAACAATCTACAAATATATTGGTTGATTATAGAAACTTTGACTCAATCAAATCAATAATTATCCGAGGCGTGACTCGGTAGATAGCCAATTATGTATTTATTGAACGCGTAATGGAAACGAGTCTAGATCTCGAAATATACAAACTATCCTCAATTTACATGCCAGTAGATCTCATCAGGATATTGAACACTGCCTTAAATCTTATAAAGAATCCGATAGGTAAGTTCCTAAGCCACGTAACCGAACCAATGCGGCATGGGTCAATTGATGTATCGAACATGCAATCCGTCTACGTACCACTCTTGAATTCACCGTCCAACAGCGCCATACCAGCAAAGGCCGAGAATCGCACCCATAACGATTGCAAGGGCCGGTGGAACCTTGAACCACGCACTCTCAACATACGTCACAGCAGCTACAACAACCCACCAAGGCTCCTTGCCCAAGCTCTGCCCATTGGTCATTCGAGACGTTAGATATCCAATTTCCCATAAGCGGTAAACAGCAGTAAATACCAATCCGACGGCAGTTGCATTAACACCTCGAAGAAAGTCCGTAACCCATTTCTTCTTACGGAGCACAGTCCAGAAACTTTGTACTGCAACAGCTAATGTGATTCCCGGGAAGAATATGCCTAATCCGCCGAGAATAGCACCGAATATGGTAGGAAACGGCGATTTTTGTAGTGCTAATGCACCGAGGAAGATGGCAAAGTTGAAGTTCGGACCTGGGAATGCCTGTATAACGGCAAGACCGAGCAAGAAATCTCGACCCGAGACCCAGCCGGGGTCTACGACATATGATCGGAGAAGTGGAATAACCACAGGGCCGCCTCCAAAGATCACAGTTCCAGCAAGGTACATACTGGCAAAGAGGTCAAGAGCCAGAGGCGGTGCGCGAAGAACCCCTCTCGTTACAAGAACCGCGATGAATGATGCTATAGGAGTGGTTAATACGCAGACTTGGACACACAGTTGGAAAACTCACCAAAGAAAAGGACAACGATTATAATTCCAAATCTAAGGCGAATGACATGACTCTGCGAGCCATCCACTTCAGTTGACCGATTTGGGGTTGGAATTGGGCCAGGGCTGTTATCAGGCACATTGACACTTGCAGCGTTCGTTCTCCGAGGCCGCACCGTCGTGCTGTCCTCTGCGCCACGTACATCCTCATTATCTTGACACTCCGCTACCTGCACACTGTGCGGTGACCCAGCTTCCTCCGCTGCTTCTGGATGGGAATTCTTCCGTTTCCTGTGCAACCGGAAGCTCCGAATTTTCTGGTGTAGCCATCCATCCCAGACCACTGTAGCGAGCCCACCAAGGACCATAAGTAACGGGAAATACCATAGTGCATTGTAACAGAGGCCAGCACAGGCACCAAGAGTCACCAAAATGCGGGTCAGTTTGTCGTTAATCGCCTTTTCCGCCAGCTGCACTGCTGCTAAGGCGATGATACCCACAGTCGATGCGTTGAGGCCGGAGAGAAGTGGATAAACAGGCGCAGGAAGGGTTTCACCGATGTTCTGGACGCCGAGGGAGAGAGCGTACATGCCAATTGCTCCAGGGAGACTAATGCTTTTAATTGGTACATGTAGTACTGAAAGAAGAAGAGTTGATTATTACCTCCATATAAAGAACACAAGTAGTGCTGGAATAAAGCCAGCATGGAGCAGCGCGATACAGAATAGTAGCTTCGTGCTGGCTGGCCCAGGAAGTCCTTGACAGATGGCGAAGAGTTCCTGGTACTACAGATGCGAATCAACCGTCAGTCAAAGCCAAAAGCATTGGAAAGAAACAACGCAGCGCTTCAAGGCAGCTTAAAAAACATTAACTTACTGTCTGTTCATCAATCCATTTCTCCTTCCCACCTTTCCCCTCGACAAATCTCCCATGCAATATGCGAAAATGGACCGGCGGCCCTCCGAAAGAAGTAAAGCCCAGATCCCATGTACGTAGGAACACGTCAATCAACCGGCCGGGAAGCGAATGTTTTTCATCGCCTTGCCTCGAAGCCGCGTGGCTACGCAGCTTCTGCCTCAGGAGCCTAAGAGAGGATGCACATTTCGACAAAGGAGCTGGATGAAACATGGTTCCTTCAGTAACTAGGAACTAGCTGTGTTTCTCAGGCAGATGTGCGAGAGCATGCGAGCTGCAGACACATTGGTATCTTCGCTTTCTTATATGTCGTCGTCTCCTATCCTCGATGACATGCTCTGTGCATTAGCGCGGAGGGGAAAGGCCATTAGGAAGACTAACCGCAAGCACGCTGGACGTCAAGACCTTGGCGGCTCGCGTTTCTCCTGAAGGCTAAGCCCAGATTGGACACCGCACGCGGCTCGCGCTTGGCTTCGCGCTTGGCCAGCAGTATAAGCCAATCACCATCTTATATTTGGAAAACAAGGCTTGGCTAGTCCATTCTGGGTGATTATCTAATAACCTTAATCTAGACTTAAATAACCTTATTCCTTATTGAATTATGAAGACATCAAAAGTTCCAAGATGCTCATTGATAGAGTGTCTATTGAAGTCCATTCCATGACTATTTTACGCTCGTCTGTCTGGTCTGATAGTACGTTATATTTAATCCCCCTAACCCTAGATTATGCTATGTATATGGGGGCATATTTCTAGTAAAAAGACTTCATATCAAGTCTGCATTAACGAACACTCCGACACCTCTCCCGGAAACATAATAGGCTTTCCTATAATTAAATTTGAAAGCAGAGCCCATAAAACCAAGATATCCTCCAAATCCTAGATTAAAAATGTTTTTCGACAAGTCGAAGCAAAATCACCGTGTAGAAGTAAATGAACATTGGATATCCTTCCATGTAAATCGCGCATTGTTTGATCTCTAGATCCCCAACCAGCATTAGCTGCAATTCTATCAAAGGACAAGAAAATACACAAAAGAAACACTAACTATCCGTTAATCGGTGAAGTATTGCACGCACGTCTCCAGCAAACGCGATCTGTATCACAGCACAGCTGCTCATGATTCTGGCACGGGACACAACCAAATCTCCGGTCATCGGAGGCGCCTGGGCGTGCCAGGGCCATGGCACAGGAGAAGACAACAATAATTAAAAGTTTCATGATGCGTGATTCTCGTTCTATATCCTCAATTGACTAGGACGGAGGAGCTGCTGCGGAAACTGTACTGTACTTCCCTTGTTAGTCATGAAACTAAAATCAGGCCAGAGCTGCGCAAGAGGTTGATGAGTTTCATCAAAGGCCGGGGTAGTTGCACTTGAAAAATTGTAACGTACGTAGTTGGATCACTGCCAAATCTCTTTCTTTGCTGAATGCAGCGGGAAAGTGGTAAAGGTGCTGGTCGCGGCTCCCTACTTATACATCTCTTGGTCTTCGCGACAGTACGCCGAACAGTTCGGGCGTTCGATATAGCCGAACGACTCTAGAAGTTTGTGCAACATACTGTGTAGACAGATGCAACAAGTATATAGAGTATAGGCCTGCCGCGTACGTTAGATATGAGAGTTATACACTGCGTCGGCTTTTTGGGTAGCAGTTCTGGGTATCATTTCCAAATTCCAGCCGCCAAAAGTTGCATCGACGGCCATTGAATCCAAGCGAAGATTGCTTAGTATGGGAATTTATGCCCTTCGTGTTCAAGTTTCACGCAATGCCGCGGGATCTTAGCATTGCCAAAAACGGAACAACGACTCTCTCTCTCTCTCTGAATAGAAAGCCATGTCACACCGCCTTGATGTGCTGTCTGAGACAAGGCCATATGAGTGCCGATTAAGGTATATATGGACATCGACACTCAAATCTTCACTCCTTACTGGAGTGTGGATTCCTTCGTCGTCAACTGGAAAAGGGTCCGAGGAGATATCAGTCAAGCAAGATGAGATCACTCCTTGCACAACTATTATCCTCGACATCGACGGATTAAGCAATAATTTTAATATTTGAGGCAGGCGAGGACTCAAACGGTTGATCTGATTTCGCATACCCCTGGGAGTAGTCCTGGAGGCACATTGTTCGTCGTGTAAGAGCTGAGCGTAGAGCGCCTTCAACTCCGATCAATCGAGGGTGCTAACCATACAATTGAACGGAGATGGCGAAGAAGTAATGGCTAGCTGAAAGTAATTGTGGGCGGTTGCCTGCACCTATACTCCCGAGACAACATTTGCCGACGAGACATTAAAGGCAATGTCACAGTATCACGACGTCTTCGAAATCGCGACGAGCCTGAAATTAACAAACAACAGTAGCGTCTCACTACATATTTCAGCCAACATTCTGAGCGACAGTCCGTTTTGCACGACACTAACATAAAGTGCCCTGCTGGGCTCCTTGAATTAAAACATCCCCTGATGAAAAACTCAAGGTCTGCTGCCGCCCATATTGCAGTTTTGCCTGAACGTCATGATATCCCCGCGCCTGTCTGGGATTATTCATACGTAAGAGGTTCAATATCTTTGCAACACCTAAATTTTCCTGTGACTATTCGGAGAATGTACTGGAGACACAAGGGTACGACGTGGAAAATCTCCGTCAATATTGTTTCAAACCCTAAGAATTTGGATACAGGCACAGTTGCGCTTCTTTAACAGACAACTCTTCCCTATATACGGAGTAGTTATCAGGTATATTGATTCCGCGTGCATAAACTGGAATAATAGCCAGTTCCTCTGGTGGTATCTGTGTTCCTAGCGGGAATTATGCAAGTCAGATTAAATAAAAAGCAATATAAACGATTGACCACGCCCATCTGGAGATGAAACGTGAAGGCGCAGGCATTTATGCTCGAAACGGTTTCTGATGTGTCATATGTAGAGTATGGAGAATGGGAACTGCATGTTACTTCGTACATCTTTTGGAACAGGGGCGAATATCAAAGTTAATGTTTGCTCGGCAAAGCCACGAGATGCGAGTACATTCATATAAGAGCCGAGGCTTCATCAGAGTATAACTGTAACTAGCGAGGTTCTTTGCGCGTGGATACCTCCAGCCGTTCAAGCCATGGACTAACGCCTTCGTCTGATATTCGTCCCCCTTTTCCTGTTTCGCTAGGGGGCCACTGCCAATCCCAAAGGAGGGTTATTTCACAAGCACCGTTTATTTGAAATCTCAGGAACAAAGACCTATAATCTCTAACCCAAAACCCTTGTTCTTATGTGATCTATTTAATTATATTAGGCCATATTCCATACCATGTATGCAAGGTATAGATCAAGGTTAAATCCGTAATCACAAAATCTTAAAGTACCTTGTTAAATACAGTAAGTAGGTATAGAGTATGGGTGCAGGGGCTGGCAGACGACACATAGAAAGCATATGTAGGTAGAGTCCGTACAGGCGAAAGAATTGTCAACCATATTCTGGGTTGCAGAAGGGAGCTCCAGCCCAAGCACAGCACTTTAAGCTCTGAACTAAACATGATACGGTGTGGGCCGCCAGTAGGACTGTAGGACGACTGGCCTCATCGTAATCCTCCATCATCCTCATCCACCACAATTCCGTGTGCACTCAGTTTGTTGCGGGGCAAGGGTTCTGGATCGAGCCATGATGACCCTTTTTGCTCCTCGCAAGTTTCCAGTGTCGTGATTCGTTCAAAGCGCGTCCCAATCACGATGGGTAAATGGTACGCCGGGGTTTCTTCAAGGGTCGATCGAAAGGTCAAAACTGACCCCCCCCTTTGGTCATTCTCGAGAGATATGATAGTTCTCTTTTCCTTTATATACACAACGCAAAGTTCGAGTGCCATAACAAGGGCGCTGGCTGATTTATTGATGAGTTCTTAAGCACATACTGTAGTGCGCAAGATATTTGGTGGTAAATAGCAAACTCTTGTAAATGGCTGCCTGTATAAAAAAATAGGAAGGTATCTGATAAGGATGCCGAGCCTTTGTCTGCTTGCCCTCCATTTCCGGAGAATTTTTTCTCTCCCCAAAAAGGAAAAGAGAACAAAAGAAGAAGAAGATTTTTGTTTTGTAATAGGGATAAGAGCTCAGAAACTTAGTAGTGGTCTGACTGCGTGATGGTTCGAGCAATGGCTGTCTGTCCCGCCGTCAGACCACAATCAACAGGTAGACAGACGCCTGTGATGGCAGACGCTTCATTGCTGCTTAAGAAGGACACAGCGTTGGCTACGTCCTGTGGCTCAACGATACGTTCGAGCGGATACCACTGAGCGACGTCCCTGAAGACGTCTGGGTTGGCTTTCATTCGACTCTCCCAGGGAGCAGTCCGCACCGTCCCCGGCGCAACCGCGTTGGCTCTGATGCCGAATTTCCCGTACTCTACCGCGATGGACCTGGTCAGATGGATGAGACCAGCCTTTGCGGCGCTGTAGGCAGGGTTCCCAAAGACGGACAGGCCGTTGACGGAGGCGATGTTTATGACGGAGCCTCTGGTCTGTTTGAGCGAGTCCTGAAAGGCATGGAGGCAGAGGAAGGCCGCATCGAGGTTCAACGATGTCTCGTCCCGCCACTGCTCTGGTGTCATGTCGTGCAGGCTAAACGCCCTTGTTCCGCCGGCATTGTTCACGAGCGTCCGCACCGCGCCTTTCGACAGGACCAGCCGCGCCATCTCCGCCACCTGTTCGCCATCTGTGATGTCGCATATCTGCATGCCGAACTTCTCCCGGCCAAGACGATCCAGGGCAACGCTGGTCTTTGCCTCGTCGATATCGACCAAGACCACCAGGTCATGGGTTGCGCCCAGCTTCAGCGCGATTGCCTGGCCGATGTCCCCCCCTCCGCCCGTCACGATTGCAATAGATGAAGCCATTTGCGGCGCGGGTGGTACCGTGGTGATTATGTACCCGTAGTCCGCGTTCACCTCGTCTGGCACGAGACGACAGGATTTTTCTCTCTCCCTCGCGGCGTTGGTGAAAACCTGGCAGGACGACAGAGGGTGACTCGCCGTGAAGTCTCCATTCTGATATCGAGGGGTCAAATATAGGCTGACTAATGATGCTGGCAGGGTCGTAGCCAGTCAAGATCTCAGTCAATGATTATACGGAGTACGCGCTCTCGTCTCGGCTGGCAGGGTTGTTCGCTCATGGCGGGACAGGAGGACAAGACGGCGGCATGGTTCCTGTGTAGACGGACAGACGGACGGAGGACAAGACCACGGCGTCAGAACCATGGCCGTCCAGGGTATCTGGTTGGCTATATGTATGCGTGGAATGGACGTTTTGCTGGATAGCCAGTCGCCTACTGGGAATATACGGGCAGCAGTCCATTTGCCTACCCAGGGCATCAGCGAAGATCACAGCAGTTACAGCCTCCACAGCCATTCGCCCTCTACGCACAGGCTGCGGCGTCAGCCTATGCCCGTTATTAGTTAATGCATTACGGAGCATTCTGGAATGTGGACGCCATCGCACTCTATACTCGCATACGGGGATATCTGAAGGATGACATCCTGGCGTCGGAACCTGCCGATATCAAAGACCATATCTGATTTTAGGCGCAGTCTACGGAGTACGTAGTCTCTCTAACGTACGGGGTAGAGAGAGACTACCAGCCTGTCACGGGGAGATATTAGGGGCTCACGGCTCAATGACTTCAGCAACTGGACAGCGGTTATTCAATCACGGCCGATGCGAAAAATAAAATAAAAAAAATCAAACCAAATTCCAAACCAGCCTGAAACTCGCCTTTAGTCTGCACAGGACCAGCGTACGACCTGCTCTAGGCCTTTATTTTCCACTAGAAGCCATCGCATGGCGAGTACGAAGTTTAGCGGGTGCCTCAACCAAGCGCCTGGAAATCGTCTCTGGGAGGTTGCCATCACGGTTCCACCCCAGGCACGAATGAGAGATCTCTGACGCTGGAATATGGTTACGAATCACGCCATTGCATTCAAGGCAGGGCTCTGCCATGGTGGACCTCTGAACCTGGCGGTTTTAGTTACTGGCGATCTTATATAGTCAGGGTTGATAGAGAAAAGGAAAAGAGGCCGGCTACTGAATTGTGGAGAGGAAAAGGTCACTCTGATATCCTTTCCTGGTTACTGGTTCGCTCCAGTGGCGGAGGAAAGACGCTGGGGAACGAGCAATGCAATCCAATAAAACGGCACGCTGTGGCTGATAAAAAAGAAACGCATCGTGTCGAATCTAGCGTGGGGTACATCTATACGATATGATGATTGTTTGTATCTCGTCCCGGAGTGCTCGGGATGAGAGCAGCAGATCGATAACCTCGTATCCTCACACATAAAAAGGAACATTTCGACGGCACGAACGAGACCAAACTCCACAGATCGGTGCTAATCCCGTATGGATGCAACCCAGACGGGATAGATTATGATATGTGTTATCCATCTGGCGTGGGAGAGTCGATATCCGGCCTGAGAGCTGATATCCGGCCTGCGAGTGATAAATTATTTCAGCTAATGAAAAACGTGCCTGCTGGACATGGGTGTTTAAAAACAAAAAAAATTCATATCCTTGGATATTCCAAAGATAGACACGCAGGGTGATGTTAACCCCTGTCCTGATCCCGTTTCACCCTATACAGATATATGATATTAACCACTATACATATGTCGGTGATGTACATGTTTACATCGTGGCAGTAAGGTATCCATGCATCCATGCCTATACCGGGTTCCTGTGGTCGATTGGCCTACTCCCTACGCTAGAAGCAGGAGAGAGTATGCGCCCTGCCAGGCTCATCGACAGGTCTCCAGCATCTTCTGGATGACGCCCATCAGGGTCCCGTTCTCTAGCGCGGCGGCGACTCGCTCCTTGTCCGCTAGCTGCTTGTTGACCTCGTCGGCGGTGCTGTGAGTGCCGTCCTTGATGCGTACGTCGACGCGGAACCGGGGGGGCAGAGACTGTTCAAGCCGCACCCGCACCCCGAGCCCGATCACTGTCGCGAGACTGCAGTGCGTGATGGTGGGAGTGATGAGCACCGTAACCTTGCGCAGCGGGGATGCTGGACTGCGAGGCAGCGCTGCCGTTATCGAGATGTCGCGGAGAGAGACGACGGCCAGCTCGCCGAGGGGGATCGGATGCTCAGGATCAGATATCGTCGCAATCAAATCTAGCCATTCAGTAAGAGACAGTACATACAGACATATATATATATATATAATGAGATAGAGGAATACCGAATATCTCCTGCTCGTCGATGGGCTCTTCCATGAGCTCGCCGTCGCTGTCGGACTCTGAGGCCTCGAAGGGATCTGGCAGCGCGAGCGGCTGGTCGAAGATGCTGCCGCCGACGGGCTTGCTGGCCGACTGGCGACTGGGCAAGTCTGCCGCGCTCAGCAGCGTCGGATTCGAGTTCTGCATCGTCGTATCAGTGTAGGCGTAGTGGTAGTATATCGTAGTTTCATCTGGGAATCCCTCGCTCGCTCGTCCCGCCGATGGCCGCCGGAGTTACTTAAGGCTTTATGCTGGAACGCAGGAGTTAAAAATTCCACCTCGCCTCTCTACACTACTACGTCTCGCTCTGGCAGACGAGACACACAGAGAGACACAGAGACACAGAGAGAAGACAGAGAGAGAAGACACAGACAGACGGAGAGAGAAGACACAGACAGACGGAGAGAAGACAGACATCGAGAGAGACACAGACAGCCATCGAGACACAGACACCGAGAGAGACAGAGACAGAGACGGCGGATGGCAACGACCTCGCTCTATCACTCGCTGCTGTCTTCTACGGTCATCTTATAACACTGGCATCTAAGGAGTATCTCTACGGTATCTCTACGGTATCTCTGCTGGCTCTTATAACGCTGCTCTGACATGCAAAGCACCATCATGCCCGCGCAGGGCGGGGAGCGCCATGAAGGCCGCAAGAGTGAGTCTCTACTGCCTCGATGCTGATACACTGCTGACCGTATAGACTACGTCTTCGTCGATGAACACAACAGGCACAAGCGGCTAAAAGGTACATTCCGTGCTCCGGAGTCTAGAGACCAAGTATAGCGACTGACACCGTCTAGTGATGAGAGCCTGCAATGGCTGTCGCAAACGCAAGATCAAGTGCGATTCGGCGACGACCAACATCTGGCCGTGTTCCGCCTGCACCAGACTGAAGCTGGTCTGCATTCCGCCGTCCATCGACCAGGAGGGAGAGGCCTCGGGCCACGAACAGATACTCGACTTCAGCCAGCCCATGCTCAACCAGAGCTCCGGCAGCATCACCTCTGCTGCCTCCTCGCAGCCGCTCTCGATAGCGAGCACCCAGCCGTCCTTCCACGCGCGAGAATACTATCCCGCCGAACCCTCGCGCCGGGCCGGTGACCTGCGCGGCTACGAGAGCGATTCCCAGCTATACCAGTCGCAACAGCCGTACCTGACCTCTCCCACCGACGACGGTCGATTCTACCACCACTCGCCCCTCGATGCGTCTGCGTCGATGCAGCAGTCCTTTCACTATGCTCCGACCTCCCACCCGCCGCCGCATCCTCGAGATCCGCCGCATGCTCTCCCGCACCAGTCTCATCCGCCTCCGCCACAGTTCACCGTATCGACCCCCCAGCAGCCACTGATACAAGTCGCAGAGCCGCCGCAGGACACCCACCCACAGGATCTCACACACGCATTCGACGAGCTCAAGATTGACGAGACAGGCATTGGTATGGTATCTTATTCTTGCTTCTATTATACTAGGGTACTAACGTGTTTAGCTCCGTATATCAATCAAGAGTCAAAAGACCACTCGAAGTCCCGAACGGCCCTGACAGAATGCGAAGAGTCGCTTCCCTCGCTGTACAGCGGATCCGGCTCGTCTCTTCAGTTCCCGGCAGAGCTGATGCCTTCGGACAGCGAGGCAATGGGGTATTTCAAGATCTACTTTGACGATATACATCCATACCTGCCCGTCGTGCCGAGAAACTACTTCTACGAGCAGTGGCGGCGCGAGAAATGGGATATCTCGCCTTTACTGCTGAGCGCCCTGTTCGCGTGCTCGGCCAGGGCGCTGAACGATACAGCAAAAGCTACAAAGTGGCTTGCCCTAGCTAATAGTAAGACCTCACTCTGACATTCAACGTACCATGCATAGTCTTACAAGTATACAGAGTTCGAACCCGAGTTCATGGAAGCACCGCGTCTGAGCACCGTTCAGGCACTGTTGCTCATCATGAAGGCGCGAGAGGCAATGCCCCGTCCCGGATACTACTACCGATCGTGGCAGACAGTAAAGACCATAATTTCCATGTCCAAGGATCTGGAGCTCCATCAACATTACCAGTACCACGCCGAGGGGAAACTGTGTGGCTACGATACGGTGGAATGTCTCATCCGCACGCGCGTTTGGCAGACGACCCTCGTCGTGGAAATCATGGTCGGAGGCCCGCAGGGTACATACAACTTTCCTAGTATAACATTATAGAGCAAACAGCTAACATACACCTCTCTAGGCCGCTCCGAATTCGGTGTCGAAACAGATACGGTAGAAACCCGGCCGTCATGGGATATCCCGAACCTCGATGCCTACGAAGCCGAACGGTCCCGCCAATTCGGCTATTTCGTCCACAACGCCCTCAACATCAGACGCATAGTTGACACCTTCCACAAATTAAAGAAAACAAAGGACTGGGGCGCCAACCCACAGTTTTCCAGGAATAACCCTCTTTTCGAAGCATGGTATAACAGCCTCCCACCGGATCTCATGGTGACTTATCCACCAGACGGCTCGCCACCGTGGATACCCTCCCATTTTGTTGCCAATATGCATTCCCACTTCGAGCTGGCAAAGGTCATGCTCCATCGCCCGCAGTTTGTGGCTGCGAGCTCTTTCCCCGCAGGCGGAGAATGGAGACATCATTTTTCTATATGCTATCGCTCGGCTAAGGCGCTGTGTCGACTGCAAGAGGCCCTTCTATCGTCGTTCGGGGTGGCGGGATTCCTATGCATGCAGAGAGGGATCAATTTCTCCATCTACTGCATCTTGACTAGTGTCATGTTACACTTGGTGAGCTGGCTCCGTGTTTCTCGTTCCTCCTGAAACAGTCTTAAGTGTATTATTTTTTTGTTTCTAACGGTTTCTAGATCGCTATCACGTCTCCTGATCCGGAGTTTAACAAGGATTCAAGGTCTTACTTTACACGCCACATGCGCGTGCTGGAACAGTGTAGTTCGTCCTGGCCAATGACCGACCTGCAGTCACAGCTTGCTGCTCTCCGTCTGGCCTTCTCCGCCGATATCAACAAGCCGTTCGAGCTCAAACCTACTTTCCCATATGGCAGCCCAGCTGCCCAGTCAACTCAACCGTTACCGGCTAGCGAGCCGCTATACCATTCCCCGTCCTATAGCGAGGGCCCCCACGAAGCTACCCCGTCACATCTATCCTTCAACGACTCCTACCCCATCAGTCCTCCCGTATCCGCCCAAACAAGTGCCAAACCAGAGTCGCCTGCCACGGGCAATTATGGCCTCCTACAACCGTACGATACTACACGTCCACCACCTACTATGAACGTACCGCTAGTGGATGAGAATAGCTGGAACCCTTCTAGAATCATAACGTATGTATACCTCCTGCCAACTTCATATATATACAACATGCTAACATTACCTAGGCAATGGGACCTTGCTTTTGCAGGAAACATAAACTCCAATTCCCCACCATCCGCCACATCGAGCTCCACAACCAGCACCGTGATGCCCGACCCGCATTCATTATATCCTTCCTCGCTCTCAACCACAAGCCCTGCCTCTGCGCCCCAATACCCGGACTATTCACAAACCACCCTTGTACCATTGGTCGACCCGAACCATGCACCACAAGTCTCCATGCCTACACAGCAATATAACATGCTACCTGTCGTGATGGGTGCGCGTGACTGGCAAAGGAGTGTCGCCAGCGTCATCGATCCCGAAGGCGCGAAGCGACGATGGGATGATACCGACGATTATGGCGGCGAGCAATCTAAGCGGAGGAGATGAAGCAGACCATTTTCGTTGCGTTTCATCCTACTTCCATTTTTCAAACTATATATCTCACCATTTTTTTTTTGGTTTTGCTTATATTTGATTTATGTTTTTGATTTCTTCCTTCTCGTCGCCTACTTATACCTTAACCATGGCATATTTATCGGGGTTTTTTGCGCTCGCACTCGCTTGGATTTGATTTCTTACACTCTTTACCTACCTAATACTTGATGCAACGATTTACGGCTTGGCACTCTTATTGTTTATTCACTAGTTCTTAATATTCTCGTTCTCCCACCAGATGGACGCCTAATTACAACCATCGCAACTTTGCACATGAAACACTCTGTTCTTCCATACTGCCGAGAAACTGTGGATGGCTGGACGATGTACATTATTTCCTCGGTTTTCTTTCATTTCCTATGTCTGATCTTTCTCTTTCCTGCTCTTTTCTCCCTGTCTCATTTAGAGATACCCTATGCTTGAAGTAATCATACGGCAAGGATGTTTTTGCACTATCCCTTGTTTCTCAAAAGCAATTATCATTAGGATATAATATGCATTGATGCGCGGATAATACACTGTGAACTTTCCAAAGCCCAAGAAATGAATCCCACGCTCTTTACCTTTCTAGGAAGATTTATATTGAATCTAGATGCGGGGGGGTAGGTATATGTATGAATCATCGAGATACATGGTCTCGGGCACCGAGTATATATACCAAGCCTGCAACAACGGTTCATGAACACCTAACTATTGCGCCAGGGTTGTAGCTAGGTCAATCACAACGTAATAGAGACGTTGGCTAATGTATACATAAAGTGATGAGCTGCATATTCCGAAACCACGCCCTTGTTCGGTGCATGATGCGCCCCGCCCCAGAACCCAGCGCCAGGATATCTGCATGCAGACATGGAATAATCTAAGTACCACGATCATCCGGCATTCCAAACTCATGCACGCCATTCTGAGTATCCATTTTGGGCCACAGTCCCGTCCAAGCACGATATGCAGACAGATGGCCTGATTTATGACCAATGATAATTAAACAATTGTTTCGTGCCTGCAAGCATTATACAATATCCGAACACCGATTGCCCGCTCATCCCTGACTTGCGGTTCCCATCCTCCCTCCATTAACAAAAATAGTACAAAAGGGTATCATATCTTTTAACGTCATCAATGGGGTCATGCGCCCGGTTGAAAAGAAATATCTGCATTTCCGTTCAATGTTTATGCCTCGCTTCTGGAAGACCTGGAGAAAGCACGGAGTAGGGCTCCAGTCTACCTCCCCACACCGATTCTTTCGTCTCTGGTCCTCACAATCCTCGCTTTAGCGCCCGGTAACGGCTTCAGCTCATCGTTGGGATCGATCCCTATTCGATTCGAGCTTGATCTGGATTCTCCGTCTCGATCTCGGATGCCGTCGTTCTCAACTTTTTTGCCAGTAGTACCTGAATTTTCGGCAGTCCTATTTATAATCTCTTGCTGGCGGCGGAGCTGTGCTTCCTCGAAGGCGATTATGTCTTCGGATGTCACTGTGATCGCGGTTGGCTTACGGCGGAGCATGGCTGCTATGCTATCGAATAGCTCGTGGGACTTTGTAGAGGCTGTAGACTCCTATTCCAGCTTTTATCGTACGCCGTATCTCAACTCCGGCCTCACGCGAGCTACCTCTGTAGGATCAGCGTATGCGGGGTACGTTGACAGGGAGATATCGAGACAATAACCTGTTATGAAGCTGGATATGCGTCACCAGGCTGGGATGAAAAAGCGGCTAGCGGTCAACCACCTCGAGTCTAGGAAGAAGAAGGAGAAGAAGAGAAAATTGATCTCTGAAATGTCCAAGGGATAAAGTGGGCAAGTGGTATAAATGTCCTTATCGGGAAGCTTGTACACACTATGTTTGCTCTGTTTGCATTGATGACTAACATTACCGCTGTATTGTAATTTGTAATAAAATACGGTATTAAAACACAGCTTCTCACGTGATCATCTCCGTCTCAAAACTTTCTCGCCAACTCGAACTTGGAGGAAGCAAAAGAAACTGCGTCGGCTGGACATCAATCGTTAGCAGGTCTTGCGGCGATTGCAAACATGTCGACCCAGATGATCAGGCGTCCCGCAAGGGGGGCGCTGCAATTGACCCGAAATTCCTTCATTACAGTCCGGGACTTCACATCGACCTGCTCCAATGCTGAAGGAGACAAGCCCCATGGCGCGACGGGTAAGAAGAAAGCAGACTCCTTTAGCTTGTCGGTTTTATATTAATTGCTCATTGTTTTTTATTCATGCAGCACCAAGAAGGACTACGGCTTCTAGTAACCCTTTTGAGCGTCGAGGAGCTGCCGTGCGAAAAGTTCAAGACGTATTCGAGCGGTCGTCCAACACGCAGAATGCACTAGCAGGCCAAAGGCCTAGGTTCACGATCTCCAGGGTACCAGGCCCTCGAGTAGATGGACCTCCAGGTGCTGCTAGGCGACCCAGTGGTCCAATGTTAGCGAACTCCGAGCAGCTGAAGCAAAGGCTCCGAGAAAGAGCCAATATGAGAAGCGGTGGATACGGCGGGCAGGGTGGACGCGGCGGATACGGTGGAAATAATCGATCGGGTGTGTCTTCTACTCGTGGTGGCAGAGGGCAATCCACCTCCAGACGTGATCGTTATCGTTCCGCGCCGCGAAACGACGCCGGGGGCGAAATAAGCGCGAGCGTAAAGGCTTATCAAAAGGAAATGAAGGAGAAGCAGAAACGGAAACCTGTCCGCTACAATCCTGAGCCCTATACCGTCGAGAAGTTGAAGGAGACATGGCCGGCATTGGCTATAGACGGACTCACAAATACCAGCACCATTCGGGAGAAGCTCTCGTGGTTTGGTGACAAATATGTTGGCGCCGTTGATTTGCCCGACGATCTAGCAAAGCGGTTTTACAAGGGGGAAAGGGTACTGTTCTCCAGCGAAACGGAAAAGGCCGAAACCATGGAGATTGTGAAGAAGATGGCCGAGGAGCATGCTGGTAGACTCACGGAGAGGAAGGGCGAGCCCACTGAGGCGCCGAGCATCGAATTCGAGAACGTCAACGAGAAAGAGAAATCGGACATGATCGCGTCCCTGATCCGAGGAGAATATGAGGACCCAGCCAAAGTGGACTCCCAAATGGCTCCCTTCCTTACGAACGTCATGAAAACTCTGGCAGACAACCACACCTATCATACCTCACACACTCAGCGATTCATGGACAGCCTCGTAAAGAATCTCCCTCCTCTTAAGAAACCAAAGGCGGCTGCTACGGCTAGTGCACCTTAGAATGGCGGCAGATTTTGGTGTATAAATATTTATATAGACAATTTTATGTAACAATATCTTATCGATCGCATTTCTATGATTGTACTTTTTTTGGTATATGTCCAAAGGGAAAGGAATGCTATAATTCTCTGTTTCTCTGATTCTATCATACAATATATTGCTAGAAACAAGCAGCAGACTCCTAGGATATAGCTCGGCCAGCTCTTACTGGCCACAATAACAATATTCCAACAAGTCCCTTTAATATCACAATGTCGCAAATCAGGCCTCCAGTGCCTTTCTCGCGGCGTCAAAGATGTCCTTCACTTCCTTCTGGCCCTTCTCGGCAATCTTCTCCATCTGGTCAACGGCCTTTCGTACCTCATCTGGCCTATTCTTCTTCACCTCTTTGCCTTTCAGTTTCTTATTCAAGGCGGCACGTCCATTCCGTACAGCATTAGATGCTTTCTCCATAGCCACCTTAGCATCTTTAACTGTCTGGTCTCGGGATTCCTTCGTAGGAGGCGGGATGGGGACGTTCAATTGTAGTGGGTTGTTAGGGTCTGCTTGCGGATTAAGTGATAAATCAGATGCTTTAATGGCAGACATCACCGGTTTGACATCCTATATGGCGCGGGAAATGATATTAGCAAAGTTATTTCTACTAAGATCGAGTTGGATGATATATGTCGATGACAAGCAAAGATAATAGAAATACGTACGTGTTCCTCCCCAACTAGTATAGACACCGACCTGCCGCCCTTTGGAATAACTGACGCGACTTCTCCTAATCTCACCGTCTCCTTGTTCGGGGAGCTCGCGCCCTTCTTCCCTTTTCCAGCATCAGAACCAGGTACCGTATGCAACACCACTCGTAGGTTCTCAATGGCTTCGGGGGTAACTCTTCCACCTCCTCTTAGCTTCGCAAGGTCATCTTTCAGCTTCGTCACGGCATCTTTGATGCTATCATGTAGCTGGGTGAAGTCGAACGGGTCCTCCCCAGCACCAGCCGTAGCCGCAGCGCCTTTATCATTATCCTTCGAACTGGAGTTTTCTTTTGGAGCTTTCTTCTTTAGTAAAGTGGAACTCTGAGTGAATTTGCAATTGGGCGTTTGTATCACTAGCTGGCGAGTGCGTCTGCGGCTGTTGCGTAGGATGGAGAGTGATTCTATGTGGGTAATGGTCGTGTGAGTGCCGAAACAGCGTTTGGTAGAGAGTGTAGGGAGTCGTTTATTTCGCAACACGCTGCGGAGGGCGGTGCATTGTGCTAACGACATGATGAGGTAGGAGTTGATCTAGCGAGTGTTGTTTGTTGGTTGTTGGTGCAATTGATGTTTTGGATGATGATAGCTCGAGAGTTATAAAATTTAGAGTGCAGTCCACCAGCGCCAACGTGAATATATCTTCGACACTTACAACAAAGACGCTGAGAGTTACGCTGGCAGCCTTCAAGTCAGAATAATATTGAGAGCCGCTCACGGAATCCAATTCAGGCTATCTACGCTCGAAAATAGCTCGTCTACATGAATGCACATGGGTTTATGTAGCAGATATATCCATTGAACTACCTATCAAAGCCTAGGAGTAGCATCCGGATGGATATAACAGACACAAGACAAAGGGAAAAGGAAAAAAAAATGAAAAGACAACAAGGAAAAGCGTAACAAGAGCAAAAAAGGAGGAACAAAGTAAAAGGTCATCCCGTTTTTATTTAAGCCCACAAAAATCAAGAGAATTATGAAAAGGTCACAGACATAACAAGTTTTTCGGTTCATGTTCATGTTCATATTCCATTTTCATCCCATCATGCACACACACTAGCTTTCGCCCTGCCTCGTTGATATGATAAACAAAACAAATGTCATTAGGTATGTCTTGCAAAGCAGATCAGACTCTTTTGGCCTTTTTTTGGTACTTTTTAGAGGTTTAGGAAAGTGTTTGTTGCTCTATGGCGAAAACATTTATCGGGTGGACATGGCCTTTGTGATAAGTCTCTTCAAAGCGAGCTCTTTCTTCTTGAGGTCCTCGGGGGAGGAGTCCTCGACCTCGAGTTGGGCCATGGCGTCGCTGAGAGCAGACTCGATCTTGTCCTTGTTGCCACGCTTGATCTTGAGGGACATGCCGGGGTCGGTGATGATCTCCTCAACACGGGAGATGTAGGACTCGAGCTGCTGGCGGGCCTCGAAACGTTGGCTGAAAGCCTCGTCGGAGGACTTGAACTTGGCGGCGTCTATAGAAGATGATTAGCAATTGACATATACAATGTGGCAGAGTAATGAGTGCGTACCGTTGATCATCTCCTCGATCTCGGTGCTGGAAAGCTTTCCGACGGCGTTGGAGATGGTGATGTTGGAGCTACGGCCAGAGGACTTCTCGGTGGCAGTAACCTTCAGGATACCGTTGACATCGACCTCGAAGACGACCTCGAGGGCGGCATCACCAGCCTTCATTGGTGGGATGGGGGACAAGGTGAACTCTCCGAGAGAGGTGTTGTCCTCGCAGTTGGTACGCTCACCCTGGTAGACTGGGAACTGGACGGTCTGCTGGTTGTCGACGACAGTGGTGAAGGTACGCTTCTTGATGGTTGGGACAGTCTGGCCACGGGGGACGACTGGGGCGAAGATGTTACCCTCCATGGCAACACCGAGAGAGAGAGGGACGACATCCAAAAGGAGGAGGTCGCTGGTTTCAGCGGAAGTGGCCTTTCCGGAGAGGATACCGGCCTGGACGGCGGCACCGTAGGCAACGGCCTCATCGGGGTTGATACCCTGGATATATGTTAGTAACTATACTAAAATAAGGCTTTAAGAGAGGAAAAAAAGGCTTCACTCACCTTCTCAAGCTTCTTGCCATCGAAAGCATCGCTCAGGAGCTTCTGAACACGAGGGATACGAGTGGAACCACCAACAAGGACGATCTCGTCGACCTTGCTCTTGTCAATGGCAGCATCCTTGAGAACCTGCTGGACAGGCTCGAGAGTGGCAGCGAAGATCTTGGCGTTCAAGTCCTCGAAACGAGCACGGGTGATCTGGGCGTTGAAGTCCTCGCCATCGAAGAGCGAGTCAATTTCGACAGTGGTCTGAGTAGCGCTGGACAAAGTACGCTTAGCACGCTCGCAAGCAGTGCGGAGTCTTCGGAGAGCTCTGGCATCGCCGGAGAGATCCTTCTTGGTCTTGCGGGTGAACTCCTTCTTGAAGTGGTCGAGGAGGTTGGTGTCGAAATCCTGACCACCAAGATGGGTGTCACCAGCGGTGGCCTTGACGGTGAAGACGCCGCCCTGGATGTTAAGGAGGGAGACATCGAAAGTACCACCACCGAGATCGTAGATGAGGACGTTACGCTCCTTCTCAGACTTTCCGGAGCCGAGACCGTAGGCGATAGCGGCAGCAGTGGGCTCGTTGATGATACGGAGAACGTTGAGGCCAGCAATGGCACCAGCATCCTTGGTGGCTTGTCGCTGGTTGTCGTTGAAGTAGGCTGGGACGGTGATGACGGCCTTGGAGACAGTCTTTCCGAGCTTGGTCTCGGCAACTTCTTTCATCTATATATATGGATTAGCCATTGTTGGGGAGAAAAAGAGAGAGATTAAAATAGTACCTTCATGAGGACCATGGAGGATATCTCCTGTGGGGAGAAGACCTTGGTCTCGTTGAGGTATTGGACCTGGACAACTGGGTTGCCGCCCTGGTCGATGACCTTGAATGGCCAGGACTCGACATCCTTCTTGACAACGGGGTCCTCGAATCGTCGACCGATAAGACGCCTGCACACCGCATATTAGCACAGCCATTCTCAATTTTTTTACTAGGAGATGAAGAAAGCAATTCGCCAGACGAGATGGTATTTCCTGTCCCGCAATTGCTTCCCCATCCGATCTATAGAGGCACTCACTTGATGTCAAAGACGGTGTTCTCTGGGTTCATAGCCGCCTGGTTCTTAGCGGCCTCACCGATCAGACGCTCCTCGTCGGTGAAAGAGACGAAGGATGGCGTAGTGAAGCTTCCCTGCTCGTTGGCAACTATTACACACGTTAACAAGCACGCTCAGCGCAAAGCGAAGCTATCCCACATACTGATCTCAACATTTGCGCCCTCATAGTTGGCAACGCAAGAATAGGTCGTGCCTGTGCAATTCTCAATATTAGCCAATTATTCTCGTCAGATCAACATCTGCAGACTGCTCATCGAGCGTCTCTTGCGTCGTTCAAGCGGCGTCTCGCTTGTTGCCGTGCATCCCACTTACCAAGATCGATGCCGATAGCACCATCGTAAGATTCAACAGACATGCTGGGCCACAAAAAAAGCGAACACTTCTTTTAATTGTTTCGTTTCCTGTGAATCTCGGTCTTTTCTCGTAGCTCGACGACTAGAAGAAAAGCTGCGTGGACGTGGGCGAGAGGGTGGGCTTGAAAAAGCGGTTTGGGTGGTGGGAGGAGGGAGGAGAAAGTCGCTGCTTATTTTTTATATGGACCGAAAAAAGCCACCAAAAGAGAAAAAAGTAAGAAAAAAAAAAAAACTCGGAAAAGTTTCACTGTATTTGAAATACGGTACGCTAACCGATCATGTGATCTGACATTACGACGAGATATAAAATGATAAAAGAAGATGAAGATGAGAAAGGAATATGATGAAGATGATGAAGATGGTGAAGATGATAAAGCATAAGGAGAATAAGAAGAAGATGCAGAGGTAATTTACAGCGCCGGATCGTACAACGCCTGCCCAACCAGCCCAGACCACCCAATATATGAAGATATAGCCGAAGACAGAAGACAATCAAGATCTAAGGAGATTAACAAAAAGAATGACCCGCTCGGTGGTCTCGCCGTCTCCCCTCCCGGAAACGCCCACGACCACCTTGTTAACGCCCTCTCTCAGCCGCACGTCATATACAAACCGCGTATAGTCTACGGCCTGCAGGACCGTGCTGGTTGGCGGAGTAGGGTTCTTCTGGTCACACACAGTAACATAGTGCTGTGTCGGGCGCCGCTGAGAAGTCGAGGCGATGGTAGGACTGAAGTTGATGAAGTTCATGCATGAAGGTAACGTCACGCTTATGGGCTGCGCGGGGTGTATAGGGGTGCAGGGGAGAGAGATGTGGTAGGGCTGGCGAAGGGCAAGTGACGGATGAGAAGATATGGAGACTTGAGCTATCAAGCCGTTGCCGTATGCTGGATGGCCATTAGTGTGATGCATGGAATATAGAAGGTGGAGTGGCATACCTTTATTCCGCGCCTGGGATAGCTTCTCCCAGTCAGCGTGCGAAAGAGGCATGTTGGCCATGCTTGCACTCTTTGCCGGTAGGTCTGCACCAAGCATGGGGCCAGGGGTATGGCTATCCTGCAGAGCAGGCGAAGGCTTCATCGTGTCTGATAACGGTGCTGATTCCCGCTCCAATTCTGCCTCTGCTCGCCGTGTAAGTGGTGTCCGCGACCTCAATGACGGCCCACTGACGGCACCAACACCGTTCATGTTACTGCTAGCGGGAGCCGGTGAAGCAGCACCCATAGACATACGTGCAGAGTTCGTTCGATCCCGTAATGTCCTCGTTGGCGTCGACTGTACAGTCGCCTGGCTCGGGGCCGGCACCTCGATTCCGTTTGTCCCGGCCTTGACGAGATCCTGTTGTCGCTTCAGAGCCTCAGCGTCCACCCTCACGCCGTGTATGTTCGGCGTATGCGAGTTAGCATCTCCCTGAGGCCTGCCAGGTAGTCGCAACTTCAGCTTGGATGTGGTCACTGAGGGTTCCGGCGTTGGTACAGCCCCGAGCTTAAGCCGTATCTTTGGGCCAGCTCCACCCTCATCCTCCGGTGCGGGCACCGTTTTCCTAGTTTCCGCTATCTTAGCATTGAAGAATCTCTCCAGTTCCCCTGCAGTAGCCACGATGTCACTCTCATCCTCGTTGAATTCCCTTGCGTTGCGCCATAGGTAGCTCACTTCGTCTGCAAACGACCTCCACGACCTAAATTGCGATGGAGGCTTGGATTTTGAAGATGTGGATTTTCGCCTGTCTGTGCCACGGACGGCCTTCAGGATGCCTCGTAGCGAGACAGGGTGTGCTATTACGTCGTAGTATTCCTTATACAGCTGTTTATCCGGGAGATTAATGAACGGTGCGAATGCCTCCTCGCCGCTGTGGAAGTTTATTAGTTTGGCCAGGCTTTAGATGATAAGGTGAAATGGAACGGCATACTTCTCATCTTGCATCCGGATAGCTTCATTAAGTATTGCCTCCAATGCTGCCTGGAATCTCTCGGCAACTGAAGTCTCTGGTTCATCCTTTGTCACTTCCGCGGCTTGATTCTGATCCCGATCCACCGTCGGCGTGCGCGTGCTTGTTCGTTTCGAAGACCTTGTGCGTTCCTCTCTAGTGACTGTCGGCTCCGTCTCGGCCTTGACCGCTTCCACTGGCGTTTCGTCAGCCAGGGCATCCTCCTGCATAACTACATCTTCATCTTCATCGGGTAGTGGTGTCGAAAACGGCAAGTAGTTCGGATCCTTGTACGCAGGGTTCACCTTTGGCATCTCCGCGACGACGATTTTGCGGATTCGTTCGGCGTTGGAGAAGAGCTGGGAGCCCTTTTCGTTGTAGAACTTTGCGTTGGTAACCATGCGCCGAAGATCGGATTCGACAGAGGTCAATTGAGTGTATTCGTGGTTCTTGAGTTTTTTCTAGTACCATCCTGTTAGTCGAGTGGTAAATGCGGGGGTATAAGATGGACTGTAGTACCTCGATGATATCGAGAGCGAACGGGAGTCGGACGGCAGTGTAATATTCCGGGTACTGCTTCTGTTATCCCCATCAGCAAGTGTCCAGACAGTCAATACCATTTCCAGACGAATGACGAACCGCATCAGGAAGATGAAGAAACTCTGTAGCCACAGGTCGTCCACTAAGCGCACCGTCAGTATAACCATCACCCTCGGTCTCCTCACGATAACAGGCGCTAGCGTACTACTTATCAACTGCGACTTTGATCTTTTCCAGCAACTCCAGACCATGCCGTGTAATTCGTTCGGGTGTCTCTTCGGTTTCGGGGACGTAGATCTATGACGGAGCAGGAGGGCGGGCGTTAGCACATGGTTATTCACGATCAAGAAAGTCTATCAAGGATAAACAGTAAACAGGGTGCGGGTGCGATCAATGCAACACCAGCGTGAACATGCAGAGTAGCTGACGAGTTACAAGAGTAGCTAGATGTTCCTGAGCTCCGCGACGATCGCCAGCAATCAAGCGCAGGCGTTAAGCGCAAAGCTACCTAGCTTGCGCATTCGCGCCTTTGCGATCAACCCGCCGCAAGTAGCATCGTATCTGATTGCCCCCAAAGCAGCTTCGAGCCCATTGGCGGTCGCGCACCGCATTATCCGGCCTGCTCACACGCGCAGCAGACACCCAAACACACGACTCAACTCACCGAGACCCTGCGCCGTTTCTGTTCTTTCACGGGGCCCTCAGGCGCCCCGCCATTGTTTGCGCGTCGCTTGGTGGACATATCAGACGAGTCGAGCTAGCTAGCTCGTGTTTCGATTGGGGGGCTTGGAGGGTGGGAGGTACGGTGGGTGGCAGCTCCGCTCGCAGCGTCGCGAGGGCATCTAAGTCGCGCAACGAGGGCAGAGGAGCGAGAAGTGAAGCTGGAGACATCCGACGATGCGAAAGTCAGGAAGATGCGAGATGGAGCGAAGGTCGTGAGCCTGCTCTTTTGGGACGTCACATGATATGATGACTAAGATACTTACTAAGAGATTAGTAATGGCTTAGGTAAGTCCTGAGTAATCAGTCACGAGATCTCCCTTTGATTGGCTGGAACTCCCGCTTATTAACGTCCTTCTATTGGCCAGAATAGATACTAAACTTTCCCTGATTGGCTGATATTTAAAGGCCCTGACCAATGAAGCGCCTGCCCCGCCGCTTTGTTTACTTCCCCCATGCCCAAGCGCGGGACGAACCTTTTCATCTTCATCTTCATCGTTTGCTTCGTCTTGCCGGCTCGACGTTATACCTACGCTCTCTCCCTGCTCTGGCTCGACATCTACGGCTTCTCACTCGCTTTGTACTTGGACTGCGCGGCCGCCGGACTCTTCCGCCTGCCAGTTCCCCCCGCTCCGCCGTCCTCGTGAGCACACTTTTATGTGCGTTTTTTCGACCCCTCAACTGCACTCGGCTGTCCGCAATCCCTGCCCACCACGCCCCTGCGTTCGGCATTTAATTTGCGCCCATTGAGCATTTTACTCGACCCCATTCACTGCTGCCATTGTTGGAGCTTCCCGCGCACTAGGCGAGCGGACCCGTCATATTCTGCGTTGGGCTATATCCTTTCCTTCGTGCCCGCAAAGCACCTGCACCTGCAAAGCCTGCATCGAACCGCCTCTCGCAGCTCTGCCATACGACCAGGTCTTCACCATGGATATCGAGATGTCTCGACGGAACAAGAAACCCAGACCCCTCCTCGACTCGGAGAAACAGAAACTCGACGAGTTTGCAGATGGCATCCACTATTCCGCCAGGTACATTCTCTCTCTCTCTTTCTCTCTTATTTGTGGACTGGAGGCTAACCCTAGTTTTAAAGATATTCTGATAGTGAATATGAATACAGACACGTCCAGCTGCCGAAACCTATGCTGAAGAAGATCCCGAACGAATACTTTGACCATGCGAAGGGAACGTTGAAGCTGCTGTGGGAAGAAGAATGGCGGGGGTTGGGGATCACACAGGTACGGCCACCACCATTTTACGCTACATACAGGTCGAGTACCAGACTTGCTAACGTGATGTAGAGCCTGGGATGGGAACATTATGAAGTACACGAACCTGAACCACACATTTTGCTATTCAAGTGAGTCTCTTCTCCGCATCTGCTCTCCGTCCGGCCGACAGGCGCTAATTTTTACTTCTAGGCGACCCGTGAATTACCAACCGCCTGTCTCACAGTAACTCGTCCGCCATGTCTCCTTCTTCATCCTGCTACGTTAATTGCTCTGTCCATTTGCCGGCGTTTCCATTGCTATTATGTCATGTTATCTCACGGATTTAAATTTACGGCTTCTTACTTCCTCCTTTTCTCTTCGTCCAAGACGTTATACCTTTTTACCAACCCTTCGGCTCTATTCTCCATCGTACGAGCATCACGGGTTGTCATGCTAGCATGCCAGATTACCTTTCAATGTCCCAAAAGCTTCCCTCTCCCTTTTTCTTTACTTCTAACTTTGTCCCGTTAAAGATAAACTAGTCGAAGCCGAATCTCTGATAAGATATCTTCCTTTTCACTATGCTTTTGTTTTTCTCTTCCGCCCCTCCCCACTCCGGCAGGATATACAATTAACAGTTAATTAAATTCAACCTTATTCGAGATCCTTCGCTGTTTGCCGGCACACTTCTCAAACCACGTTCTTCTCCACCCATTCCAACCATTGCTCCTTTGTGAAGCTGCTGCTGATAGATTTTTCCTCAATACCCTTGTTGAGCCCCATTAGTATAAACCCGGCACTTAGTTAACATGCATAGATCCACTTACGTTAAAGAACACCGTCGGCGTAACATGCACGCCAATAGTTCTGTTAGCCTGTAAACAAAGAAATGGCATCATTAGTCCTGTTCTTTCTTTCATCTTTCATCGAATACTCACTCTCGTCATAATTTTAATATCCGCCGTCACCCCGTTCCCAATGTTCAGTTCCCCCTTCTCCCCAGGCTTGTCTCCCACACGCAACAATCCCATCATGGCCCCCTCATCAACACCTACCTCCTTGCTAGCTAGCTTTACAAGGCGCTCATAGGTCTGATTTCTCGTCTCATTGACCACATTGACGTCAAAATACTCAGTCTGATGCTCAAACAACGCAGCACTGAACTGCCAGAACTTCCCCGGAGCTAGTTTCAGGACTGCCAAAGCCGCTTCATGCACCAGGGTCGAAGACGGGTGCCATGGTTGAATTTGGGGACGGAAGAGGACGGTGAGTCGCGAGGAGGCCGTTGAGGGGAGGGAGGGGAGGACATCGGCGTAAAGCGTTTTGAAGATTTTGGCGGAGAACTATATAGATACGTGAGTACGGAGTATATCGACCGGTGTAATCGGGTTGAGAATATCATACGGGGCAGACATAATCCAGGTCTATTCTCGCAATATATCGCGTTAGTTATTCATTTTTTATTTTTATTTTCAGGAAAATTATATATGGGGGTTCCTCGAGTAGATACACAACGTACATATCTCAAGCGTATGCCGCGTTTCTGTGGCGGATAGCTTCAGTCCAGCGAATCTCGGTTGTAGAGCCATGCTGATATGAATTTAGAATAATTTAAATAAGCGACCGTGATCCTATAGTGTTTGAAGTCAAGGATAGAATGGAACGGTTGCTTTGTTGTTGCTTTTTGGCCCCGCGCTCTTATATACACCACCAATTACGTCATACGCGGACATATCAACAAGTACAGGAACAATGGGAGATCATTACTAGACAGTCAATTGAATGGAGATAGTTACTGATGCGTAGCTAGAAAGAGAATCCGGTTTCAAATATATCTATCTCGACCCCTTCGAGCTCCTATCACTCAGTGAGGGAAAATGGTCCCTAGAAAAGAAAGTAAAGTGGTATACCTAATATCCGCTCCAAACTCCGTCTAGTTAACACAAATAAAGGGAAAGGGAAAAGTAAGAAAAAGTTGCAAGTGACGCTCTCTGTTTTGTTCGATAAGGTGAGCAGAGGAGATCCATACATATAAGGGATATCATGCACATGTCGTTAGCATAGCATCATTCCTGTCTCCGAGGCTGCGCCTGACGATATGTTTGCCAAGTCTTCACGTCTACAAACGCATGGAACTGGTTCCCATCATTATCATACAGCACCGTTGAGTATACATTAATAAACCCTCTTGGACCACGGAAGCAAACCATACCCTGAAGAGAGAACGCACCCAGGGGTGGTGTCTTAAGTCGGCTCCGCGAGTTCCAGAGAATGTGTCGGAATAATGTGACAGCAGAAAAGAGATCGTAGGCCTGTGGCTTTTTCCTGACTAGTGGGGCTGTTGTAGTCATATTGTGGAAGACAACAGGTTGGAGAGGGTTGCTCCTGGCAGTGCCGGGATTGGTTCTCCCGGCTGATGAGCTTCCCGACGAAGCCTCCATGTTTCTAGGCGGTCTAGAAACAATAGGCACAGTCACTGGGAATGTAGCCGCTAGCTTTTCTTGCTGGCCGAGATTTCCAGAACGCCACATGTTGTATTTCGCCTTCTTTACCTGGATATAATATTTAATTGCGTGTCCGAGCGCTGATAGGACGCGGTAGGGTTGAAGCACGTTCCATATCAGGTCCCCGTTCTTCACGGGAATGCGTTTCGTCATCAGTTGCAAGCCATCGTCGGACCAATTCAATCTATAAAGTTGTAAGCTGGGAACCTTCTGGGGGTGTATATAACATGACGGAATTGACTAACCCAAATCGCACATATTCTGGTGGTGCCTGGCTTGGAAACTCGTAGTTTAACCAGTTACTAACTGCTTGTAAGGGACGTCCTATTCTAGCGATCGTAAAACGGTCCTGGTCTAGTGCTCTCCGGGTGTTCTCTATAAGTTGAGCTAGATGTTGAGTTAGTACAATCCCAATGTCAATTTAGTAGTATTTCAAGCGATTCCATATACCTTTGCGTGCTGCCAATGATTCCTTGTCGGTGGCAAATTTTATAAATGCCTGCCACTCTAGGTCATCCTTAGAATAAAATTTCCCTGCTACTTGATATGGCAATCCTAGCGGAATAAACCACGAATCCTCTTCTTCATCTCCTTCCTTGCTGATTTCACCGTTTTCACCTTTCGCTGCCTCTAAAGCATTCTTTGCCTTCTTCGCCCTCCTGGCCTCTCTTGCCTCTTTCAACCTTTTTTCTTCCGCTTTAAGGGTATCAGGGTCAAGTTTAAGGAAAGGAGATAGGACGATTGGTGCACAAAGGACTGTGCCAACGCCGAAAGCTGCCACCGTATATAGCGTCCGCCTATATGTAGTCGCCAGAGATTAGCCCAAACCGCATTATAAAGGCCTATGAAATCCTAATCTCGAAGTATACAACGAACCGAAACCATGGCCGCCTTATTCTCACGTGCTGGACTTTGATCAACCCAGATGGTTGGTGTAGCGAGCGTCGTATTTGAAGGGACCCAAACGGGCGACGGGGAATGAGAATCGCCCTAAAATGTTGACTCATTTGACCAGGTCCCTTTTTATATTCGAATAAGCATTCTGAGAGTTTCGATGATCGTCCTTGATCAAATCGCTGCGCCGATTACGCTGTTCCGTCGGAGGAACCTGGTGAGTCGGTTTAGGTCCTCCGCAAACCACACAGTGCGAAGGCGGGGTATACTGCAAGGCACTGTAAGAAATTGAGGAAAATTTCAGCAAAGGAGTGAGCGAAGAGAAGAATGATTGTTATGTCTTACTTGGTCATCTTGAAGTTTCCGCGATCTTTATTCTTCTCGCAGATCAAATGGTGATATCACGTGATTATCTCCCCGTTCTTGGGTTTAAGCTGAGTTGCAGTTGGCGGAAGACGCAGCTCGAAGCAAAGTCGACAAGACAGCCATCACACTCGCTCTACGGTCGCCGGTCTATACGATCTAGTAGTAGATGAGGTAGCCTCCTACTCTACCGGCTCGAAACCCTTGGACAACTTTGGCTGCGGGAGGATACTCGGACGACGACCAGTTCCGCCATCGATACCAGGCAGCTCTCTCCTCGACATACACTCCTCCCGCTGGAGCTACGGGCGCCATCATCATGAAGAACATCCTCTCCAATCTAGCGGTGGTGCTGTCCGCGTTCACAGCTACATCCTTTGGCCAAGGCTATTTGGTTCATATGATCGAGGACAGCGCGGGCGTGAACTCCTGGAAACCGAAAGCTGGCGATAACCGAGAACGGAGTCCTGATATTGCGAAATTGTTACTAGAGCGGAGATTGGGATGGCCTGAAACGTCCTCTACTGTTGGAGAGGTAGACGAAGAGACTATCCGGGAATTGAATTCCTTTGGAGGCCAGCAAGCATTGCCATTTGCTGGCACTCCCGATCCAGAGCAGACACTCAAGTTGCTGTTAATACTAGAAGGTGTAGGCTCGGAAGATAGTAAGTGACCGCTTGTGGGAAGTAACCTTGATAGCTTTATTTGCTAATTGATGGCAAATAGTTAAACTCCTAGAGACGACAACACCGCATGACTTGGCCATCTCTAGCCCTTCTCCGTTCTATCTACACGATTCGATATTGTCTCCCTTTGTATCAGAGAGCTCGCAGGATAGTCGTAAGCCGACTGTCTGCATGTATGGCGAAGACGAGGCTTCTTGCACTGGTTTTGTAGCTCTAAGGAGCCGGGTAAGTCGACAGTTGGGTTCACTACATGCAATAATCATAAACTAACTCCTTACAGAGCTCTGATGCTTGCCCTCGGGATACCCAGCTTTACTCTGAAATGCCAGACTGTACCTCAACCGCGACCAAGATTCAGAAATTCATCGAACAGGTTACCGAAGCTTCTTCCGCATACAAACATGCATCCGTCGTCGTCCGCCTCCGTGCCTCCGTAAGTAGACATTACAGCTAGCTATATCTTGCATATCCTAACAAACCACTCACCTAGGGAACCCCTCTGCTTCAAAATGGAGAACTGTCTACCCTCTTCAAAGCACTGAACGGACTAAGCTCTGACTCCAACGTCGAATCTACCGTCATCACCGTCCCATATGACGTCTACATTAAGAACCAGAAACAAAAGCGTTCTGGAGCCGACAAAGCTAAGCTCAATGCTCGTCAAGCACAGCCAGCCGCTGCTAACAAGGCCGCCCGTGCTGATTCTACCTCAACATCTTCGGCCGTACCATCATCCACCTTTACCCCAACCGCGCCATTCTACGTTCCTATCTGCTACGCCAAGAACGAAACCTGCATGGAGCGTACAAACAGCTGCTCAGGCCATGGATCCTGCTACCTGAAGCGCAGCACGTCAAAGAACTCCACTTCTTCGGATACTAAAGGTGACGATTGCTATGCCTGTAAATGCCACCGCACCGTGGTTTCAACGACCAAGGATGGACAAACGAAAACTGTTCAGTGGGGAGGCCCTGACTGTTCGAAGAGAGACGTTAGCATGCAGTTCTGGTTGATTGGTGGTATAAGTTTGCTGCTTGTTATGGGAGTCGGGTATGGTATTGGAATGCTGTTTAGCATCGGAGAAGAAGAGTTGCCCGGTGTGTTGAGTGCAGGCGTTGCACCACCCAAGCAGAAGTAACGGAATGAAGATTTCGTAATGTTCTAGTGTTGATTTGAATTTTGCACTTTATGCGCGCGGGTTAATTTGTTTGTATAGTATTTCCTATGTTTTACTATTCGGTTGGATTATATATTCTACCCTCGTCTGACTATAGGTAGGGTAAGGAGACTCGTTTCATTCACCCGTGTCCAAGATGATGATATAATTAACACAGTACGTATGTACTCTGCATCTCGTGAATAACTTTTCAATGACAAAAATTTTCTAGAATTCTAGTAATATCAAAATACTACAAGTCATTCAAACGGATCCTTTTCTCCATATACAATATAAATATATAATATAGCACACTCCTGCTTCTTGGTTCTCGTACCCTAATAGATAGTTAAGTTACTGGAATGTCCATGGGTAGAAAAGTCCGAAACACGCCTGCCAAGTAACCAATCAAGCAACCAGTTACACCATTAAAAGGAAAACAAAATGCAGCGACCCAAGGAAATGTTCGAAATATCGCGAACCAAACCGGTAAAAACGCAGAGTAGGAAACAAACGCAACGGGAAACAATCAAATCATGCATAGAGACAAAGAGATGGCGGGTGATGGGGGGTATCAAGGAGGATAAAGGGAGAGGTAAACATGGGTGGAAACTGGGTATAGATCGAGTAGGTATATTGCTAACATGGACAGTTTGGTAGAGTTGGGGCTATTAGCACCGTTCGATATTGTACGAGGTAGGTAGTATACGGGGAGGGAAATATGTCAAAGGTATCCTCAAAGGTCGAGATGGAGAGAGATATGGGTAGTGAGGACTGTCCGTTCGCTAAATGCAGGGAGGGGTGAGCAGGGAAATCAGACGTGAGATTTATAGTAGTTGTGGCTGATGGTCGTTATTCATTCCGTCAATAGATGATTTTTTTTATAGCGAGGTACGATGATATATGTGTCGAAGTTGGCGTGAAATAAGGATCGGGTTAAATGGGTTAGTATCGTACAGCGGCTACGGGAGCCAGGTTGTCCAAGCCGAGGAGACTATCTCGCTGCAGGAGTAGCAGCCTCCAGTTGTCTTGGTGTGGGCGGATCTGCGACGACGGACGAGGCGTTGGCATCGCCCTGCTGGGAACCATGGTCCCTGTTCCTACCGATTCGAGGGATATTTAACCGTGGCAGACGAGATCTCCATCCATTGGACTGTTGATGGGTGGTAGTGCCATCGGCATTATTAGTGTCAGCGTCTGCACTGCCTCCAGCACGACGCAAGCCCCGGTCCCTAGCAGATCGAGTGTTCTCCTCACCCGGAACAACCGGCATGAATCGTCCGGCTAGCACCATCCTGGATGCAAACGGCGGCATGCGGGCAGTCTGATAAGGCGTATCGCCGTCGCTCACGCCTGCATTGTTACCTTGTCGCCTGCCGCGCTCGCGTCGGTCCTCCTCTTGTGTCTCACCCTCAGGCCGTGGTTTGGGGACAAAGTAGTCAGCCTTACAGAGCGGACAGCAAGCACGACGGCTGGTGAGCCAAGGGTCAACACAAGATGCGTGGAAGGCGTGGCCACAGGTGAGACCGCGCACATCGTCGTCGTCTTCGATCATATCAAGACAGATAGCACAGGAGTCGCCGGGGTTGGCCATAAGATCGGTCGTCATAGCGTGAGAGATGTGGTCATCATTATCATCGTCATCGTGGTCGGGGAGGTGGGAGTCGGTGTGTTTTAGGCTGTGGTTGTCGCTGGATAGACGGTCGGCCGGGTTGGGTCCAGTAGCAGTGGAAGGGGCAGTCGTAGATTTCTCTGCAGTAACATGAGCCGGGGCAGGGACTTGAATTTCGGGAGATTTGCGGCCTAACATGCTATCAGGGCTCATTGCACCCGAGCATTCGGCGCGGTCGGTCGTCATCGTTGTCGTTGTTGCGTGAGACGTATCAATCGTTCCAGATTCCTGGTTATCCCTTGGTCGGCTCGATGTGTGGGTGTCTATGTTGTTGTCGATACCACCGGCAGTAGGAAGGCCCGCTTCAGCTCTTGAAGCACGCCAGCTCTTGTACTTTGTGATGGGAAACCGACTGTTAACATCTTCCATCGACATGAGTTTCTTTTCCCTCCTTCTACGGTGGGTGCGCGGAACGTTGACCATGTCGATGGGCTCGCCGTTGGCGTCATTTCGAGCCTGACGATGTCGCTGGTTATACCGGAAGCAGTATTTCACACCCACGATTATCCTGTCCATCGGTTAGAAAAATTCGATTCAATGAACGAAAAGAGATGCAAATAACGGAAGCAAGAGATAGAACGGGTGTTGCGTGAATACCATAAGTTAGTGAAAACGACTCCGAATCCGAGCGCAACAAAGAAGAGTAACGGCGAGTTGTTAGAGGAGGACGTATCGCCACCTCCACCGGGTGTAGGCGTCGGTGAAGGGGGAGCCATCGTAGGCACGGCGGACATATAGGCCGTTGTGTAGCAACACAGGAACAACCCAACGAGCTCGATGTGTGCGATCGACGCCGTCAGTCGGTCGGTCAGGATGGCAGACGGACAGTGTATGTATAAAATCGATCAGAGAAAACCAAGCCTTCTGCAGAAAGCAGAAGTTCAGGCGCACTACCAACGCAACCGCACCAGCGTCCCAGGAGTCGATTTGATACGGCGCAAAGCGGGTCTTGACGGAAAGAGGAGATAACAACCAAACGAGTGGCCTGCAAAGTCTGAGAGAGTGACGGCTGCTTTTGGGGTGCAGGGATAAGGGGGTTATACACTCAGCCACCGGAGTGCAGGTCGACTGTGATTCGCGCGAGGGCCGAACGGGGCTGGCCGTGTGGAATCTCCAACTCGGTGCTTCAGAACGATCGCCAGCGCGCTCTCTGATGGCGTCGAGGCGAAACACGATGATCCTGGAGAGGTTTTCATCGATCGAGCGCAAAGACTTGTTGTGGAGAGAAAGCTGGGGACGATGGAAGAGGCCGAGAGAGAGAGTCGACCACTGGAGGACAACCACCACGACCAAGACGACCAAGACGACCAAGGCTATCGATCGACTGGGTTTCCCCCCTTGCTTTTTCCTGCTTTTCTGCTTTTTCGGGCTTGACTCCTTCAACCGTCTCCTCTGTTGGCGCCCGACCGCGCAGAAAAGTGAGACGTCGACGTAATATATCTACGGCAGGCCGGTCCGGGTGCAGGGTGGAGGTGCAGGCAGCGCACTAGCAACTGGCTCTTCTTGAAATCAAAATCAAGGGTCAGGTCGGCCTGCAGCCAGTCGAGTCGTCCCGTCTCCAGGTCCCCTGTCTCTCGCTTGTGTCTGCACTGTCGGCTGTTTTGCTTCCTTGTTATATGTCTGCTGAACAGGTCTGATTCCTGCTTGTGTCCTCCCAGAGCCTCGAGCTGGCGTGCAGTGCGACAAACTCTTCCAGTAGCTCGATCAGCGTGCTCGTTTCTTTTTCCTGCCACCGTCCTGATCGCCGTCAGCGCCTCCTTCGGCCCTCCAACGCTGCCAGTGGCGTACCCGTATGCCTTTTTCGGTCATAAGCTGGCGGGCGGTACTAATTGTCTATCCCGGTCGCAAGCCCCCGCGTTTCAGGGCGTCTCTCTAGATCTCGCTTGCTGGAGTATCTCGTCGATGTAAGTAGAATAGCACCGCCAGCCTGGATCTGTGTTTGTGTGTTGGTAACTATCTCTGTCGTGTCACTATTTCTTCGTGAAGTACTTGAAGTACTTTGAAGTCCAACTCGTAGCAGTAGGCACGTGACTAACACTTCATCTACAACGTTACAATATATCTACAACATCTACAACATATTTACAATATATCTACAGCATCTATATTACTTTATAACATCTACAGAGTACACATATGGCATCGGGATCATCCGTCCCCGCGGCCTTCATGCGGGTACAATGAACTACGGAGTCCTCCACTAGTACGGCCAGGGTATAAGATTTATATACTCCGGATGAAGGACTCCGAACAAGGAGGTTCCGGTCAGAGGTCAAGGTTAACTACACCCCGATACGAACGTTCACAGTCAATTGATATAACTCAAACCCCTTTTCCCCGGTGTCCAGTCCAGCGTTGACGGCCGCATCTTGCTGGCTCGACCCTTCGGTCTTCGCTGGACGGAGTGCACACCATCAACACCCGAGATATCGCAACGCCACCTGCTTTACAGTTAGGCCGATCTGGTAGTCTAACTATTAGTCGCTTAACTAGTCGATATCGCGTCAGTGCTACTGGTGGACATCGCTTAGGCCCAGTCCCGTCTGAGATGGCACCCAGAACACGGGTGCCCCTAAAACCGAGGTACCTTGCCGTGGCTGTTGCCTCTCTGCCCATCTATATAAATAAAAACGGCTCGACCGCATCCGCTCTTCGTTAAATATCAAGCCACCGTAACCCCCAACGAACCATTCCTCACTCTCCAACTTTTGCGAATATGCGTGTCGTCAACGCCCTCGCCGCTGTGTTCCTAGGCCTCTGCGCCACAGCCGTTGCTGCTGATGAACCAAAAGTATGTTTGATTTCTTTTCCCTTCCACCCCATTCGACTCAAACGTTGTTGTTTGTTGTTCATTTCTAACGTCCAATTATGATATCAGGTGGTTGGCTACTTCCATTCGCCCAATGGTGCAAAGTCTCCCTTCCCAGTCACTGCTGAGAGCGGCACCTGTGGAAACTTTAACAACGTCTGGATTATGTGCGTGTCTTCCTCGTGATGGTATCATGCGCCAGAACTGATGGGTGTTTCTAGGTCCGCGGATCTCCCGGAGGGCTATGATTGCGTCTTTTACTCGTAAGTGCCACTCGCTCCCCTGATATTAGACCGCCTATCTTTCCATCTATCTTATTCTACCTGCTGTCCGTCGTTGCTGATCAATGTAATTAGTCAACTCCAGTGCGCTGGGAAAGCAACCGAACACTACACAGAAGACGTCTCAAGATTCGCATTTGAAGTCCGCAGCTTCATGTGCACGCTCATATCTGGACCAACCATGTTTCCAACCCTCTCTCCAAGCCAGTCTCCAAGCCAAACTTCCCCTACTCCCACCCCAACTGCATAGTTGATCTCGGCTTGAAAATGCAGACACTGCATTGCACATAAACAGGGGATTGGCCGGTCAGACGGTTATTAGTACATGCTCCCTACACGCATGATTCCCTTGAAGATGATCTTACGAAAACAGGATATGGATAGAGTGGCTATTAATACGTTGAACGAGTCTTAAGAAGTGACATATATTGATATAGAGGGAGGAGACTAGAGAAATACGGGCTGTATATATAGTTATATAATAAGACGTAGGTGCAATACTACGAGACATAATTATTCTTCTAGAACCCACTGTATTACCAGGTTGAGCCATAATTGATCCACCGTCAGGGATCCCTGAGTGCTCAACTTGCAGATATCGTTGTTATTTGTTGCTCATGCGCGGCTGGCGCTTAATTTATCCGACATCTTAACCAATCTTGATATACAAATTCACCCAACCACCATCCTACCAACCACATCACACGTTTGGATAAAACTAGCTCAAGCCAGCATGAGTGCACAACAATCCTCCACTCCGGCGGGGGACAAGCCCAACCCGGTCGTGTTCTTCGACATAACGCTCGGAGGTGTGCTCCATCCATAGATCCCACTACATTAAAACTCGTTACTTACGCGTCATACAGGCGAACCTCTCGGACGGGTCAAGATAGAATTATTTGCCAACGTCGTGCCTCGAACAGCTGAGAACTTTAGGCAGTTTTGCACTGGCGAGACAAAGAACGCGCGGGGTCGACCGCAGGGGTACAAAGGCTGTAAATTCCATCGAGTCGTAGGTTCCCACACCTATACTTCATGCATGAAAATGCCGAATTAAAACCTATAACGGATGCTAATATGTATATGCAGATTAAAGATTTCATGATTCAGGGAGGAGACTTTATTAATGGTGATGGATCCGGGCGAGCATGCATCTACGGAACAGCCTCGTTCGCTGATGAAAACTTCAATCTCACGCATGATGGGCCTGGTGTGCTTAGTATGGCGGTATGCAGCTACCCCTCTCTACCCTGTCCTCTTTATTCCCTTAAGATCCTAGTCTAACTGGAATCTGCTTTGTTGGTGAAGAATTCTGGTCCGAATACTAATGGCTGCCAATTCTTCATAACTACCACCGCCACTCCATTTCTCAACAACAAGCACGTCGTCTTCGGTCGCGTGGTGGATGGCATGGATATTGTGCGCATGGTAGAGAATACGCGTACTACGAGAGATAAGCCAAACCAGGACGTCGTAATTGTGCAGTGCGGCGAGATGTGAATGTGACGGCTGATAGGAGCAGGCATTTAGCCATTTTTACGAGCGTGCTATTGACATGTAAAACAAATTTATATTCGTGTTGAAGTATGCTAACTAGGCTGAGTAACTTCAGCTGGTCTACAATGAAAGGATTATGCGGCTATCCATCAGTATATGAGATACTTGTACAACTAAAGTTTAGTATCATGCAGCATTTCAAACGCCGGATAGGGGCATAAAAAGCACTGTGATTCGGGAGGACGGCCCCCGTGTACCCCCCATAGCTGTCACTACTTATGCATCTAAATTTGTGACAAGTGATCACAGTACTCCGAACTTGAAGATCTTTGATAGACAAGGTATCAAGTCTAAAATGCATTATCTTGATATACTATGTATTTCCAACCGCCGCCAATGATATGATATACCCTTTTCGAAGGAAGTCAAAATAAGATGCAGGAAACGTAAACGATGCAAATAAATGAATGGAGAGAAAACAAGAGACCTCAAAGTTTGAATTTTTCAAGATACTTTGTGGCTTCATCCAGGGCTTCATCAACCTTGTTGACCTCAGTACCGTTGCCGATCGCGACGGGTGCCTTGCCTCCTGCTTTGCCTCCGATGATGCCAGACACAGCACTAGCCCATTCGTTGGCTGATGCCCCTTTGGCGGCCAGGTCCTGGAATAGATGTTAGTACTATAGTAGATGTGTAGAAATTATAATGGGTGGAATTACCGAAGTGACGTAGCATCCATGGGCAACCTTGGATGAATCTGCGGCAAAGACATATAGCGCCTTACCACTCAACTTCGTCTTAACATGGGCCAATGACTCGCTAATCGCCTTCTGGTTAGCAGAAATAGGTAGCTTGATAATCAGTGACGGGCTATCCTTGTTCTCCTCGAAGTATGCAGCGATGGCGTCAATGGCAGTCTTCACCTCGGCCTTCTGAGCGGCCTTTTGGGCATCCGTGATTTTCTTATGGACCTGGGTAAACTGGTTGCGGTATTTGGCCTTCTCAACGGCAGAGATGGTAAGCTGGTTTAGGTCGACTTGCAGGCTCTTTGTTTCGGCATCCCTCTCGGGGCCGGCAGACATTTTCTCGAATCGATTAAGACGCTCACCAAACTCACGAGCGATACGCTGGACTTCATGTGCCTCCTCGCCTGTTACGGCGATGATGCGGCGGATTCCCTTAGCGATACCGCTTTCTTCAAGAATGACAAGGTCTTTGATGTCGCCAGTCTTTTGGACGTGGGTTCCACCGCAGAATTCAATGCTGACACCTTCCCAGCGGGGATCTTTGACGTTCTTTAGGATTTCGTCGAGCTCGACACCAACGGATACCACGCGTACAGGATCGGGGTATGTTTCTCCAAATACGGCGCGAACACCGGTGATTTCACGGGCCGTAGCCAGAGGTACCTCTTGCGAGTAGACAGCACAGTTTTGGCGGATGTAGTCAGTAGACTTGGCCTCGATCTTTTCCAAGTCACTGTCTGAGACAGCGGACTTGTGGGAGAAATCGAAACGTAGTTTCTCGGCTGCGACGAGAGAGCCCTTCTGGTCAATGCCGTCGCCCAGCACCTCCCTGAGAGCAAAGTTGAGGATGTGGGTGCCTGTGTGGTTGTTTCTAATTGGCCATCGGCGGAGTTCATCATATTCTGCGATGACGGAGTCGTTGATGGAGAAGCTACCGTACTTGATGAAGCCAGTGTGTAGAACGTAGCCGCCGTACATTTGGACATTCTGGACATCTAGCTCGGCCTGCCCATCGATGACGATTTTTCCAGTATCGTATTCCTGTCCACCTTGTTCAGCGTAGAAATTAGTCTTGTCGAGAATGATGCCGATTTGTTCATCGGCGGGGATATCCTTCGTCGAGTCAATAACTTCCTTGCCATGGCAGATAGCCTTGATATGAGCAACAATGTTTCCTCTTCCGAACTTGGCATCGTCATTGGTCTTTGGAACACCCTTCTTCTCTAGAGTGCTTAAGCTGTGAACCGTGAGTTTGAGAAGGTCAGATGCCGCTTTGGCTTGACCTTTACTGGCCTCCTTGGCCTTTAGACGAGCATCTTCAAATTCAACATCGTCGATGGTCAACTGTCGCTCTTCTGCCATAAGGCGGGTAAGATCAACAGGGAATCCAAAGGTATCGTACAGTCGCCACACATCAGCACCATGTAGTTTTCCAGCGCCAGCTTCCTGGGCTTGCTGAGCATAATGCTCAAACTGGCGTTCTCCTCGGTCAAGGGTTTTGGCAAAGGATACCTCCTCCTCATCCAAAATCTCCATGACATCGTTTTGTTTTCGTTTGATTTCTGGGAACATGTCGCCCATCTGTTCCACGAGGGCTGGAACAAGCTTGGAGAAGAAACTGCCAATCTCGACCTTTAGGTATTTCCTGGCATAACGTACACCTCTTCTGAGCACTCGTCGGACGACATAACCTCGCCCTTCGTTGTTGGGCACTGCTCCGTCAGTAATGGCAAATGTCAGAGTCCTAAGATGATCAGCAACGACTCGGTAGGCAGTGTCAACGCCATCAGCATCCTCAGCACCGAATTTGCCCGCATACGGCCGAGCACCTGTAATATTTTGAATAGCAGAAAATAGGGGCGTGAAGACATCGGTGTCATAATTAGACGATTTGTCCTGGAGAATCGATACCAGTCTCTCATAACCTAGACCGGTGTCGATATGCTTATTTGGGAGTGGGCGCAAGGACCTGTCAGGCTCGCGGTTATATTGTATAAAAACGTTGTTCCAGATCTCGAGGACGTTGGGGTCATCCTGGTTGACGAGATGGGCGGCATTTCGGCCTCCAATTCTGTCATAATGGATTTCACTGCAAGGTCCGCATGGTCCCTGGTCTCCCATCTCCCAGAAGTTATCTTTCATATCACCTGTCAGGATGTGGTCGTCTTTAACTCCGACACTCCGCCATAGATCTCTAGCTTCTATATCGGGCCCGACGCCAGCTTCCTCGTTTCCTTCAAAATAGGTCACGTAGAGTCTATCCGGGTCTAAACCGTAGACCTTTGTGAGAAGCTCCCAAGAGAATTGAACGGTCTCTTTCTTAAAATAATCTCCGAAACTCCAATTTCCCAGCATCTCAAAGAAAGTCTGTGGGGATATATCGTCAGTCATATGCACCGCTGCGATTGAACCAAGCTACTCACATGATGATAACTGTCTTTTCCAACATCGTCGAGATCCTAAAGAAGGGTTAGCCTTCTACCATGGTCTCCTATATGTATTTCGTAGTGGGAGCGGGGTCGTACATTATGTTTTCCTCCAGCACGTATACACTATGAAAATGGCGGGGTTAGCATATAAATCATAGAGAGTATGGCATCTAAGAAGAGATATATACCTTCTGCGAGTTATGCGCACGCTTTAACTGTGCAAAATCCGAATTGGGGTCAACGGTGCCTAAGAAAATGCCCTTATACTGATTCATCCCCGCATTGGTGAAGAGCAAGGTGGGATCCGACAATGGGACGACGGAGGAGGAGGGCACTGCATGGCACCGGTCAGCGAGCTTCTCAAGGAGCCGAATGCAAGGGCATCATATCGTATTTCTGCTATAGGGGAATCACCATACCGAACGAATGGCCGTTCTTCTTGAAATAGTCCAGAAACGTATCACGCACGCGCAACGCCGGCCATTCCACAGTCTCCTGGCCCGCGGGCGGTTGAGAAGTCATCGAAGCAGCCATCCTGAGCGGGATCCAGAGGTACGAACTGCGAGATGTGCGATTGTTGTAGAGCGCTGGTGGGAAGGTCGAGCATTTGGCCGTCTTGAGGGAGCGAGTCACACCCAAGAGTGGATTTGGCGACCAAGCAAACCTTGCACCCATCCAAACGTTTTTCTTCGCGTTTCGTTCTTCTTCCTCAGGACCCGCGCCGCATGCGAATTGGACTCCAGACACCGTACACGCAAGAGAAGGATGCTTACTGACTCCCTGAGATTCCTGTGATGCCTGACGAATGGCGCCTGCAGCGGCGGGGAGAGTCGAAAAACGTCGAGGGAAGAGAGCTGCGGACGAAGAGCTCGACGGGGAGAGACGCTTGAGAAAGAAGTTTGACCGGCTACGACTTGGTACGGCGATGACACTCCCTTTCCCCTTCTCGGTTGGATGTGATAGAGATGGATGAACGTGATGGTGTTTCTCCTTGAGAAATAAATAAAAACCTGATAAGCTTATGGGACTAAATGCTTGGTGTTTACAGAGAAATTATCCGACCAAGCGCAGTCCGGGGATACTTTGCCCACGACAACGACAACAGCTCCGATAACAGCTCCAGCCCGGACAGATAATCGCGAATCTACCAGTTTACCGTCGTCATCGTCGAAATTTACCCCCTCTCGTGCTGAAAATGGCGACGGCATGCAGGTTGACGACACAAAAACACGGGTATATATTACAGATCTAGAAGAGGAGATTGCAGAGATAGAAGAGGAAGAAAGAAAACAGACATTCAAATTTATGCCTGAGATGGAAAAGAAGTTGATGTCAATTCCCAAGTCGGTTCTTACACATAAACCGAAGCCCGAGGAGGAGCAGGACGAGCAGAATAATGAGTTGGTGCTCTATCGTGTACCGGCGGCCCTGGGCATACCGGCTGAGAAGGATAGTGTCCGAGCAGCAATGACCGATGCGAGAGAGAGAGCTAGAGAACGGATGATTACAGCAGGTAGCTACGACGGACAGGAAAAGAGAGAGGGTACGCCGTCGAGCATGAGTCTTGATGACGGAGAACGTTCACCAGCCTACGACTCGGACCCCATGGAGCTCGACGATAGCTAGACTTGTTACTACGTCTGTATTAATAGAGAGGTATATTGCAACCTGTTACATCGTGTCTTTAAAAATTATTATATCGTCATATGTATCCAAGGGTATCATTCATAATCATTATCTATAGGAAATTCCCCCCAGCAAAGCGAGAGCTAAAGTCTGCAGATTTATTAAGCATCTCCTTGCGCTGAGAATGGCTGATCTTCGAGGGAGCTCTTATATCCTTCTCCTTGTCGAATGCTCGAGCACTCGGATCATCCTTTTCTTGCTCCTCCGCACTCGTCTTATGCTGGGAGTAGAGTGATTTACTCCTATTCTTTTCCTATAGCCCCAAATCTCGGTTAGCTAGTCATTCGGGATTGTAGATAAATGCGAAGCTGAGGGCACTCACGTTGTAATCACGAACATGCTTCGACATCTTCTCCGCACGCTCAGCCGCCAATGCCTTTGCAGCGTCGTGTTCAGACACAACTGATGAAGCTGCCGGAGCTTGGATGCCCATGACTTCATTCTGTAGACGTTTCCTCTTCTCCTCCACTGTCTCCGTCCAGGTGTTCGAGGGTCCACCACCGGCATTCTTCGATGCGCCTGGCCGCGCAGGATTGCCTGTATTAAACTTCCGGTTCTTCAGCTTCGTCGGGTCCATACGGGCAGAGAGATCCAGTTGCTCGGGAGGTTTCAGCATCCAGTCGTCTCGTTTGGGTGCCTCCGGCTTGGAGACTGAAGCGCTGGGTACAGGCGCCGTAGGAACTTCAGGTTTTCTAGCAGAGGTAGAAGAAGCTGGAGGAGGAAGAGAAGGGCCATAGTCATCGTCGCTGTCATCATCTTCTTCATCTTCCTCGTCTTTATCGCTGTCTGGTCGTGAGCTTGGTGGTGGTAGTGCTGGTCCCATCACCCTGGCCTTCTTAGGCGGCGTGTCTGGTCTCCTCGGGCCAACTTCTTCCTCTTCACCTTCAAGCTTGCGCTTCGAAGGCATCGTCGGTCCATAAGTCCCTGCCATCGTGGTATCTTCTGCTCTTCAACCTCGTCTTCATCTTCATCTTTTCTTCATCTTCAAGAAATCGAGATAAAGCTCTAGTTCACGTGATATACCTCACGTGCCGATCTCACTTACATAATCATCCCGGAGATTTGGACGGATTAGGAAGCAAAAAGCAAAAACCACGACGGATTTCTCCAATCCTGCAGACCTGCAATTCACGAGGAACACCCTGTGTTGACAGGTTAGTCGATCAATGGTGTAACCACCAGTTTTACTGGCTGAAATATGCCCCTATGGAGCTGGAAGATGGTATGCTATCCACCACGCTGCAGAACGTCCGTTGGCACTTCAAGATAGCGCGGAGATCCGTACGTCACAGCATCTCCGGTTGGCACAGCTACAGCGCGCACAACATGCGGGCAAGGACAGACTGATGGTGCGGAGAGAAGCAGCTCGCCACGGTCCCTTGTCAAATGCCACTGTCGCTGCTGGCGACTGCCAGGTTGTCGTCCAAGGTCAGGGTCCGGGAGTCCCGCTGGCAACCAGGGTTCCCTTAGCTCGCAGACCAACCAGCCGATGTTACCTAACTGATATCTGGGGTCGCTGGCCTGTGATAGATATCTAACTGGGGATCTTTTGGCGAATCCAATTTCCTGCCAAATTTACTTCCCGTGTACCTCGGAGCCGGGGGTGGCGGGTATTCATATACGCCAGGTTATGGTTACTTCCAGTCACCATGGCCTCAACGCTTCTCTTCTTCTTTTTGCCTCTCTCAGAAAAAGCACTGGCACTCGGCCCCGGCTTGGAAAGCTTAGCTCAGTTGCTCATCTCGCAATATAACAAATACGGGCTTCTATAGTGTTCCACTGAAGAAATACGAGGCTAAATGCAGTGCGCGCGGGGGTGGATGGGGGAATCCCTACCTTCGATCTCCACATTTGGCCGTATATCCCGGGACGAAATGATGATATCCAAACGCGAATGGCCGCACACGAACTCAACTTCTGCAGAGGGGAGAATTTTTTTAGCCTTTCCCTTTCTTCGAGCGAGGCTTATATTTATCTAGAAGCCCGCCCGGCTTCTTCTTTCTTTCCCCTCTCTCCGTGCTTGACCATTTTTTCCTACGAGAGCAATCTGTGTGTGATTAGATTCCACCACTCTAAAGATGCACGGATTCTCATTCCTTGTCTTGGCCCTCTCTGCCATAGATGCTGCCGTAGCTGGTAGCATTCCTAGCCGGCGAAGCTTGCAGCATGTGGGCAAGAGAGACCCATTGCCTGCAGCTCGCAATGTTCCAACCTTCGATTTCTCCGAGTCAACGACACACACCGTCAACAAGCGACAGAGCTCACGCTTGAACAGCAAGACAAACAGTTCGTCTCCCTTTTTACCTCTGCCCAATTACTCAAAGGAATTGAACATTCTCAGAGTCACTGCTGGAGAATGCGCATTCTCTCATACTACTATATGATACTCTCCGAATATAGCTAACATTACCGCGCTCAGAATATGCTGTCGATGGAACAAAAATCCCAGAGGTTCAGTTCGATATCGGTGAATCATACGCTGGTCTGATGCCAATTTCTACCAAACATGATGAAAGTCGTAAACTGTACTTTTGGTACTTCCCATCCGAGAACCCAGCTGCTGAGGATGAAATCACCATCTGGCTCAACGGAGGCCCGGGCTGCAGTTCCCTGGAAGGTCTCCTCCAAGAGAATGGTCCCTTCAGCTGGCAATACGGAACCCTTTATCCTGTTGCTAACCCATGGGCTTGGAACAACCTGACCAACATGGTCTGGGTCGAACAGTGAGTCAACCAATTTTTAACTTGTTTCCTAGAATTTACCTGACATGACATAGGCCTGTTGGAACTGGATTCTCACAAGGAAAGCCATCTGTGAGATCCCAAGAAGACGTTGCAACGCAATTCTTGGGATTCTTCAGGAACTTCGTGGATACCTTTGACTTGCACGGCAAGAAAATCTACATTGTTGGAGAAAGTTATGCAGGATTATATGTCCCCTACATTGCCCATGCGATGTTTGCAAAGAAGAACAAGAGATATTTCAATGTTGAGAACACTCTAATCTTCGACCCCTCCATAAATACTGATGCAGTTCTCGAGCAAGGTAAGCCGCCCACGATATTTATAGAATTTTGCTCATACAATTCACGTTCATGCTAACAATGCTATTCAGTTCCCGCTGTCCCCTTCGTGGACCACTGGGGTGGACTTTTCCCATTTAACGAGACCTTCAGCAAGCATATTCACGACACGGCCGACAAGTGTGGCTACACCTCCTTTATGAAGGATAACCTCGTCTACCCACCCAAGGGAAAGCTCCCCTCACTCCCCGCCGTCACCCCAGAGTGCGATGTCTGGACCCAAATCTTCAACGCCGTTTCTCTCGTCAACCCCTGCTTCGATGTCTACCAAGTAGCCACCACCTGCCCACTTTTGTATGACGTGCTCGGCTACCCAGGAAGCTTCGAGTACCTGCCTGCCGGGGCAAACGTTTACTTCAACCGCACCGACGTGCAGAAGGCGATCAACGCACCGATCCAGAAATGGACTGAGTGTTCCGAACACCCTGTCTTCGTGGATGGAAAGGATAACTCTGAACCATCGTCCTTCACCATCATTCCGGATATCATCGAAAAGTCGCCCCGTACTATTATCGCCCACGGAGATTTGGATTACGTCCTTATCAGCAACGGAACTCTGTTGAGTATCCAGAACATGACTTGGGGCGGCGCCCAGGGCTTCACACAGGAGCCTTCCAAGCCACTTTTCGTGCCATACCATGAACGCGGAAGCTTGAGCACTCTTGCCGGAGCTGGCGTAATGGGTCGTCACCACACCGAGCGAAAGCTAACATATGTTGAGCTCTACCTGACTGGCCACATGGGACCTCAGTATAACCCAGCTGCGTCGTTTAGAATCTTGGAGTTCTTGTTGGGCAGAATCGATGATCTGTCCAAGTAAGACATATCCTACATATCATACACATAATACTGGATACGTACATATGTTGCCCATGCTAATAGAAGTAATGTCCATAATATAATGATAGTTCCATTTCCAACGATCTACTAGCTTCCGAGGGTGCAAGTAATGGCACCTACGGGATGATAACATGTAACGTTGCAGTGGGATAGCTAGGGCATCCTGCGTAAAGATGACCGTTTATTCAAACAACCAATAACGAAGCCAAATTGCCGGCTAAAATATTTCTCCACGGGGCCCATTGAAAGTTTCTTGTCCAGGTACATCCTTTCGTTTGGAGCAACTCCCTGAGCCAACGACAAGAGTTGTTTTTACCAAACAACCGGCCGTTGACGGGCCCTATAACTCACACCCCCTGGATGGCTACTACTAGGAACGATATGGTGTGTATCTCTTGGGCGATAGGTACCGCGTGGCCCTTCAATAATCTCGTGATCGCTTGCATAATTGCGGCCGTTCCATCTTTCGCTCCTTAGATTGCTATATCCATGGACAGCATCCCGCTCCTCAGGCTGGGAAACGTATGTGTAGCTTGGCCTTTGGGGTCTTGTTCCTTGTGGACTTGTGGGCTGGTACTCTTGGAAACGGCCCTCAGGTTCGTTTGCTCTGGATTCGTAACTCCACCGCCGTGTTGCTGGTTGGGATACACCGTATTTTGTACCGAACTGACGACGTGCCTTTGGGATAAAGATAGTTTCTTTATACGAGTTAGTATGCATGGTTGACATTTTCAACCCCTGCGCCACGAGAATTGGTTTTACTAACCAGGAGAGTTTCTTCCTGCATCTACCCTCGATGATTGCCGTTGTCTATTAGTATCTCGAGATGGCTGGATGGAAATTGACCTCCTGTACCGTTGAGGATTATTCCAGTCATTATTCTCATCGGCGCCTCGTGATAAAGCATGACTATACTGCCTTCCCGGAGGGTCGTCTTCAACTCTTGCTTGATACTGGCCGTCTGACAGGCTTCTAGTTTCTTCTGGGGCAAACCGGCAGGTCTTTGTCTGCGAGGGCCGTCTGTTCCTTGGTGGGGACGCATGGTATGACTCCATGCGGCGATTGTCCCGTACTGGTGATGGTGATGGTGTCGGTGACCGTGGTTTTCTTGCGTGTTCGTAGTTGTTACCCCAATTCCCGCTCACACGTCTTGAGTACGGGTCCGTGTTCCTATAATTAGACCTTTTAGTTTCTCTGAAAGAGAATTGGCCTCGTGGGCAACTAACCTTGGGGGGCTATTTGGTGGAACGACTTGAACCTCGTCAAGGCTTCTTGGTTTTCGGAGGCTGCAAGGTCTAGGTTCCCCGTGGCGGTGGTGGTGACCATGGAAGCAGCAAGAAGAACAACTTGTGTCCCTATAATCAGGGAGGGAGTGACGGATGCGTGTGGCACAGCAGTGCGGACTGCTTATAGGGGTTGGGAGGCCATAATCCTGAGAGTTCCTTCGACCGTGGAGCGTGCAGAATCCTGGTTGATTAGGGCAAAAATGAAAAATGTTAGGAGAGGACTCAACTCTCGTAACAGGGGGCTGGGGTGGTGGAATAACTTCTGGTATTGGAGGAGGCTGAGGGGGCCCAGGAGGTTGAATTGAAGGCTCCTTTCTATGACTCTGCTTGGAGCTGCTCCGTCTCCCTCTATTGCGCCGTCGACCTCTGGGTCGCCTAACTTCGTCTTCGCTCTCGGTACTATCATCGCTAGAAGTGTATGTAAATCGACACTTACGGCAGACGCCGGTATGGGGTGCCTGGCCGGGTATCATTGGATGTCGATATTGATAGGAGGATGAGCGGTATCGTCCACAGATTGCACATCTATGTCTCGTCTCTGCTGCTGGAGCTTCCAGGACCCTAGAGTATATCGGACTGTGGTGCTCTATAATAGGGGATGGCGCAGGCGGGAGGGTAACCACTTCACGGTGCCTTAGGTTAGACGTCGCCGGCTCATACTGCTTCGTAGCTAGCTGATATTCTCGGTTATGATAACTTTGAGCCGGTCCATCCATTAGAGGTATTGGTGGGCTAGCATCATCTGGGTCTATAGGAGGCGGTTCGAAGCTGGAGCCGTAGGGAGGAAGCATCCATGATGCCCCATCACGATGAGGAAGAAAGGCATCAGCAAGCACCGACTTTGCCGATTTGATTTTTATCGGGCGACGGACGAATCCAACTTTCCCGGAGGGGAGCTTTTGAACATAGGTCGCCCCTGGCTCCATCTTGAAAGAAATCGGGGTATCGACGAAGCTGAGTTGGAACCCTTGTTCGGTGCAACGATTCCCAAAATCCGGAGGTACATGCATGTCGGACCCTTTCCACTCCTATTCCACTTGAAATCCAACTAGGGATATATGGTTTGAGGTATCATTTGTGCATACGGCGACAGGAGGGTCGATGGTCAAATAGGTGTAGGTTTTGACACTGGTAGATTGAGGGTGAAAGGGAGCAACCGATACCAGAGCAGGAATCTGGCGGAGGAGATAATAATGATAATTCAAGCCTGACAAAACATCCAGCCTGCCTTTTTGATATATCAAGCAGGGACTTGTGGTATCAAGTCCAGGGGGAAGCGACAGTTTGGCGGGAGAAGGAGAGGGAAAGGCCAGGTCCGACATGGCTGGAAGGCAAATATATACATTGCGTCTCATGTATATACTGTTCATAATAACAATCTTCTATGAGAAAACAAGCCTGTGGGTAATATCACAGCATAAAAGAGCTTGCGGAATTCGCCTCGTGGGTCGTGATGATGCTGAATTTGCTCCGACAAAGGGTCGCAGTATGATATAAAAGAAGCTCAGGAGAGTACCATGAATGTGATATAAGAGCAAACAGGGAGAGTATGAAGGAACTGTACCACGTTCTTTGAGCTCACTAACATTGCTATTGTTGGCTAGTTGACCTCTTTGAAGCTCCGCGATATTGATATTGGCATCCTGTCGTCCCATTAGCCACAGCACTTCGCTGCGGCCTTGCTGAGAAAAACGCGAAAGAAGATTTCTCGACCGAGGAGCTGCTGACCATTACATCGCAGAAGCTGAGAAAAATGCCGAAGAGAGATGAATAGACATACTGGTAGACGTGGAAGCTTGATGCTGTGGGATAAATATTTTGTTAGTGAGATTTCTTTTCTTTTTCTTCAATGACTTCAGCTGTTAACGAAATTCCCCAAATGCCCCAGACACTCAAATACGTCATTTTACAAGATGTTTCTATGCTTGACTGGCTATCGCTATACTTGATAGGATGCTATAAAGATGAAAAACTCGGAAACTGATCCATTTCAAGCCTTGGAGACCAACTGCAATCTCGCTCATTGAGTGCAACAATTCATCCAAGTTTTTCCTAAAACTCTACATATCACTGAACTTCATCTAGAATTACACACAGCATATTCCACTGAGTTGATTCGAATCAATAGATTTTGCGCAAAGTTGATCTAATCGAATCATCGTCAATACCAAATTTGCCTCGATTCATGCTATCAATTTCTCCACCAGCGAGGCTTTCTAGCTCAATCGGTCACCGGTTCCTGATTAACGGGAAAACTGCTACATTCGTGCTATGCACCTGTCAGCTCGTCTCTGGAAATACAGATACTGATAGCTGCTAGTTTCACGTTCCATAACTGGAAGAAAAACTCTTTGTTTGACTTATTCTCGTAGGTCAAATTTTTTTGGCCGGTGAAGATGACATTTGATATCATTCCCAATGGGCAGATAAATGATATTAACCCGATTTTCTTACTTCAAGAGATTAGAATGTCCACAATAATTACTGGAAATATAGGGGGACGTCTTAAACACTATCGTTTAAACGAGACTCTTGCGGTTATCAACCTCTATAGTATATTCCTGAGCCGAAGGTCAACATATTGGGTGAGACACCTAGCTGGCCTGTTTATGCCATGATGTTTGATAGTTAGACACATGTTTTAATGTGTTTGTCTCATGCATCTTGGCCATTATAAATGTCCATGGAGGGATAATTTATATTCTGTTTGATACCCTCTTTTTAAAAAGGTTTTATATTTAGATAGGCATGTATCATGACCTAAAGCCTGGGAAGCATCCTGCTATATTGTGATACTATAGTTACATGATATACATACCCTGACTCTGAGCCCGATGAGCTGATAGGGTCGCCGAGAGGCTCTAGTCTATATTTCCGTCCTGTTACTGTGACAATAAACACGCTCAGACTGTTTATATAGAGGGGTATCTGTCTTCTTCGCCAACCAGCCGCTCTCACTTTGAACCAGAACACCTTCACCTCCAGCATCAACAGTTTCCTTGTTACCCTGAGAAAGATACGCTTTTAACCATGCATTTCTTCAGGCTTCTGGTAGTCTGGCTGGCTGCCTTGTTCACTGTTCAAGCAGCAGAGCTTCTTGACTTCGGCAAAGTCGAGGATGTTATTCCGAATGCGTATATTGTCGTGATGAAAAATGAAGTCTCTTCCAATGATTTTTCCTCCCATGTTACCTGGCTGAAGAAAACCCACCGCAGAAACCTGGCTAAGCGTGGCAGCACCTTCACCGAAGGCCTTAGGTCTACATGGGATATCGATGGTTGGCAGGCATACAGTGGAAAATTTGGCGAGGACACGCTCCAGGACATCCTGACACGCGAAAATGTAAGTCATACCAAGTTATATGAAAGTTCGTGGACCGTGGCTGACATTACTTAGGTTGATTTTGTTGAGCCAAACAGAAGAGTACAAGCTAGCTCCCATATCGTGCAGTCCAATGTTACCTGGGGCCTTGCACGTATCTCCCACAAGAAAAATAACAGCACCGACTATGTGTCAAACAATGGCGAGGGAGAGGGCATCACCTTCTACGGAGTTGACAGTGGCATTGATATCGATCACCCCGAGTTTGGCGGCCGCGTTCGATGGGGCATCAACCTAGTCGATACAACAGACGCGGACTGCTACGGCCATGGAACCCACACTGCTGGAACCGCAGCTGGGAAGAGATTTGGCATCCTCAAGAAAGCGTCCATAGTTTCTGTCAAGGTTCTCGACTGCTATGGCGTAGGTGATGTCGAAGGAGTTGTAAATGGGGTCATCTGGGCTGCTAAAGATGCCAGAGAAAAAGGCACTCTAGGAAAGTCTGTCATGAACGTGAGCATTGGTGGTCCGCGTTCCAAAGCTGTGAATGAGGCCATGGTTCGTGCTCAGGAAGCTGGTATATTCATTTCAGTCTCTGCCGGTAACGAAGCCCGGAATGCTTCGATGGTCTCACCAGCTTCTGCTCCTGAACTCTGTACAGTTGCTGCGAGTACAACGAACGACACTAAAGCATTCTTCTCTAACTACGGTGAAGTTGGTATGTTTCTTGACCTTTGCATGAGCATTTTTGGATTCCTTTTTTATTACATGGAGGTAAACTAACTTGATTTACATCATGATAGTCGACTTATTCGCACCAGGAGTAAATGTCATTTCCGCCTTACCTGGACGTCGAATGGGGCCTATGTCCGGAACTTCAATGTCCTCTCCCCATGTCTGTGGAGTCGGTGGTCTCCTTATGGCTACTGAGGGCCTTGCTCCTGGCGAGGTTTGTGATCGCCTCAAGGAGATGGCGAGTCCTGTCATGAAAGAACGTGGCATCAGGACTACTAACAAGCTTCTTTACAATGGCAGTGGGGCATGAAATAATAAATGGGATAGCATACGAAGAGCTGTCTATTAAATAGCTGCAAGTTTAAAGATAGCATACTCCTGAGATGAGATGATAGTACAAATCAAAGTGACCAGTAAGACATTCGAGCCGTTCCAAAAACCGTAGACGAGATGGTACACATTATCAACATTATAACAAATAACTAGCTCTGCATAACTTTCTTTGAGCGAGAAGTAGTACTACTCCTAAGCTCATAATAAAAGTAATTTATCCCTGACCTTTATGGAGGGGATTCAAACTATGAGTAATTGCACAAATCTAGAATCCCTAATACCAACACCCCCCGCACATACCGAAACCATCATTAAAACATTCAAATTACCAGTTCGGGGATTTCTGAGTACCGCCACCAGCCTGCTCAGTCTTGTTATTCCAAGCAGGGGTATCGTTGTTGTTGTTGCCATTATTAGAAGCACTTTGTTGCTGTTGTTGATGATTTTGCAACCGGCTAGCGACCTCTTCAGCCCAAGTTTTGTTTTGCGACGAAACCTGTGATGGGTTGCCGCCGATATTATTGTAGCCTGTAAGCTTTGATGGGACGATTATAGGTTCGTCATAAGCTGGGGCGTTGTTCCAGCTTGCAGGGTTGGGTGGTGGGCCTTGGTTTGTGTGGCTGACGTTGCTGTTTGTATTTGGCTGGGCAGGGTTTTGCTGCTGAGTTACCGTGTTCTGCTGATTATGCTGTTGCTGCTGCTGGATGGGAGGAATTTGCTGTTGCCCCTGAAATGGGATATTCTGTGGCTGGCCGAGTGCTTGGGCCGCGAGCAGCCCCTAGAAGACATTAGTATTTGTTCAGTTGGGTATTGAGTAGAGAAGAATATGGCATACATGAGCATGAAGTAGTTGATTGAGAATTTCCTCCCGAGGAAGGGATTCTAAAAGTCTCCTTTCGGCTTCCACATCTCGTTCGATGGGCTTTCCAATTGCAGATGCAATAACATCTAGTTATGAGATTAGTATAAGAGCAGCCCAAACAAACTAATTATAACAAGGACCATTGGGGCTATATATCACCTTTTATCCGATACTTAAACACAAATTTTGCGTACGGCTCTTCCATCGTATCAAGATACAGTGGGACTTGAACCTTGTGGGAATATGTCGAAGATTTCCCAACCTGAACCTGATGCGATAGAGATCGCTCTTGAGCTACCTGGTCGGGGACCGTATATAATGGGGGCTCACTAGCTTCTTGTCCTTGACAAAACGGCGTTATGAGGGTATGCACCCTCTGAACTGGCGGAGGTGGTTCCCACATTGGCCCTTGAGCCTGAACCGGTATTATTGGGGGTGGTGGGCCAGATGGACATGGCTGGGGATTGTTAAATCCGTTGTTTGGGCTTGTTAAAGGGCCATTTTGCTGGGTAATGTTGTTCTCCCAGTTAGTATTGTTATTATTTGAGCCATTGCTTTGCCAGTGAACTGCCGGAGGTTCACCATTGCCTGAGCTCCTGTCTTGCGCGCCAGACCCTCCATTATTCCACTCCTGGTTTCCCTGTCCTCCTTGCCCTTTAGCTTCCCAGCCAGTTTGGCTCGAGTTAAAGTTATTGTTTTTCTGGCCATTTGAGTCATTGTTCCATCCGTTGTCACCTTGCTTTTGATCCCAAACGGTGTCGGTTGTATTATGATTTTGATTATCTGCCGCAGCAGGCCAACCAGTGTCGGACTGTGCTTTATTTCCATTGTCCCAATTTGCATTATCTTGCGTAGCAGGCCCACCAGGATCGGGTTCTGCGTTATTTCCCGCGTCCCCATTTGTATTATCTCGGCTGCTATCAGAGGCCGGCTTGTTATTGTCCTGGTTTCCGTCCTTGTTTATGTTAGCAGATATATCAGCGGAATTCTCCCTAGCCACATGGTCAGACTCCCTATGCTTGCAACAAGAACGAAATCGAAGGCGATGATGACAGCGTTTACTGATTCTCTCGTCGTTAGAGACTACATAACAGCCGTCATAGGTTGTATCGTCTGCCATGCAACATTTAGAGGCAGAACACCGAGGGCAACGTTGGAAGATATCTGGTTTCGTCGCTGGTGCTGGCAGAGCAGAGTTGACGTTGAGGACGATAGAGGGGGCGCATCCACGGTTGCCACTATGCTCTTCTTCCTTCATCACAGCGTGAGATACATTTGGCTCTTCTGGGGCAGCTTTGTCGGTTGTTCCATTAGGCTGGTTTTCTGAGCGTTGTTCCTGCTTCGGTCTTTCCGGTAGAGAACGTCTTTGCTTTGGGTACCGGCGCCGACTATAGTAACGGGGGCTATCAGAGTCTTCGACTTTGGATTTCGGGATCGGATAAGTTGGCCCACTGGAACGATAATATCGGTATCCCTGGCGGATGTGATCTGAACTAGCAGTGGACTCATCATCATATGTATGCCATTCATGTTCCAAGTCGGATTCGTCAACTCGCCGAGGTTTGTCCTCCCAGTGAACTCTGCATGGCGGATCTGGCTGGCTATGGCCTATGTGGCGTCTCCTCGTGATATTATCCGGTTGTCCAGAGTGTCGGCGGCGCTCATGACGCCGACGACGCTCATCGCGTTCCTGGCGAGCGCAGCCCTCACAGCAGTCTCTGTCGTGGCTATGACGCCTACGATCGTCTGCTCCGTCGAAGAGTCCACCGATTATTCCACAATTTGTATCGTTTCCTTTGGTTGTGTCACTTGGGCCGAGGAAATATTCATCACTCGATATGCTTTGAAGATCTGTAGCAGGTATATCATATATCAGTAATAGGTAACCTTGTTAAACTGGGTATTATATTTTATATTACCATCGAGATCAGGCCCAAAGGCCATTGCTGATTCTGGGCTGAGTGAGCCCTCTGATGAACACTGCTCACGTCGTGATTCGCACCGAAGGACAACAACGGAAATCTCGCCTAAATTATCGAAATGAGACTTGTTGATTTCTGGCATGCCTGGCATGAGTTGTACTAAATAATTTTGTCCATTAGACCTCGAGATAGATACATCCTGCCATATCAAACAAGACTTACCTATTTGAAGCGGCTCAAATCTCCATGGTCTTCCGATCCAAGTCCCATTCGCGAGACGCTCTTCTTTCTGACGAACGCAGAAGTTGACATCTTTAACCCTCTTCTTACCCTTGCCCGAGTTTCCTCTCGAGATTAGATTGTTCCTGTTGCGGTTACACTGGTAAACACCATCCATATACACGAACATGGCCAGGCCAGGCGCGATATATCCACTCGAAGTTAGGCGGATTGAAAAGGGTGTTGAAGCTGGTTGAACGGGGATGAAGCAATCAACAGAGCCATCCCCATACGTGACACCATATTCTTTGAATGGTATACTGCAGTTTGCCCATTCGATGTGGCAGGTCAATTGCTTGAGAGTTGGCATAGTGTACCTCGATAAACAAACGATGGGCTAGAAAGGAGATAGAGAAAGAATGTTGGTGGGTATTGTTTTGTGTAGAAGCATTATGACTTGGGCCATTGTTTATCTATTAAGCGGAAGTTCCCATAAGATATTATGAGGCAAACTCCATCCATCCTAGTGGGGTCATGGAACTTGCACTAAGCCATCTGGTATGTAGAGTTGGCTTAGATTGAATTGAGCTGAACGAAGCCATTTACACAGCCTAGGAAACGTCACATACTTGTACAATATAGTACAATAGATCAATGAGTCCAGATATTAAATAGTTCTGGAACTTTTGGTTAATATTTAACCATCTCTTGGTCATGAAGTTGTGAAATGAGGTTGAAATGTAGTTAAGGGTTGCCAAGCGCCAGGGGTCTAGCGCTTAACTAGCGCCCTTTAGCTAAAGACCAACACACTGTGATAGAGATGCTATATAATACCCCTTGTATCTCTTGTTAAGCCTAACAATTTCGAAGCATAGAAATGGAGACTTAGCGGAGTAATAAGTCCTATAAGTGTGTCATGGTACTGACAGACGCTGTAGCAGAAATGCGTAGTATCCAAGACCACACTAGCAAAATATATCACCGGATACGTTACTATTCTTTTATACGTTCTTTATATAAATCTCATTTGTTCAAACCGTGTGTACCCCTTTTTTCTATTTTTCTTCGTGTATTATAAAATAAGGCTACATAGCTGTTGACACGCTGGGACAGTTGATGAATCATCTATCACCCCAAGAATTGCTCAGGGTAGAATCATGCCCTTATCCGCCTGTATAGTTCATTCGCAAAAGTCAAGCAATTGTAGCCTCTTCTACTAAGGAGATCATAATTTGGGTTTTCCTTCACAATATTTTGTGCCTCTAACCAGACCTTATTCAAGGGCTTGGTTCGACTAACTGGCCCCATGCTCTTGTAGGACACCCTTTCACCACTCGTAGGATTTATTGCGTTCATATCACTCAATAACCACTGTCCTGGGATCACTTCCTCAGGTCTGTCCGATACATATGACATGAAGTTATCGTCATATACCATGTGGAAGGCAACTGCTTTCCAACTCCGGGTAATTTCAACAGTCTTGCTGACAACCCTGCCGCACTCTTCCTTCGATTTTACTCTTCTGGTGACGTGAACGGTCCCAACAAGCAATTTGTAGTGCCCTATGACGTCTAAAAGAGCTGACCCATAGCGATCTGCTTTCTGTTAGTAAAAAGGGAAAACTCGAATCATAGCAGCATAGCTGCACTGAGATATGGTCATAAAAGAGGGAACATTGCTTGGTAATAAACATATAATGAGGGTGCCATATGTGAAGGAAAGACTTACGAGACCTGGTAGCCCAATAATCCCCATCTTTCCAAGCATTGCCTCTATTGGCGGCCTTCTCCAGAACATCCATCGAAGATTCGTCTATATATTTTTCCTTAGCAGGAACATGTGGGGCACGCTTTTCTCTTCTATTGCATTTTCGTCCGGTCTTGTTGGCTGATTTTCTTGGAGTGTGCGGTTTTCGATCGTGTCGGCGGGGGGCGTCTCTTGGTTTCACTTTTGGTCTGTCCATTTCGAGGCGCTGGGTCTTGCCGAAGACCTTAAACTCAGCTTTCCCTGCCTTTTCGATCCCCTCTATGCAGGCTTGGATGATGGCTGGGGTGGCCGCAATCTCAATTATATCCGCGATTTCCCCTATGATGGGAATCGCTGCCTCGATAGCCTCGAGAGGTGCAAGTAAGGCAGGAATGGCCACCCTGCAGAAGGCTTTGGCAGCTATGTCAATGGCAACCTGAACAGCATCGGCTTCTGCAGCGGCTTCCACAGCCTCCTTACGCTTATCCTCTTCATCCGCAAGCTTATCCTCTGCATCCGCAATGTCATCGTCCAAGTCCGAGGCTAAAGGTAATCTGGTATTAGTTATGGTATTTAACACAAAGCAATATCCAACATCAACCAAACTTACTTGTGGCCTGAAAACCTGCACAGCAGTAGCTTTGTGTCCCTCCATGACAATTGAAGTCACCCTTCTTTGAATCGTGCGAATTAGTATTTGTGGTTAGCTCGGTTTCTCCCTCCGCGCAGCCGCCAATACAGCTAAGGCCTGCTCCTCGATATCCTCTCCATTGGCATGACCCCACTTGAGTTTTTGAGTCGCAACATATAGACCGGTAACTGTCTTTTGAGCACTTATCAAAAGTGCTTAATGAACCCGGCTGACCGTTGAACTGAGCTGCAACCTGAAATGTTCCGGGCTTGCAACTCTCACCACAACCCGCTATGTAGCAGGTAAGGCTGGCAAGAGTGTCTGCTGTATCTTGATCTGCGCTGGCCTGCTGATCATCCGTGATATCGATACCAGATAGAGCGTTAGAACCATTGAATCTATGGTCTTCATTTTGGTCTATTTGATCAACCGCCCATACCATCATCCCCCCAAGACACCTACTATTGGCAAAATCAGCCTTCTGTTTAAAGGTGTCACCATCATCATACGAAACCCATTGGTTTTTGTCCCAAGTGATCCACTTAACACCGGCAGTTTTGTCCCAAACTGGGGTGAGTGAATTGCTCTTGATAATGTCCGATATCTCCTGGTAATCAAGAATCCCGGAAGCTTTAGAACATGGCCCAGCATTGGCACCGCCTGAAAATTCGCAAACTCCATCTGGCTTATCACAGTCGGGGTTCTTCAACGTAAAGGAACGGCCGTACCACCCTTGACCTAGGACAACATTGGAGGAATCAACTCCGGCCCTCCATAACAGATCAAGTGCAGCATCGATCTCAGTGAGGTTTGTATGAGGAGCAATATATGGCCCAATAAACTTAGATGCAGCATCCCATACACCATGTAAGTCATAGGCCATTATATTAAACCAGTCGACGGAAGATTGAATTCCTGGCAAATCAAAATGCTGAAGATACCAGTAAGAAGTTGGTAGAGTAACGGTGATGCCATATTTTGTTCCGAAAGCGGCACGCATCTCCTTGCACAGGGTAACCTATATTCGATAAGACAGTTACTCTAAAATTATAGCGGTCGTCAACTTACATAGTTGGCAGCGTCAACACTATCTCCACCACGGTCATCAGCACCTGGGTATTCCCAGTCAAGATCAACATCATCAAATCCATATGTGCTCATAAATTTAATCAGCCCGTCAATGAATGTGGCACGATTTGATGAACTGCTGGCCATTTTGCTAAAAGCGGTTTGAGTTACTCCGGAGTCAGTGAAAGACCATCCACCAACGGAGATCCATGCCTCTAAGCCTGGTTTTTGTTCTTTCAAAGCAGTGAATCGACTATAAAGGGAAGCAGCATTGCCATCCATAGGCGAGACTTGGAACGTGGCCGGGTCGAAAAATGCAAATGCAAAATTAATTGATGTGAAGCCATCAATATTTAAATCCTCCGGGGCCACACTCTGACATGCTCGTGTATTGGCCCAGGATTCGTAATAACCAATATTTCGTTTTCGGGTACTTTTGCCGCTACAAGACGGCCTCTTGACAGTGCCACATCCGCCGTAACGGGTATTGCAGGAGCTGTAGTTCGGATCGGCCTTGTTCTCCCATTTACAAAACTCAGAAGTAGATCCACAAAAGCCGAATTCACTGCAGCAAACATTGAGAGGGCATTTTTGTTTCCCAGAAGAAGCGTAGGGACCACATTCAGCTTTGGAATCGCCTATACGCTGTTATTATTAGCTTAGGTGTGGGTTGGAATAGGATACTGACAGTTATGCTGGCACCCAGCCCCGCAAGATGCAGGTGAGTAGCCACAGAGGTTGTCTTTCCCGCAACAAGCGCCATTTGCACAAGGTGTTGCGGCATTGCAAGTTCCAGTGGGTAGTTCTGCTAGACGTAAAGACACATCTCCGGAGTGAGGGTTATAGGTAGGAAAACCATTAACCGACTGGGCAAAGGGGCTAAAGGTGACTGCATTTGTTCGTCTAGCCCTAGCAGCAGAAATAGATGGAAGCAAGGTAAGGCCCGCGAGAACTGCTAGCCAGCCTTTATACTGCATGACGACAATACGCAGCTAAGGAATAAAAAAAAGGGGCATTAAAAACCCCGATGATTTTAGAGATGGAGGAAGGGTCTGGGAAAGGCACCATAAAGGTATTATGTATTTATCAAAGATTGGGACAACCCGGCTTCAGAATAGGGTCGGGAGGCAACGTTGATTACCCGCTAGGAGCATATATACTAGTGCAGGTTTGCCATATCTGAAGCCACCAATCCAATATTGCCTCTGAGTAGTCAAGGGGCTTAGTTCTAGCAATAAACGGTGCTTATCTCTTTTAGAGATAGAGCTCAATCAGATGACGACGTGACTTTCCGGAAATGCAACGGTAGCATAGCATGCAAAAGCCTTGCGAGGTGGAACTCGCACACGGACATGGATAAGCCGTAACTAAATGGGTATCTCAACATTTTTGAAATGACTAGAAAGCAATAGTCTAGCGCTCGAATAGGCCCAAGTGATATTGAGGCTAGCTGCCCTAGCTTCATCCCTGTTATATACAGAGTATATACTCCATATATAATATTAGATCTGTTATGATCTAAACCTGTGCGCAGTTCGTCGTTGGAGGTTGAAAGATGGAGGTTGAAGCGTCGTCGTCGAATGCCGCGATCAGGTGACTAGCTACATGTCACGTGAGTACCCGCCCCCTTTTCAGTCGGAAGAAAGAAGAAAAGGATCCAAATATTTGCGCCGTCTCCCTTTTTTATCTAGCTGAAGAAAACAAGCAATGCCTGAAGGAAACAAGCAATGCGAAGCCGTTGCTGCCTACAACTTAAAGTGAACGTCTCCACTGGTTACGGAGTTTGTACGTACATGCATGTATATACGGAGTATATATGTCGGATTATAACCTTGCAGAGCCTTCGCCCTCTGCGGCCTGGCTCCACATAGATTTCTGATATTTTCACTACTAGCTACGTCCGGCTCCTGCGCCGTTTTCCTTCTCCTTCATCTTTGGAGATTCAACAGGATGCAGTCGAGGCTTCGTTCCATTCCCATGTCTAAATTAGGTATATACGGAGTACTCCGTATAACCTCATTGTGCTTTTCCTGAGAAGCCTCCTCTTTCTTTTTTAACTATCCATTTTCTCCTATCTCAAGTAAATCCGTTTCACCATCTTTGTTGCTTCCTCTTTTCCAATCATCCTCTGACTTCAATTCTATCAATCCGAACAGTTTCCTTATCTAATGGCCTGCAGGGGCGTTTCTACGAGCATGAGACTTGATATAATCTCATTGGTCACAGGCCTTGTCCTGTTCAAGGATGTCCAGGTTGGTTGCCCTAGTTATATTTTATATCGTTTTTTCCTGATTTGAATTGTAGCGCTGACTTACCTTATCTAGGCGGCGGTTCAATCTAGCCTTTACCCGGCCGTAGATTCCGTCTGTTTGGCAAAAGCTTTTAATATTACACTTGGGTGCCTCGATGCTCTAAACGGGACGGTGTCCTGTGACGCTACCCTCCTGCGAATGGCAGGAGACGTGGACAATTACATTTGGCACATGGATAATGTTACTGCTCTATGTACCGCTGACTGCCTTTATACGGCCTCAAATTGGTACTGGAACGTTTTTGATGCATGCTCTGACGACTACGTGAATGTCAGGGGAAGGCTAGTTCCTCCTTACACGATTCCTGGCCGAACATTGGATGGTATGAATATTGCATGCCTACGGCCGGGAGACGACGTATCTCAGTTTCCAGGCATTGATGGCAATGAGGTTACCGTCACAGAGGTGTCATCAAACAGTTCATCGGCCGCAAACGACCCGGGGACCCCTACTGCCCCTGATTCTACCGAGCTGGGGAGCAATTTGGACAAAACGTCCAGCAGTCCGGTCAGGCTTCCACCTGCGAACAATACCCATATAAGTCAACGCCAAGTAGCCTCTAGTGGTAATACTACTGGATTTTGCTTAATCGATTCATATAGCTGGGTTGGGTCAGATATCATTCGACCTGATTGCTCGGATAGTACAAGCATCGAGCGACGATGTTTAGATCCCACTGATGTGCCCGATGAGAATCAGCGAATTGCAAATCTTTACCCAGATGATCTGTTGTGCAGCGATTGTTTTATCAAGATGTTCTACTTGCGCGTGGCATCGCCATACTTACCAGATCTCGATTACTCGGATTACCTTATAGAACAGTATCTCGACATCGTTGACGTTTGTGATGCGGAGATGCCGGAATTGATGATTCGAGATTTACTAGAGTACGACCACGCCAACAACACTCGAAATGAGCCTCCTGCAAACAACAGCACATCTAAAGTCTCTTCCATGGCATGTAACCGGAATCTAACGATAACCGATCTAGAGAAAGCGAACCTCCCAAACCCCTTCGTGTCTAATACAACCTTCTGTGATATTTTATCGGTTGCATACAACGCTACTACAGGCGACCTAAATTTAGCATTCGATGACCCCATTTGCACACCACAAGAAAATTTTACCAGCATATGCCTCCCTGCCAAGTGTCCTGTGATTGAGGTTCCATATAACTCTACTTGGTAAGTGCAATACTTCTTTTGCTAGATTGTGCTAATGATTTATTAGTACATCTGTAGCTAAACAAGTCTCAACCGTTGATACCAATGTCACAAAAACGCAGCTTCTATCGTGGAATCCCCATCTACTGGGCTTCTGTGACAGCTTATCCAAACAATACATTTGCGCTGATGCCCCGGGTGGCTCTTACATACCCCCTGCCGTATCAAATAATACTTCCACCGATGCAGGACAGCAGAGGGGAAGTGGCCCTGGAGACTCGATTGGTGGTGGAGGCATAGTAGGGGGTGGTCGGAATGCAACTATGGTTCCAGCAGGCGAGCCAGCGCCTACACCAACACAGTCTGGTATCTCACCCCGCTGCACAGAGTATGCTTTGGCAAGTAAGAGCGATACCTGCGATTCACTATCTCGATTATGGCACATCTCTCGAACAGATTTCTTTTCTTGGAACCAAGTCCTTGGATTGAAAGGTGAAAACTGTGATACCCAGCTATTCCTTGGTTATTATTACTGTATAGGCGTTCTCGACAGCCCCACAGCGACAGCACCCGCAGCGACTCCTACGAAGGCGATAGCCCGTGGACCTACACAGTCTGGCATCATTCCTACGTGCAACAAGCTTGTTGAGTCTATCTCTGGTTTGGGATGCGAAGACTTTGCAACTGCAGAAGGCATTGCGCCTACAGAACTTTACGCATGAAATTCAATGCTGGGTGCAAACGGAGCTTCTTGTGCCGCTCAATTTTGGGCAGCCTGGTACACTTGTGTGAGCGTGAGCCCTTGAGAAACCATGGTTATTGAGGTTGAAATCAAACTGTATCCTTGCGGACTTAGGTATAAAACAAGTGGTAATTGTACGGAGTACTATTCAAACATTGCACTACCCAAAAGGTAGGTATATCATTTACAATGCCGAGCCTTTCGGGATGAGGACTTTTGGTGGAGACCGTAGAACTCTGTCACAAAAACATCTACCACAAATTTTTCATAATTGACAGAAATACTGCAACTCAGTGCTATTTGTTTTTGCTAGCGCAGAGCCGTTCTAAGTGGAGCTAGTTAATAGAGTTAAGCTAGAAGTTCTTTAGTTAACTAACGACAAAAGCTGCCTTTCTTCTGGACACCTCACGCCTTTTTAATAGCTAGTTATGGGTTTATCCCAAGTGCTACCGCTCCTATAAACAGCCCCACAAGGTAGTCTGGAAGATGTCTTACATCTAATTATTTATAGGACTAGAATTCCCCTTTCAACTTAGAATCTCACCCGTTGGTGGAGTATTAGTTACGTGTTTCTTCTGAGACTACACCCTACAGACTCTGGAGTATAGAGTACATATTTAATCTCAACTCACCCATCAGCATTTGCCAATACGCTTCACAAAAAGTCATTACTTCTTAAACACTCATTCCTTCTGCCCTTCAACACATCCTGCGCTCTCTGTTGCCTGATACTGCACCAACAAAGCCTTTAGGACTATCAACTGCACCCTTGAATGGTGTTCTGAGACTTCTTCTATGGGTATTCTCAACTTTCTGATACGCATTGTGAACCGTAATCCGAGCATGCAAAAAGGAACGAAAATCAAAGATTGGGCAGTCACTTGCGGTATGTCTAATCATCCAAAATTCAACCAAATTTATCTAATTAACCTTCAATAGATTCGACTCATCATGAGCTCACCAAACGCTGTACCGAGGTATTGCACCTTTACGAGCAAAAAGAGCGTTTCAAAGAAATATTTGACACATACTGCGCTGGGAGCTCATCTCAGGGAATATGTAAGTGTTGTCCTTGTTATATATGATATAACATCTATTTATAAGTGTATTATTAGATTGGAACGAAGAAAGCTTTAAAAGTTTCATAAGAAGCACACATTCTGAAGCTGCAGTTTCCAATGCTACAATTCAGCTTCTTTGGAGAAGCTTCCGGTTTTTCGCCTACTATCCATTTCCTCAGGATACTCTGCCTAGAGAAGTCAAATATGATGCGTTCATCCGTGCGGTTTCTAATTTATTTTTCCGAGCGAATGAGCACATCGCCATGCTACTAGATGATACCGTTATGGAGGTTTCTCTCAGGAAAGGCCCCATGAATCGAATATTTAGAAGTATTGGGGTTGTATCCCAGTCGGAGAAAAATGACATAGCTTCTACCTCAGATGAAGATTTGTCTCCCATATCAGATATCGTGTGGTGTTTATATTCGACTGTTTGTTGTGACCAACCTGGAATCCCGTCAAATGTTCCGTCAAGCGAACTTGAAGCTATAGCGCGAAAGCTCACCAATACTTCCAGCTTACCGAAAATCCTGATAAAAAAGAAGGACATGTCTGCCTTGGTAGGTTTGCTACTCCGTGTCAGCTTTCTGAAAGAGAAATGGCCTATTTCGAAAAAGGGACCATTCCATTTGGTCAATTGTCCCATGGGTAGCATTGGGGAAGCCGATTTTGCGGGAGAGGAGTTGGCAACGGCTCTGACGAGGGGCCTAGTGGAGGGCGAGGACCTCTCATTTGATCAATTTCTTGAAACACGTCATCTTCTGGTAGGTGTCAATTGAAATGCCGAATACAATAAAAAGTTACTAACTGTTACATCTCCTTTAGCCTCGCCTTGATTGGGCTTTTTACCAGTTATGGGCGGTCCTTTTTCAACCTTCAGTATCTACTACTGAGCCAGCACTTCCCCGTTATACCCCGACGAATATCACGGGGGCTTTTTCCCTCCTTGCACCACTACCGATGACTACTCATACTGGATATGAGGGATACCAACCGCCCACGCTAGAGAGCTCAAAGATATCCCCGGGTTCGCATGATATCTCTGTAGTGTATTTAGCTCAGGCTCTCTTTGGTCATCCATCACCCTGCTTTGTGCTCTTTAGCACGAATAGCGATGCAGTGGCAGCAAAGGCCAGAACAGTCATAGCGGCTTACTTCCCTTGCCGAAACTGCTTTGGCCATGCTGAAGACTGGTCTGGTGACAAGGACCATCGTTCACTATCACTCATTCAGCTTTTACCAACCTTCCGCATGTTGCGTCCGGGACTTCCAACCATTTCAATTCCAGGCTTGATTGACGGAAAAGGGGAATCGCTCGCAGATATCGTGGCAAGTAAGGGGTCATCCAACTTCCCGTATTGGATTGGGGATCGCGAAAACCAAGGTGCCGGTATTAGGATGAATCCAGAGAAAAAAATCGTAACCCTTGTTAGCGGTGATAAGCAGTGGATAGGAGGAGAAGTTGAACGAGATGGAGATGGCGAGCCTAGCAAGAAGAATTGGGAGATTACGATCCAGGACCCGAGAATGGATGTATTGACGCTGGACGAACTGGTTGACCACCATTGTGAGGATGAGAGGGTCCCCGCAGACCCAAAGGAGTTGGAGATTCTGAGGGAGAGAATAATTAAAGACCTCGTTTATGAGGACGGGAGGATCAAGTTTCCTGAATACGTCGAATCAGTGCACTCCTCCGACTTTGATGAGGATGGGAATGAGATTATCCGCAGGTAACTCTGTAACTTGGATATCCTACCTAGTATAGTATACCATTAGCGGCGCCCCTTGGCGGTTAGCAGCCCTAATTTTCCCTATAGTAGTATCAGCTTCTACAGCAAGGTAAAATGATATATTTAGGAAAGACAAATATACATGCCTCGTTCTATTCAATGGGGCCTTGACTTTCTTAGATAACTAAGACTGTGTTCCTTGTTTCTTGCTCATATTCCTTCTCGCCACTTCAATTCTTAAGCTTATAGTTTTCAGAACTAGACCACTCTTCCATGTCAATAGCCTAGGTTATATCTCTCTTGATCCTTCAGTTCCATGCATGTATGTGTTGTCCTGGAACATCATGCGGGGCAGATGGAATGTTTGCTCTTCTGGTATACCCTTTCTAGCCCATTCGCCATACATTATACATACGCCGAAGGCCCAGCCCCCCTCTAATGTCCTTTTATCACTGGTGGACAATGGGACAGCATAAATGGGCACATGCTTGCCATTTATGCATCCTTTTAATCTGCCTCGGCCATGCTGCTATCCATGTAATTTGATAAAGTATGGGTGTGACAAGGCCAGGGTGCGCTGCATATGTACTCTCTGCATGTAACCGCGACTCGTATTGTCAGGGCAAAGCACTCGGCACTTATCTCTCCTCTCAAATAGTCCCATATGTTGTACAAAGAGGTAGTATCATGCAGTACCACTGGAGGGGCATGGCAATGCGTGAAAATATGACCCTTATACATCAGAATTTGGGAACTGCGTTTGAGTCCATTTAGATTACCTCTTCTGCGAGATATTAGCACCAGCCCCAGCTTGACAGTAGGAGAAAGTAGGACTGGAGGACAGCATTACTTTTTACCTTTCATAAATTCATCAGCTATGTCCACCGTGGCGGAGGAATAAATATAATATATAAATATAGACATCATCTTTCCCTTTCCCCGTCATACCGTACGAGCTATCGTTTTTGTGTTGGACCAGACATTTGGGTGCGGCCTCAAAAATCGGTCCAGGCCCATCCAGGGAGTATTAATGGGGCTTTCACCTGTATATAGAAAAACATCATATAGGAAGCCACCAAATACGCAACCGAAGAATGGAGAGACCATGGGAACCTAGTTTCGGACATTGGTTAGTTACAGTATTACACCAGCAACCGCTTCTCAAGCAGGAATTGGGAAAAATATGGAAAAGGCTCACCCAAAAGTAGTAACCTCCAGCAGACCATACTTCATGTCCATAGCCCAGGAAGTAACTCATCAGGCGTGGTCCGAAGTCTCGAGCAAGATTGATCGCATATCCAGTCTCCCACCCGAAGCATGCGCCTATGCCAAAGATAAGGAAGAATAGACCAAGTGGCATCAGATTCCCGGCTCCCAGATTCTTATCATCTGCCATTGCGAAGATACAAAACATGAGGATCGTGCTGGCAATGAATTCTGAGAAGAATTGACCTGTCTTTGTAAGGAATGGCGCAGGGTATGTACAAAATATACCAGCAGTGGAAGTGTTCAATCCTACGGTGCGAATGTTAGGGCCACCTTCGAAGTCGGTAATGGCTGATTTGTAGTTCGCATAAACAACTCCTGCGGCACAGAAGGCACCTAGTACCTGGGCTAGCATATAGATAGGAAACTTTCTCCAAGGGAATTTCCGGAAGACGCAGTTTGCGAGTGTCACGGCAGGGTTGAGATGGCCGCCGGAGATGCCGCCGCAGCAATAGACGCCAATCATGACCCCAAGGCTATTCAGAAAGTATCATTAGAAATGGTATTTCTCTTCGTTGCCCGCCATTTAATAATTTTCTTCAATGTAAATGTTTGACTCACCCCCAACCCCACGATATTGATTGATAATCTCCCTTTTTCGAGTCACTTAGAACGACCTGGGCGACAACGCCGTCGCCAAAGAGAATCATAATGAACACTCCAAAGAACTCGGCAAAGGGCTCCCGGAGTTTAGTCCGTATCTTGGTCCATAGTAGTTCCTTGATGGGTTGTGTTTCATCCTCAGTGGCTGAACATGGACTAAATGGGATCTTGGGTTTCTCAGGATAGCTATGGAGTTGTAGATGACCCCCCTCCAGGGAAGGGCTACTATGGTCCTTTTCAGTGGTGCCTTGGGAGAGAGTTCCAAAATTTTCGTTGTGCAAAGTCTGGGAAGAAGATATTCCTGTTTTCACTGGTTTTATCGGCCAATTCTCGTCTACTCCGGAGATCTCCATATATAACGGTAGGTAGTCAGAAGAAAGAAGCACGGTGGAGAAACGAGGAAGAAAACTAGGGGAGAAAGGCTCCACTAGGGTGAATAAGAAGGATCCGCAGGATATGTGTGAATGGGAACAACTCCACGAATTTCCACAATTCCCCACGGGGGTATCGACGATCTTATAAAGCTGGGAGAGAAGGCGAAAGAAGAAGGATGCTGACGCACGATCGGCCTGGCCGTTCATCGTAGTATCTACTGTGCAATGCCATGCCACGCCGTGTTCAACTTCCCTATGGGTAAAGCGTCGTACAAATTTAACCGTTTGCTCCGTCCGTTGGTCCGGGTTACAAATGTTCTGTCCGGGTAACTAGGGTTGCTCCAGCAAGATATCAAGCTTGAGCGTCGGCCGGATCCGAAAAAGCGTAAATCCGAATTCTACAAACGAATACAAACGTAGTTTGCATGGTTCCTTCATCTCATGCAGCACAAGAATCACAGAAACCTCGTTCGTGATGCACTAGGAACAAATTCAATTGGTCTAAAGCCCACTTTGATGGCGGTTGGCGTTCTGTCAAGCTAAGGATAACTACGCTAGACAAGGTGACCCTGGCCACCGACAATGCTGATCAGCGCCACTAAAAGGTGGGCTGTGATAGTTCGAATGAACACCTCCGCATTTTCCCCAAGTTGGTGGGTGTCTGGACTACGGCGTGGTTGGTAGTGATATAGGAGCTCTTTTCTTCGATATATTGGGATGCTGGTTGTAGAGGTAAAGATAGAGCTGCGTTGGGATGGCGCGGGCGCAAAGCTTGGTTGGCGGTTCATCGGCAATCCCCGTGGCTGCCGAGATACCTTATACATTCCTTCGTCGTATCTATGGTCGCGCCGAGATGCATCTCGTACTATATCTGCGCTCACGTGTAAATTCCACGGAAGTCTCCAGGTTACCCGAAGGACGAGGGTCAAGGGGTCAGCTAGGAGGATAAGATAGATCTACCTCCGTCCCGCATTCTTTTCCCCTCACTGCTCATTTGTACCCCTTTGCGCACCCCGGTTAATCCATAGTCTTTTGTGAGAAATAATCTAGCTCGATGGCTGGAGCTGGAAAGTCGTTTGTTGGGTCAATTGATCAGGGCACAACGAGCTCTCGGTTCCTTATTTTCAACACTGACGGAGAAGTAGTCGTTTCGCACCAGCTAGAGTTCACTCAGATATACTCTCAGCCAGGGTGAGTTTTTGACAGCTTCTCTCATGTTTGGCCAAGAATATGCTAACGTAGCTGCTGTTGAAGCTGGCACGAACATGACCCCAACGAAATTGTCGAGTCCGTAACAGCTTGCATAGATGGAGCTGTAGCCGACTTCGAAAAGCAAGGACACACGGTCGACTCCATCAAGGCGATTGGAATTACTAACCAGCGTGAAACCACGGTGGTATGGAACAAAGAGACGGGCGAGCCACTTTACAATGCCATCGTCTGGACAGACACGCGCACGCAAGCTCTTGTGCGAAAACTGAAAAACCGTCTAGGTCATAGCGAACTGCAGCCGATTTGTGGTCTGCCGCTTTCTACCTACCCATCCGTCGGTAAGGTGCTATGGTTGATCGAGAATGTGCCCAAGGTCAAAGAGGCGTACGACATGGGAATCCTCGCGTTCGGAACCATCGACACATGGCTTATTTATAAGCTCAACGGTGGTGTGAGGGGGAATATCTTCGTGACGGACCCATCGAATGCGTCACGGACGATGTTCATGAATCTTGAGCGAGTCGAATATGATGAGCGACTGCTTGATTTTTTCCGTCTTGACCCGACTAAAATCCACTTGCCTAAGATCGTCCACTCTGCCGACCCAGAAGCGTACGGTAAACTCGCCCTGACGTCTCTTAAGGGTTTCCCCATTACAGGATGCCTCGGCGACCAATCTGCTGCGCTTGTAGGGCAGAAGGGATTCACTCCTGGTAAAGCCAAAAACACATATGGCACTGGCTGTTTCCTTCTATACAACATTGGCGAGAAGCCAGTTGTGTCGAAACATGGCCTGTTAACAACAGTCGCCTTTGACTTTCGCGGTAGTGAGGGTGGAAAGCTCACGTACGCCCTTGAAGGAAGCATTGCCGTCGGCGGGTCCAGTGTGAAGTTCCTCGTCAACAATTTCAAATTCATGGATAGCTCCAAGGATCTGACTGCTTTAGCTGAAACAGTACCCGATAGCGGCGGGTGCGTGTTTGTCACAGCGTTTAGTGGGCTGTTTGCTCCATACTGGATTGATGATGCCAGAGGTACAATATTTGGGATAACAACGTATACTCAACGGGGACATGTGGCGAGAGCAACCCTAGAAGCGACGTGCTTCCAAACCAAGGCGATTCTCGCTGCTATGGAGAAGGATAGCGGACACAAGTTGACCGAGCTGGCTGTTGATGGCGGTATGTGTAGTAGCGATTTGACGATGCAGGTATGGCCACCCATTTTTAGCCGCGCTGTTTGCTTCAACGAATTTTGGTCTATTGCTAACTGATAGCCCAACAGACGCAAGCAGATCTAATATCCATCCCCGTCAACCGCCCGAGGATGCGAGAAACCACCGCTCTTGGTGCAGCGATAGCAGCCGGTATTGCTGTCGGTGTCTGGAGCGGTACGGAGGAGCTTCAAGGTGTCAACGTCGAGGGACAGACGACGTTTAAGCCAAGCGTTCAGAAGGAGGAGACAGATAAACGCTTTGCCCGGTGGGAGAAAGCCGTGGAGATGTCTCGAGGATGGGCAAACTAGAATACTGAAGCTGCCTTTTTGCGCGCAATTTAATGGTGTCACGGTTATTTCATTCCTCTCTTTGTATATATATAAGTATATCCCAGTTGGACCTAATATAGGAGAGATGCATACTGCTTGGATATCGCAAATCAAGTTGGGCGTTCATCATTCTCTTAAAGTATATTGATTTCATATACCCCATGGGTCAAAGGCCCTGATCTAAGCTCCCGAACGAGGCATTTCATTTTGAGGGCTTTGAGGCAATTCCCCTTTGCTCAAACCGAAAATAAGTATGGATGCCTCCTTCTAATGCTCTTGGGCGACGCTGACATCCCCCACCAAAGCTCGGTTAAGCCATCCACATTGGGGGTATTGTTAGGCACCTTGCCTCCTAGTAGTTGATTGCATCCCTTAACGTTTCTCGTGAGCCTTGTATGCGGGAAGATTTCGCTGTCAATTTCGCCCCAGAGTTCATCGGGAACGATCTCTATGGGGACCTTGAAGACGGATTTATACCAGTTTCTCTCGGTATGAGGGTCATCAGGGTCATGTTCTTCCTCATCATGAGGATTTACTTCGGTTACTTCCATAACAACGAGTAGGAACGGAGCATCGTCGCGCCAATTGAATGAGTCGATGGTTGGAAAATCGTTGGAAAAAACAGACTCAACGGCCTCCGCACAGGTACACAAGAACATGTTATAGCCCATACCTGTGGGTGCATCAGTCTTCGCATTCGCATACCACTCACGAAGAGTCTCTTCAGTGGCACCATCGAGCCCCTTATCCTCCACCCAATGAAGAGTAAACCACTTCCTTGCCTTCGCGACCTCCTCATATTCATGCCCCCTGTGGTGCCCAACTACTTTATCAAATGCCAGATGTAGGATCTGATGAACTCGATCTTTAAATTGAGCCCATTTCTCTTCGTCATCATATAAGACGGTGCGGAATGCAACAAACCCCCAAGGGGTATTATTAGAGTAGCCTTTTCTCCATTGCTTAAGGAATTGTGGCGCATCGTATTTAGGCGGAGGAACGCCCTGTTCCCGTAGCTTTTTGTCCTCTAACCTCTCCCGCTTTCGCCGTATATAAATATGCATTCTTCTCACACCTTCCTCACCCAGAATCTCCTTTAAACCACTCATCATCTTGGTTCTTTCGTCTTCCGGCAAGGCCATGATATTGGCGTCAGGGTCGCTAAAGCGGGCCCAATTCCACCCTTCGGACCAGTAAGAGCTCGATGCATCCGAGAATGGCTCATTAACAGATGCTCCTTTGCTGCCTGATGGCAGCGCGTCTGGGGACATGCTGGTGTTTCCTAACGACGGCGCGTACTTTGTTCATTGGAAGCAGACGTTCAGTTAAACACAAGCTATATACACGTGACTAGGGCCAAAGCATCTTATATAAGCTTGACACGTGATCAATTTGCTTGCCCTAAGAGAATATCAAACTTCAACTTCTAGTGTCTAGTACATACGACCACAGGAAGTGGAAAACAGAGCTTCCCGTCCGCTCAGCTGTACTTAAGCCACTTGCCGGTCAGTTAGTAGTTGGGTGGGTGACCACCAGCGAATCCCGACTGTCGTATGTTTTTGTTTTTTGTCTGCTTCCTATCTTTTTGGCTCCATTGGAACAGGTCGTCGCACGGAGAATCTGATGTTATACTAGAATTTTTATACCCAGTCCTTATTCAATACAATAACTACGTTAATATGTTCCAGCCTGTATAGCTGATGCTATATATCTTGAACTCAACTTCTACCTGGAGATGGTGATATTCCCTGAAACATTAGGTTAAATCTTAAGAAAATATAACTAGATGTATTCATGTCCTTGATTATTCAGTTAAATAATTGATCATTGTCCCTTGTCATTAAAGAGAGAATTCTCTATTTTTTCTAACCGTAGAATTCATTTTAGTCCCTACAGCTATTTGACGTCAACCTTGGACTGGACTGGTTCTTCACGATTCGATCGTTTACTTATGAAGGCTCTTCGAAGCCGTTGAAATTTCCTCCAGAGCACGCGAAGTCCCAGACAAGATTGCGTTTCGTCAATTTTACCCTTGGTAGTGACGACGACAGGCCCTATTCCCAAATCGTACTCTGCGTTTCCAGATATAACAGGTAGATCTTCAACAAACTTGGCCCATTTCTCTTGGGAGACGATTGGTGCTGTACAATGCTGGGCGGCTCCTGTTTCTTCAAGAAGAGTATCCAGTCGGGGAATGAGGCTGTTCATAGCCGTGTTTTCCATTTCGAAATGACGCATACGTGTAATTTCCTGGTTCTCAACGTACCAGCTCATGTCCGATTCTATCGCTGAAGCTTCGTATAAGTTAAGGATGTCCTGCGGTAATCCCGCATCGCGTGCTGCTTCATACGCTATTCGATGTCCGATTGCTTCCACGATGGTTCTGCATCGGGGCAACAAGTAATTGTTGTAGTCTGCGCTTCTATGGCCTCCCTTGAAGGTTTGAAGCTGTTTTCGTGCCTCAGAAATCAGTCCAAGCTCATGCTTTGCAAGGAGGCAGCTGGGATCGGTAGCACTAGGCATTTCGTATCTCCCGAGCAATAGCTCGGTGGCGAGGCCTGCTCACGGAATCGTTAGACTTATGGGTGTAAACATTGCATCTGGATAGGTTCTTACGAATTCCCAGCGCCAAAACATCGCCTTCTGCAATTGATTGCCATCGAATTAAGTTCTTAAAGAAGTGTTATGTTAGTTCAAATTTCCTTTACTTTGTTTTAGTAGCCCACTAACCTGGAGATCAATAAACTGGTTATGTGCGAATAAACCTTGTGCGCCGCATCGGTCGATGAGGTGGCTCATATTCTGGTTACTGTGATGTAGGAACGTGGTTTTGGTAATGGTAGCGAGGCCGTGTCTGATTCTAGGATCAGTTTTCGTATTCCTGAACCTCTTTATCACCCAATCTGCCATTTTATCCATTACTGCAACCTGCGCCAATGTGCGTATCAATGGTAACTGCTGTGTCCGGAACGATAAAATAGACAATCTGCTTCCATTTTGGTCATGGATTGCACGTCTCTGGCTGTAGCGGCCATATACATATGCACATACTTTCAAAATGGGTATGATAGTAAGGGACAATGAGAGCGTTCCTACCCCAACACGACCAATAGCCGCCATGAAATTTTCATGATGACTTTTAGGTTTATCAAGGCTCCCTATAAGGGCAGAAGCAGGGAGACGAACATTGTCGAAGCTAGTAAGGGCATGGTCTAGAGCAAAAGACCCCGCAAGCGGTGGAACGAGCCTAAATTTTTGGTCAGTTCTATAGTATATTTATATTGAAGAGAAGTAATCTGCTTACTTCGCTGATACCCCCTTGCACATTGTTTTGCCATCTCCCAACGCCACCACGAATGGTCGTACCCCTCGATTCTCTCCATTGACTATAAGTTTAGCAAAAACAGCAGCGACGCGTGGAAGACCTGCAAGGGGTATGGTTGGCGGCATAAACCTATATAGTGTTCAGCTTGCTTGTATGTTGTATTTCTACCCGGGTTTGGCGTACTTGGCTGCCCCTGGATGGGGTGTGTTTAGAATGAAAGATCCGTCCTCTTGTAAAACAGTGGAGGTCTCCAGATTTTTGGCGTCTAATCCGTGATCGGCTTCGGTAAGTAGGAATTGGGCTCTATTGTAAAAGGAGTAAGCGATAAATCACACCATAGTTCCGACATAATATCTCTTACGAGACATCAAAATCCATAATCTTCTTCAGCAATGATTGAAGGCTCTTTTGTGTATGCGCTGCTTGTGCAGTTACTCCGGCCGCCAGATTATACTGGATAGTAATAAGAATAAATGCAGGGCCTTCTCGGGTAATGAAATTCGCTCTGTGGAAATCCCAGAATTTATCTGTCAATAGAAGGAAGTCCTCCACCGAAAAGCCTATGTAATTATCAGTTCCATGAAGCATAAAAAAAATCATGTAGAGATGTGTCTAACCGTAAGCTCTGCTGATCGCTTGAGCCTTTAGATAGATCTTCTCTAACTCCTCTAATGAATGGGTCACAGCGCTTGGAGCAAAGAGAGGAGATTCCAAGAGGGGCAATATATTTTTCTCCATCTCGAAGAAGTAGGCACAATGGTAAATTGAGAATCAAGAAATTTCAAGTCGATATTCCCTAAGGCTCGCACTGGTAAGCAAGAATACCATTATTTCCGGGGTCAGGCTATATATATATATATATATGCTTATACCCTCCAGTTGGGCCAGCAGTCCAAGCCGCATAGCTGTCCCTGTCCTGCCAGCGGGCTGGTGCTACATATGTGGCTTGCATAAATTCAGTAAGGATTCAAACCCAAGGGCTTAGGGTATTATTCAAAGTCCAATGGAAACCGTCGTCACATTGTATGTACATTGACTGGAATTCCAAATGGGTAACCTTGTGGTTTAATACTTCACGGGCCATAGGCCAGAAAAACTCAGACCGCTTAGACCCTTTCAGCTCCCTAAATAGTCTTCTCCAGCTGCAACTGACTGATATTATGGGCTGCCTCCCTGCAGTGACCCGTAGCTGACTCTGTTGTCAGCTAGAGACTAGGGTAAAGGAAGGGCTGATCCTAGCAAGGTGATGATAAATCATTTAATGGGAGCAGCACTGCTGCACTAGCGGTAGATGTGCCTTGATGAAAGGGTCGACAAAAGGAAGATCGTTCTGTAACGAAGCTGTAAAGATAATATAGCGGTGGTCTAAATGAAGCAACGCCCCTGGCGTTTCCACGCGAGATGGATCGGTCCTTCGTTATTCCAAGGTAAGCCTTCCACGAGTAACCAATAGGAGTGGTTAGTGCAAAGAAATGCGATGTATGTTGGGAGAACTGCTCGCTAAGTTACGTAGCAGCTATTGCAAATTTCAGCCCAAAACATAGTTAGCGATGTCAAAAGATGGCCCCAACTAGCACTTATGCATCGCCAATTGGCCCGCGATACCCGTCACTACAGCCCGGATGCCTTGGCTCGGATGTTATTTAAGCTGCGAGTTCTTAGCTGGAAGCCCTACCGCAGGGTGGAAACCATCCTTTCGTCTATTTTGACGATATTTGTCCCTTGAAGACGAATATAGTTCTGTTTGGATAAGTTTAGGCAATACCCAGTGGCAAGGAGTCCGGTGTCCAATTCTGGTGGAAGCCTTCCAAGTCAGCAACACGTACTCCGTGCATTTTATACGGCATCATGGTTGTTCTTGAGCTCTTAATTCTCGTGTTGTTGTTGTTGTTGTTGGCATCTCGACGCAACCGATTGAATATTTTCTTTCAGTCACGTGGCCTCATAGACCGTCCATGGATGACATAATCATTACCCCTTTCTCCCCCTCCTTCTATGGGATGGCAGACGGAAGAATTGCTTGAACATTGGGTATAAGGATTTTCATGACAGGTATCCAAACCGTTAACTGTTGAACATCAAGATGATTTACAGAAAGCACTTCATCCCCCTCGAATCTGATCCAGAAATATTTACGGATCTGATGCACAGGCTTGGGGTTTCAAGCTCCTGTGCGTTCGTTGATGTTTGGTCATTAGAAGACACAATAGATATCCCACGGCCTGTCCTTGCTCTTCTTCTCATTTTGCCATCCTGCCCTGAATACGAAAAGTCCCTGGTAACACAAACGGATTTCGATGCTAGGACTGAAGGGATCATATGGTTAAAATAAACTATCAACAACGCGTGTGGTCTCTATGGAATTCTTCATGCTGTTTGCAATACCCCGGAGATAATAGGTAGGAGATAACTGTTAGGATTCTTTTCCTGCTGCTTTATATCACTGTTTTGCTTACTATATCGTGTAAGATGACGGCTCTATTCTTCATACTCTAATGCAACTGCCATCTTCCGATCGCAATGCATTTTTGGAAGACTCAAAAGAGATAGAAGAGCTCTATAAAGAAGCAGCACTAATCGGTCGCTCCGAAGCTCCACCAGCTGAAAGTGAGGTGGACCATCACTATCTATGTTTTGTCAAATCTTCTGGCCACCTGTATGAGCTCGATGGTGACCAGGAAGGCCCCATTGACAGGGGAGGCCTGATGGGCGATGAGGACCCCCTTTCAGAAGCAGGGCTTCGGATTGTTAGAATTACGTTAATAGCAAAACTGATGGAGTTTTTGCCCTACTTGCGTTAGTTAAAAAATAAAGTAGAGATATACAGGCAAGTTTAAAGCACCGTAAGATGATGGTTTAACATCTTATCAGATGATAGTAATCTACTCAAGCATTTGAATCCAGTCCAGGAAGATATCAAAAATCGCAAAGGCCCCATGATGTAGCTCTATGTAAGGGTTCCTACCCTTCGTGGTCCTCTAAGATGATATCAATACTTGCCGCCACCAAAAGAGTAACGATAAGGCGGAAATTCCTGTTCAAGAACTGGGAGGATGGGCCTACTAAAGATGGGTATAGCAGTGGTAGTGCTTCTCTCTCGATTTGTATAAACTTATTTTTTTTTTTGAAATAAAATAAAAATTTAAAAACATTGATAAACATATTATTTGTAATAAGCATCTTATTTTTTAGTTCTTTATGCCCTGGCAAGGGTTGGCACCATATTTTGGGGGTGCCTGTGCTGCATCTACCAGCCCAAATTGAATGGCCCATATAAACGTATTGATTCAAGTGTATCGATTGGAACAGACAGATTGAGAAAATCTTCTAACGATTTGAATATCGGTCGATTCTTTCCCTAAAGATAAATAAGAACTTCCGTCCCAGCCAGCATGCCAGGGCTTAATTTGTCGGCATTCTTACTCGCAACTCGTCGTCACCAACAACCACTGAAAACTTCAATCCTTCGATCCGAAAGGTCCTTGTCCAATTTCCTGATTCTACTGTCTACGGAGTGGGAGGACATTCTGTTTTTATATCCATTGCAGACAATATTGGTGTGAAAATCTCCTATGCGCCAGGCGGGGAACATTTACGCCATGAGCAGTCTATCTTTAAGCTCCTTGCTTCGGAGCCATGCCAATATATAGCCCACTCCCTCTTCACTGCGCCAGACATGATATTTATGGAACTATTTCAGAACGGTACGCTATATGAACGCCTACGGGAGACTGATAAGCCCTACCCTGTGCTGCAATAGATGCAGCAGCTCTCTGATGCCACAGCCTACTTAGAATCGGTAGGATATGCACATGGAGATATCAACCCACGAAATATCCTCTTTAATAAACAGGATTAACTCCGACTAATCGACTATGACCATGCGCTCATAGGATAAATCATTGATATCTATTAAGTTTGTGAATAAACATTGTACCTGTCGTACTTCTCTATCCATGGATGAGTGTTTAAAACACATGACTCGGGAGATCCCGTCGAGGTACAAACTAGGAGAAGGCGATGACGTCAAAAGGAATTCAAAATGCTATTAAAAATATATAAACTATCTAAGACCAAGCAATGAAACGCCATCAAGTCATGAATTAAAAAGAGGGAAACAGTATATCCATCCCAAACCTGCGGGAAAAACAAAAAGACGCAAGCAGAAAGGCTAAGGGGAATCGAACCAAGGGAACGCAAAAAGGAAAAGTATATAAGCAAATTTCCAACTCGCTGAAAGGTGGACACAAATGACAAGCAAGAAGCAAGGCAGAAAACCGACGTGGGGCCCCTCTAAAATGTTGCAGAGCTAAGGTCGAGAAACTGGAGACTGGAGACTGGAGACTGGGGCTGGACTGGAGCCCTGGACTGGGCAGTCTGCATGCAGAGATATGAGGGTGCGTTATGTATAAGCCGCAAAACATGTCACGCGACAAAAGCAAGGGCAAGCGCGGGAGGGAAATAAAGATGCGTTGCGAAGATGCGAGGAACCACGGTAGGACAAAGTGTAAGCAGGTCAGGAGAAGGAAGAAGAAGAAAAAGAAAATAAAAGGCGAGTCTGTGATGCCAGCCGATTCCCAGTCCGAGTTCCGAAAGTTAAAAGGAAAAAAAAAAAAAAAAAAAAACTCCTTTTTGCCAAAATGAAACAAAACATTCTCTGACAAAGGGAAGAGAGAGATGAGGGTAATGTATGTGAGGGAGGTGATGGGGCGGCAGGAGAGGAATAATAGGTGGTTGGTTAGACAGCCCAGCTGCCCCTTCGCTCTGGGACGCCCCAGGAGTCAACTGCCCTATCTGCCCCTGAGCGAGGCTGTTGCCGCGCCCATTCGTGGATATACTGCTTCAATGCATTCCAGCGCATGCATCCTGGAGCCGTCACAGTGTTGGTATTGCATGCACCAGTTCGACAATCCGGTAGGTCGATGTATCCCTTTGCATTAGCGTGGCGATCATCACTCCGTAGTGTCTCGACAGGTATATTTGTGATCTTGCTTAGCTCCACGTCGAAATCGCGTGCCAAGCATGGATACCCCAGGGAAAGATAGTTGTATATCTGCGTGACGAAGCTATCGTTGAATTCAGCGTCGATTTCGCGCTCGAGATCCGGATCGTAGGCCTGGATGAGGATGGCGGGAGGAGCTGGGGAGGAGGCGTCCGGCATGGCGGTGAGAGTGACTAGGTCTGGAGAGATCTCTTTCGAGGGTTGAATGAGGGAGCCAACGGGAGTAGAGGTAGGTGTGGGCGGTAGAACAATGTCCATGGGTTCAGGAGCGGGCGTAATGAGGCCCGAGTTATGGGATGATGAGCTCTCTGGTGAGCGGCCGCAGGACTGGCTGGCGGACTTCCTTTTGCAGGTGCCGTTCCACAGTCCGATTTCGCCACAGTCCGACATATCGGTATCCGCGGTCCATAGTCCGCCTGCATCGCAGCGGTTGGTAGATTTCTTGCCCTGATCCGACATGGGAGTGGGAAGTTGGTCGACTCCTATCATCGTAGATTTGGGAGAGAGACATTTGGTGAATACTATATCATCTCCCAGCATTGGTGGACTAGCGGCTTCACGCATGGGCGCAAGGTTGACACCCTTTTGCCAGCCGCCAATGATGTCGTAGCCACCCGTCTCGAGACCCTCCCATTCCTCCTTATATCGCGCAGCCAGCGCGGCCGCCGAGAACTTGGACGTGTTGTTAGCCGCGGCAAACATGCGTTCGCGACTTCTCATCTCCGACTCCTCCTTGTGACGTCGCATCTCCTCCAGCTCCCAGGCGAGATCGGCGGTAGACTCACGCCGAAACCTCGACAGGTCAATTGACATCTGTCTAAAGGCGGTTTCCATGCCGTCGTCATCATCCTCCTCCTCTGAGTTGCTATCTTCCCGGTCAATGGCAAAGTGAGAAACTGGTTGGTAGACCTGCTCGTTCGGAAAGGCCGCGAGAGCTTGATCCTTTAGCTTTTCTGTAACCAGGCGCGAGTGAAGGTTATACATGTGGTCTGGGTATGAGCCTGTGTAGGAGTCCGGATAGTGAACCTGCACATTCTGATGGCCGCCCTCGTTGGAGAAGTTCGTTGGCGAGGTCGAGAGGGAGGAAGTGGGCGACGCCACGGAGCCCTCGCTGCTGTTGGACGGTATGGCCGGGAGGGTAGGTACTAGGAAGGACTGCCGTCTGCTACTCTGGCGTCGAGACAGACTCGCGTGGGAGTATCGTGACTCGCCGTCTATGGCGCGGAATCGTAGAGTGTTGTTTGGGTGACAGCTGCTGCTGCTACCAAAATTCCGACGAGCAGGACTGCCAGCCGGCTTCTGACGAAACGAGCGTTTCCCCGTCTCGATAAGCTGAGGTGTGAATTTCCGAGGTGAGTCTGGGGTTCTCATAGCAACATCCTTCGACTTGTGCCGATCTGCATCGTCATCCTTTTGTCCGACACCGGCACTCCCACCACCGCTCCTCTTCTCGCTGTCTTTGTTCTGTTTCACGGCTCTCCTGCCGGTCTCCTTCGTTGTCTCTATCAGTTGAGGCCGAAACCTGCTGGTTCCCTTGGGCGTGGGCGTAGAAGAGCCCCCTGTCTTGTTTCCATCCTTATCCTTGGCCGATGCGCGCGACGATGACGATGACGACGACGACTTTATGGTCGATTCGATAAGCTCCGGTACGAACTTACGTTTCGGCGTAGGAGTACTGGATGTAGACGCCATAATGGCAGATAAAGAATGAAATAGAGCTGCCAGATAAGAAAGGAATAAAGAAAGGAATAAAGAAAGAAAGAAATAAAGAAAGTTGACTACTAGGGCTCTAGGGCTCTGGCCTGCTGTACGAGGAGGTTACGGCGACGGAGATGGGGGTTCGCCAGACCAGTGAGCAGAACCATTTGCATCAACGAGAGACGGGAGTATGGAGGAGCAGAGAGAAGAAGCAGAGAGAGGAGAGAGAGAGAGGTGAAAGAGAGAAAGACAGTGAAAGAGAGAGATGTCTAGGAGTAAGCCTGGGATGTCCGGTGGAGCCAGAAGGGGCAAGTTGCTTTTTTCTGCCGCGGGCTCTGATTGGACGACGGCTGAGGTAAGCATGTAGAGCGGGGCACGTGCAAGGCGGACTAGTTGGGTCACATGGTGTCAACGTGACTTTGCCTTGGCCCAGGCCCGCCCGGCCCCGTTAGCGCGTGCTCACCGCTTCCGGGAAAAAGATGACTAAGATGAAAATAGACACGTGATTGGCTGCTCTTTTTCGCCGTTATCGCTTTTCCTTATCTCTAAACGAACACAGCGTTAAAGATGTAAATATGGTAAACAGCTATAAAAAGGCCCATGAGATGGAAAAGAAAGATGCATATTCACAGGATCAACACATGCAGCCCTCAGTCGTCATCGCTGCCTAGGTCCTCTGCGCGCCAGACATGTCCTCCCTGTCCCGGAGAGCGCTCGTGTGCGTCCTCGGGGTCGTCCCCGCCATTCCCCGTCCGCGATAAGGTGCTATCCTTGCGAGCTCGTGCATGTACGATTCCCGGGAATATCGCCTGCGCAGGCATCGAGCCAAAGCCGTGTTCCTGTGGCGTGCCACTGGCGGTCTGCGCTTTGCTCGAGTTGGCGTACGACTCTGCGTCCGAGTACGAGGGATGGCGCCCGGCTGCCGCTGCTACGTGCTCCGAGGGACCAGGAGTTCCGGCTGCGGCGCTAGACGGGGTGTCATCGTTCCTCAGGTAAGAGAATGAAGGCACCTTCGTCAGTGTCTTGGGTGTGTGGGCGTTGTTCGGTGTGGCGGACGCATACCGTTCCAGCCTGCAGTGACACGATTACTATTTATTTCCCACAATAGAAAAGAAACCTCCAGGGTAAGTGAAAGAGCGGTGGACTTACAGCGAGAGCTCTCCGGTCAGTGTCTCATATCTAAACGCCTCGCGTAAGTCGGGTACGTTGCTTTTCGCCATGTTATTACCTTCCAGGCCAGGCAGATGGCATTTACTCCCCAGCCAGCGCTGCTTCAACGCCAGTTCGAACCCGCTCTGGTCAACGCTATGTTTCGCCAACTCACACATATCCACCGCACTAAGCTTGTAGATCTGAGCGGCAACGGAATATTCCTCGATCAGCGGTTCTTTCGTGAATGCAAACTGCAGCGGGTCATCGGTGGAGAGTGAGATGTTCAGGCCCTTCCGGAAGTAATTAGCACACGGGTTTTTATCGTAGCTCAAGAACAGTGCGTTGTTGCTTAACGGAGACATGGCGATCGGGATCTGGTCCAGGTAGAACAGATACTGCAGCAGAGGGACTTTTCGGAGTAAGATCCCATGTGCGATACCCTGGCAGCATAGGAAAGAAGAAGCAAGGTGGTCGGGGTCGCCGGCCTCCCCGCAGTGAGGTCGGAGCACGAAGGTGTTGAACCCACGCTGCTTCCTCCAAGTGTTCAGTGACGCCATATTCGCGAACATGAAATAGATCCAGTAGCTGTATGGCGGATTCTGCTTGGTATCCCACTGTTTGGGGACCGGGAACTTGCGATACAGTCGTCTCTCCGCTTTACTCTCATCGTCAACGCTGTCGAATCCGACGACACGCTGCAGGAAAACGTGTAGTTTTGGATGACTGTTTGGGTCCTGCGTGACCTCAAATAGCGGCTGGAAGACGTTGCGCACGATGTCTTCAAAGTTCTCTACTTTGCCGCTTGATTTGAACACGTCGTAGAGACGAGGGACCTGGATCAGCCAGCGGACATTGGGGGAGAAGAGCTTGTTGTCAACAACCCAGGCAGCGAGCTTGTCCCATTCAGCCAGGGAGTGACCGTAGATGGAGATTCGCCATTCGGCCATCTGGTATTTACTTGACTCGAGGTCGGACATTACTTCTTTCGTAATCTCAGCTAGGTACCGGCCCTTGATGTAGTTGTCGGTCTTCAAGAAGATTTCTCGCAGACGAGACTCGCCAATTGGGTTGTACTTGAGATTGAACTTGTCGAATCGGTGGAATGAGTCCGTGTGCGCCTGAATAGTCAGTATTATACGATAACCAGTTTAGTAAAGCGTGAACCTACATGCATATCTAGGGTATCAATACTCAAATCATAAGCCGTAAGATTGATACTCTCAAAGACCTCCTTTAGGGTCAGATGCTTCCCATCCCTGAATAGCACCACCTCATCTGGACACTTCTTCATCTTACTCTTGATAAATCTAAGCAAATGTTTCTGGTTCATACACGCCGAATGATGAACGTGGGTATCAACCTTGCGGACGTTATAGAAATCTCGGTGGGGTACTTTCTTGCTGTCCGCGATTTCCTGGTACTCGTTCAGCAGTGCGTGGAGCTGGAACTTGCCTTCCAGGTAGGATAGACGCTTGAATGCAAAGGACTTGACGGGCCCATCAGTAGACACATCGAGAACCCCATCGAGATCCATGTAGAAATCGCGGATGGAAGGGATCTGGATCACAGGCTGGCTCAGGTCAGAGGCCGCTTTCGTCTCATATACCTGATAGACACTGTTCTCATCTAGCTTGAAAGTCATGGTCGACGCCTCAGGTAGTGGAAGTAGATCGTTCATGTCAAAGTCCTCCCCAATGTCCTGGCCTGGCTTCCGTCCCTTCTTCGCTGAGCTTATAGGCGGAAATGCCTCCGATTCAGCCTGCTTAGATCCAGCCTTTGCGGACATAATGAAGCTACTTGACATGCTTCCCGTACCAAATCGCTCTTTATCCTCCTCCCACGCTGGTTCAGGTGGAGGCGGATAAATCACCCAGCCGGGCTCGTCTCGGGGGTTATCACCTGCCCGCTGAAACGATAGGCGCATATATTTATGCCTGGTATCTAAGAGACCCTGTATCTTGCGACATATCGCGCTCAATTCAGCAGTAATGGCTCCGTCATTTGGCACATAGCCTCCCACGGCAGGCGGTATGCCCGTTGGAACGCCCATACCGACATTGGCCCGACCTGATCCATCCATCGGCATGCCGATGGTAGGCATAACATGTCCCCTAGCCGACCTCTCTGCAATGCTGATATTGCCATCCTCTCGCCGCATCGATTGCGAATTGCCTGGCGGAGTCGACGTCACCGAATATGACGGGCCAGGAAGCATGCTGCTAATCGACTCATTATCGAAATTGCTTCCTGACGTGGGGCCATGGCCTCCTGGCCCCGATAGTATAGGTATCGACCTTCCGCTCAAGTCAGGACTTTGGGGAGGATCCCCATCAACGCTGCGAGACGCAAGCTGGTGCCGCTGGTAGAACAGTCGTGCCTCAGCGTGACTCATTGACTTCTCGTATGCATAATCGTAGGTCGCTGTTCGTGTCTGGCGGTCTCGAGGGAGGATAGGTTGGGTTGCGGTGTTGGAGTCGGGCGCATCGTCCGCTGGCGGGGTCGCAGTCTTGTTCTCCATGGTCTCTGTGCTGAACCGAGCTTGGAGGAGGTCGCCAATCTGCTCGTCCGGTGTTGTTGGCCTGTCTGTGATCGCAAGCTCAAGCTTGCGGGCGAGATATAGTGGTGGAGGTGGAGGGTTGAGTGGTGGTGGATCGATGCTCGTACTTCGGTCGTCGGAGAGCTCCGCATCGTCAAGTCCTGGTCCAGCCATGGCGCGTTATAGGAGTCAACACAGGAAGGATTAAAATATATATGCTGATTATCTACAAGGAAGAGGTGGTTTTATTATATTATGTATCATAATTTTATAGTAGAGCTAGTCGCCAGATGGCTTCTAGCTAAGTCGCACTAAATAGAGTGGTGGCAGTCGAGTGCGGAGGGCGATGTGATGCACGACTTTGCATGAAAGCGTTGATACGAAGTGAGATGCCACACCGGTACTTCCTGCATGCGTCCATGATCCTGGACATGGTAAACGAGGTGCTCAGTACGGGTCGACTAATAGGGCTTGATGGAATGGAACAAAAAGTAATTATACACGTTATAATTTTTTTGTTAATAACGATATTAAGCCGCCGTAACCAAGGAGAAAAAACAATGACACGTAACAACGCAAGATAACCGACCCGACATAACGGCCAAAGAACAGACGACAATATAGAAAAACAACGAGTTTTGGAGACAGAGAAGAAAGAGCTTGGGTGGAGCAATTTCTGGAGCAAGCCATCATGAACTGCTTCATGCAGTGTACAGGCAAAGTCATGTAGCCAGGAGGTATCTGTTGCGCAACATAAGCTAGGTATATATGCCATAACACATATGCAGTATATCCACACCACCCGAGCAAAGAACCGAAGAGCGTAGAAATGAGCAGCACTCATCTCTAGAATCCTCAATCCCGATGGTGCTACCAAAAGAATTTACGAAAACGTAACTTTTGTTTGGTGGTAGTTGAGGAGTAAGAGGGGTAGTGCGTTAAGAGGGCGGAATAGTCGTACAAAAGATCCAAAAATAAAATAAAACAAGAGGTAAGATGGAAGAAATAAACTGATCGAGAGAGAGCCAGGGTAGGGGGAATGAGAAGCTAGCTGTAATTCCTCATGTAAAGGGAGAAAACAGATATTGGCCACACACAAAGTGTTGCAACAGAACTGGTTCTGCAATGCTAGACCATGCGAAATGACAACGGCAATAGATGGCAATCGCTCAAGTTAAAAAAGAACAGGTAAATGGCCAGTTCTTTAGTGAATTGAGTGAAAGTGATAGGAAATCGGATTTAATAAAAAATTAAGGCACACGGGAACAGGCCGTGCAAAGAGATGCAACAAGAGGAACCTTGTTACCTGTATCTAGCACGGCGCGAACTGGCAGGAGGAGCGTCAGGAATATCTCGAGCACCAGCTCCAGCATAATAATGTTGAGGCTGTTCGATGACAGGCTGTCGAGAATATTCCATATCATAGTCGACATATTCTGGTGGAACGCCACGGTGGACAGGACGTTCAATGTAGTACTGCCCAGCGTTCTGCGGCTCGCGAGCAGCAACACGTACGGGAACGTACTCTACCGCACCATCGTACGGAGGCTCAATGTATTCTTCAACGTAACGATATTGACCCTGCGGCGGCGCCCTGGCGTACGAAGGATGGTCGAGTGGAATACGCTCAACGTATGCTTCCTGCGGGTGAGATGCCGATGCGAGCGCCGCAGCCCTTTGTCTTGTCCTCGGGCTACGGTTGCGGTAATACTCTACTGGAGCTCGTTCTTGGGGCAGAGGTGACCGCGAGCGAGGTCGCAGAGATTCTTGTCTTTGAGCTTCGTACCGATCGAATCTATTATGCGGCCGCCCGCCTCGAGCATCTGGTGCACCCTTGGCGTCAGCTGCAGGTAGCCGGCCACGGCCGCGGGCTTCAGTTTGGTCGGGCGTCAGTACGTCTCCCCTAACGGAAGGTGGGCCACTATGCATATCGAATCCATCGCCCCTTGGGTCAAAATCACGATATTCACGTCCGACAGCGGGACTCTTGCCTCGTCCAGCCCATCCATTATGCTTCCCGCCGCGGCCTGATGGACCTGTGTGACCACCTTCAGCACTAGCGTGGGGATTACCCGACATACGCCATTCCCGCTCATCTGCAGCAGCTGTTTTGGGCCATTTACTTCTAGGTTCCGGGTGCATTTGAGGGTTCGACCCTCGGGAGGTGGTTCCGAAATCTCCCTGATCTTGTCCGGGTACAAAGTTGTTCAAGAATTGCTCGGCAGCGTTCATCTCTTCGGTGGGAGACGGAGCTTCATCTGCTCTTGGCTCGTTTGATTCAGCAACTTCTCCATCTTCGGAAACGTTTCGACTCGCAGGTCGGTCTGCACCAGGGTGCGAAGGCCCATTGCCTGTGGCGGGGGCTGCAGCATCCGTGGCTCCAGGTTTAGAGACTCGTTCCTTTCCTGGGGCACGACCAACGGAAGACTTAGGCCGTTGCCGGGGGCGTCTGCTGTCTAACATTTCAGTATCTTCCCCTGGCATTGTCTCCATTGGACGGGTCTTCCCATGAAGCTTGTCGCGAGGCGGAGCCGAAGGTCCAGCATTACCACGAGCACCACGACTATAGGAATCCCGAACAGGTTCAATAAACGCAGGTCTATGCGGGTCATATTCATCTTCCCGGGGAGGTTCAAACTGTTTTGGATCATCAGGAGACTCGACGAATCTTGGGAAGTCATCGACAGCAACTTCAAGGCCTGAGTGATTGTTTGATTTCTTGCCACCATGACCTCCACCTGGGAGTTTCGAGTGCTCACCAGATTTTGCTTCGAACGTGCTATGAATGTTTGATTTGTTTATAGCTTTCACCGGAGCTGGTGCAATCGGTGCGGTGATTGGAGAGAACACCCATGGAAACGCAGAGGTGATTAGGTGAAACTTTGCTTGGTCCATGCCAGGGGCTTGCCCCAGAGAAGACACAACCCCATTGTCCGGCAAGAGCAACATGTGAACTTTCCAATCGGGCTGAGTGCCATCAGGTGCAGCTGACGGGGCATCGATGTGTACGGACTGGAAATGGCTGAAGAGGGCTGGAAGATGGTACATTTTCCGATCACTTCGAGAAGCATCATATTGACGAGAACGTCTTGAGCTAGACATGTCAGCACATGCCTTGCAGACCAAACCACAGAGGTTTCTGATCGGCTTCATTTGCGGGTGGGAATTCAACCCATCCGAGAAAAGAGTCAAAGCTGGTTCTTGTCCGAATTTTTCAACAAATCTGGTGGTAACATGGTGTATCACAACGTGTGCTCGCACGTTGTGAGGAAGATCTTTGATTCCCGAGGTGCCGTTCCAAACACTACGAGCATTCTTAGCAATTTCATCCAGATGGGTTTGGTATAGGCCAAACGATTGGCTTCCCTGGTTGGGCTTGTGAGCGCCAGCTGGCGGCCTTGAATGATGTCCGCTAGGCGGATAGGGAGGGTTGTAAGGCCCAGCTGCATGACTCGGTCCACTGTATGGCGGTTGGTAGGGCGGGCCTGGGTGTCGAGCCGGATCTCCTGGAGCGTAAGGAGGCGGGTATGCTTGGCCAGGATATGGAGAGTACGTGGGGCCTGGTGGCGGATGTGGGTGCTCGTAAGGCCCAGGTGCGTAAGCTGGCTGTTGGGGAGAGAACCCGTAGCCAGTTTGTGGGGGAGGATAGTATTGAGGAGAAGGAGGTCGGTAAGGGCCAGTTCCATATGCGTAAGGCGTGCCATATGGCGTTCTGTTGTAAGGGCCAGGAGAAGGTTGCGGGTTTGAGTATCCCATGTGGTTTTGCCCGCCGTGAGGACGTGGCATCGCATACATGAGTAGCTTCGCAGAGGCTGGGTCAGGGTTAAAAGGAGGACGTTCAGGCCATTCTGCTCGCCAATGCACAACAACACTGCCTAAACTGAGAACATTGGTGTGTTTGGCCGCGTAATGCTGAATCACACCTTCGAAGCCATAATATTTAGCATTGTTATCACAACCATTGCACAAAAACAATTCCTTTTGGAACTGTTCAGTGAGTAGTTTGATCTTCGTGTCAAATATGAACTTCATGTTTTCCAGAATGATTTTGCGTCGTGGCGGGCCGTTTGGAGAATCTTCTTCAATTGGCTTCCCTTCAGCACGAGTGCGCGCATCTTCTTGGGCTAGATCTTCCAAGAATCTCTTCCGAACATACATAATGACATCGGCTGCGAACTTGGGGCATTTTTCTTTTGTAACCCCTTCACCTCCACGCCAACCTTCACGAATGATCTCATCGGCATAGCCGGCCATCCGCTCCTTGATTGGCTTTTGTACATCCTCCCATTCGCGATCAAGCATCTCCTTGGCTTCCTTGAGTTGCGCCTCCTGTTGACGGCGCTCGTCTGATTTTGCTTGTAGCATTGCATCGTGCATTTTGCGATCATTCTCACGACGTTCTGCGACTTCACGTTGAGCCAAGAGACGAGGCTTTAAGATTTCCCAGTCTCGGTCGGTAAACGGATGTGTAATCTGGATTGCGGCTGTAAACGACTCCATGTGGTTGATCACCTCAGGCGCAAGAGGAGGATTAAGTTCTGCGCAACGTCTCTCAATTTCGGTTCGACGGCTCGCCTTGGCCTCGTTAACCTGTCGAAGGTTGCGCTCTCGAGGAAGTTGGGAGTTTGGTGGGAGAGGGAAGCCCTGTTGTGCGCCTGTGCTACGAGGCCGAGCGGTAATAGCAGCATCTGAACGATCAAATTGTCAGCAAAGAGGGGGAAGTAAGGCTACAGCGCGCTAGCCGCAAAAGTAAACGAGTAACATTGACTTGAACAATGATAATGAGGCACAAGCCGAAAGGGAGTCGTGAATCACAGGGTTGTAGGGAATTTTGAAATGAGTGATAGAAACTCTGGTTTTCTTCACTATGATTGCTGTACTTACCTGTACTGTTATTGCTCGTTGGCGGACTTGTTCCAAGGCTGGTTGGCCGCTGGTTTCCAATAGGGAGGCGCATCGAGCTAGCATCGGATGGCTCGGGCTTAATGGACTGGGCCTTGTTACCGTTAAGCTGTACTGTTTGGGGCGATTTAAGACTGCGAAGGCCGCCAGCTAATTCCCATTGTTCCCATCGTGCAGCATCAGCAATCTTCTCTTTGCCATTTCCTTCTAGGCCTTTCATCCACTCCTCGGCGGCTGCGGGCCCTAAAGCTTTGACTTCCTCGAATCTGGACTTCAACTCCTCAACTTGGGCCTTTAAGAAGTGTTTTGTAAGGACCATGCCAACTGGAGGTTGGCTTCCACGAAGGGAGACCGATGAAGCATAGTGCAGCGGTGGAGTTAAAAAGGCAAACGGAAGAGCAGGCACCAGGACTGAAGGGAGAGTAGTAGAAAAGAGAAGGTCCATTTCCTAAATGAGTAGTTGCTTAGTTTCAAATTCAGAGCGACAAAAAAAAGATATACGAAAAGAAAAAGAGCGGTACTTACTGTCTCGCAATTTGATTTTAAACATTCTCCACATGATCGAACGGCTAAAGGCCAAATGATTCGAACTCCATTTTCCCCTGGACCGCTCTCGAAAGGCAAAACATCTGGTGAAGGAGGAGATCCGGCTTTATTGCAAAACTGGCAAGAAATCCCGCGAACAAGTTTCCACATATCCAGTTCAGTCAAAGGGCTCAACGGACGTGGCATGCCCGAATGAAAAGACTTTCGAGAGGTGGACCAGATGTGACCCGGATTAACATACTTTAGTGAACCATGAGTTGCACGGCCTGAAGGCAACTCCGGCTGACCAGTAGTAAGCAGAGCTTTGAAAGTGCGATTAACTTGCAAGACACGTCCAAGTGAAACAGGCGAGAGAAAGGTAAAAATGTGCTGCCATATTTCCCTTGGTAATTTGGACTTATCCGCGGGTATGGTATTCACAGATGGCAGTGGGTCGGCAGTATGGTCCGGTTTCATATCATTTTTGAACTTGACACGCTTCGTGCCATCCGCTGAACTCGACGGCGAGTCTGATTGGGATTTCACACCAAAATGACGGCCATCATACTCTGAGGAGTATTTAAAATCTGTGCCCTGGGGTCCCACTGGATGGTTACCAGCTGCACCGCGTTTGCGTTTCCGGCGGGACTGAGCATTGTTGGTGGTAGCAGCAGCAGCAGCAGCAGCGGATGTCTGCTTTTCAGTTTCCAGACGGTGGCCGCGTGGGACACGGTGAGGCACATCAGGCTGACTAGAGGAATGAGAACTTGAAACAGCAACATCACTGTCATCTTGTCCGGGCGTTCCAACTTGGGACTTATTCTGTGACTTTGGATCTGTGACATGTTCAGAATACGGGTCGAAAGAGGAAGAACTTGAGCTCCCAGGCGAGCTCAATGACGCTGCCATGGCTAACTAGGTAGCCGCAGGACAGAGAACTAGCTTAGGCAGCAGAAGATAAAGATGTTTTCAAAAGGGCTAAAAAACTGGACAGTTCCAGCAAATCTCGCAAGTTCGCAATGACCTCGTGACGACGAATCGACACATCAAACAGGAAAAAAAGAACACGTAGAGAACAAGATGAAAAATGACAAGCGGACAATTATAAAATGGTCCTTTGGAGGTTATTATTTGCTGGTTTGTTCATAGGCATTCCAAGATACCTTGAAAAAGACAGTGAAAGCGGGATGTCGCGATGATGTTGGACGGAGAGAAATGAGAGAACCCCGGGTCAAATGGCCGCTGTATCAAAGGCGACGCCTCTGCCAGCCACCGGAAGCGCGCACGAGTATGAGAGACGGGGAGTATGCAGAAGAGATGCTGGTGAAGAGAGAGGATGAGGTCGCGGAAGCTGGATGCGAGAAGGGAGGAGAAGCAAGTTTGGAGGTCGCGAGGTTTGCGCAAGGGTTTTCCTTTTAAGGCGCGATGGGTGGAGCCGCTTCACTTTGGCGAGCCAATCAGAGGGCTGTATAGAGGGTCACATGTTAGGTCACGTGGATACATCGACGCCGTGACGATAAACATGATGATAGTAAACAGTGATGGTGATAGTAAACAGCGATGATGGTGATGGAGGTGAGGTGACGGTGATGGTGACGGTGACGGTGGTAGAGGTGATGGAGGTGATGGAGGTGAGGTGATGGGACGGTTGGTGATGTAGATTATAGGTGATTGTGACAGGAGACATATCTTCTACCCAGATAGGTTAAGTTGAGGTACTACGTTGATATCATACAGTGTCTATATACAGTGTCTGAGTCGAGTCGCAATATGCGGCCATGTCAACCAGGTGTAGGAGATGCAGTGCCGCTCCCTAGCCTGGCCTTTTTGGCACGCCGTTTCAACTCCCGCTTCGTCAACTGCAGGTCGTCCGTTGGTGTGCTCTGGCCATCCGTACCACCCAGTGACGCTTTACGCTTCACCCCGTTCCCGTCAGATCCAGCTGGAGTCACGATCCCAGACTTCTTTCCTCCCTTCTTACCCTGGCCAGCAGTCGTCTGCTCATTCCTTGCATCTTCCTCCCCTCCGTATATGACATCCACCGTCCCCCGGAAACTGGTCCTCTTCACCCGCGCCATGGCCACAACTTTCCTCGTCTCCTCACACACCGCCTCCTTCGCCCTCTCGGATTTCATCCCCCAAACACATGCCAAATTAACCACGTCCCATGGCGCGCGAATACCAAGCGCCTGTTTAGCTTCGCTGGAGATGATTATCCCTCTACCCCGCGCGGCGCGGATCAACGAAGCTGCATTTCCGATTAGATTTCTCCTAGCTTCTAACCCGCTACCCGTTACTCCGGGACCGTAGCATATTTCAAGTCGTACGCCCCGTGATATTGCGGCGGAGAGGGTTTTGAATTTAAAATGAAAGGGTAGTCGTGTAGAGAGGTCGAGGGATATTATATCACAGTCGAGGTTATTGCAGGCCTGTGAGAGTGTTTTTTCGTTCACGGGACGGATGGCCACAATTGAAAAGGACTGTGCTAGTGTTGCGAGCCGTTGGTTCTGTGTTGAGTCGGAGAGGGTGAGGTTCAGGCGGGATAGGAGGGTGAGAGATGCGGGCACGTTAGCTGGCGGCGGCAGAGGGGATATTGTTGCCGGTAGTTTGCCCGTTATGGATTGTGACAGAGCTACGGTGGTGTATCCCACTGATAAGAAGTATATGTGTGAGCCGAGTTCGTCTCCAGAGCACTCCATCCGCTTATTCTGTATTCCTTGTTTCGATAAGGTGGTACTCACGTTCAGATAGGAACCTCAAAGTATTGGTGATTCCGGGCTCATTGGGGCCATCATACGGAATATTCAAGTCGTAAAACATGGCGATGGTATATATCCCATCCAACCCCCCCTCTGTGAATCAAGGTGATATGATGAGTGCAGCTTTGGAGCTTAACAAATTTCGCGATAAAGCTCATGGATCTTCAAAATATATCATGTCACGTGATGGCACACTTTGCTCGTTCAAGTTCCATATTATCCGTCCAACCAATATGTCTAGTACTACGGAGTACTAATAGAGATACATAATTCAAGAAAAACTCTAGTTAGCCAGCAAGTCACCTCTATACAGGTCTTTCTTTATTAAGAATATATCAACGGCGCAGTAACCAAGGCAGAGATCTAGCAACGCTCTTCGTAACAACACCAGTTTCCTTTCTTTGTCAGACACCATACCTTGTCCATTCGGCAGCAGGTTTTCTATGATCTAATTAAAGCCCCTGTCTAGATCAGGTTTGATACTAGGTACATCCTGGCTGCATTGCAGGTTGAAGGGCACTTATATTTCTGCCTAATGTAGTCATACGCAGTACCCTGTACGGAGTAGAGATATCAAGTGATAGTTGTTCAGTTGCTGGTGAGTAGAACGATATCTGTATCCCCGGAGTCAGTGGTTATACAAGAAGAGAATATAGGGTATATGCAACCACCGGCGCCGTTTGCATTAGCGCTGAGCGTCCTGGTATCAATCCACCATCTGTCGGATACTCCATATATGATCTAGTTTACTCCATCTATGCCCGGAAAATATGATCTTGGCGACTGTCAAAGCAACACGGTAGCCTTCCAGAGCCGATCGGAGAGGAGACACTATATCTGCAGCGTATCATCCTCTCCGTCCAACGAAGATGCTGGCTCATCTTGTTTTCCATGTTGCTTTCTTTCCTGTTTTCTTTCCTGTTTTCCGCGGCAAGTTCTTCCGGTCGGGAAAAAATTAATCCGGCGAGCGTTATTGGTCCGTGCACCTCTTACTCTTTTCTGTGGGCTGTAAGTCCCGTGACATGGTCGCTTGGAGCTCGTTCGAGAGTTCATATTGTTGACGGGTTTGCATTTCGCAAGTCCAATTATCCGCTTCACTTGACTGGAACGCCTGTCTCTCTCTCTCGTTCTCGAGGCCCAGCTCTGTTTCACGTCTAATTGCAGCTCGTGTGTTTTGCTCGCGAACCCATCAAGCGATAGCCGCCCATTCCGAGTTTTGAACCCCCCGCCTACACACTCGGTATCGCCCTGAGTGGGGTGATCGCAATCAGTCACCATGGCACGCGTATACGCAGACGTAAACCAGAAGATGCCCAAGACGTACTGGGATTATGACAGCGTCAACATATCGTGGGGCGTTCTAGAGAACTATGAAGTTGTGCGGAAAATTGGTATGCCAGCCTCGAACTTGTCCATTCCTCTCAGATCTGCCTTATCGCTCCAAACACCCCTGTCACAGCCTGCTAACGTAACCTGATCAGGAAGGGGGAAATACTCAGAGGTGTTTGAGGGCGTAAATGTTGTGAACTACCAGAAATGTGTTGTCAAAGTCCTCAAACCCGTCAAGAAACGAAAGATCAAGCGAGAGATCAAGATCCTTCAGAATCTGTCAGGTGGTCCAAACGTCGTCGCATTGCTGGACGTTGTTCGCGATAGCCAGAGCAAGACTCCGAGTCTGGTTTTTGAATATGTCAACAACACCGACTTCCGGACGCTATACCCCCGATTGGTTGATTACGATGTTCGATACTACATATTCGAGCTCCTGAAGGCCCTGGATTTCTGCCACAGCAAGGGAATAATGCACAGAGATGTCAAACCACACAACGTAATGATTGATCATGAGCGGAGAAAGGTACGTGTTTTCATCTCTAACCATATCACGGATACGCCAGGCGCAATTTTACTTACACATACGTCTAGTTACGACTCATCGATTGGGGATTAGCAGAGTTCTACCACCAAGGAATGGAGTATAACGTCAGAGTTGCCTCGCGTTATTTCAAGGGGCCCGAGCTACTTGTTGACTTCCAAGAGTATGACTATTCCTTAGACATGTGGTCTCTTGGAGCGATGTTTGCGTCCATGATCTTCAGGAAGGAACCGTTCTTCCACGGCAGCAGTAATGCGGACCAACTGGTCAAAATTGCCAAGGTCCTTGGAACGGATGAATTGTTCGACTACCTCGACAAATATAACATCGAGTTGGACCCTCAGTACGACGACATTCTTCAGCGTTACCCCCGGAAAGCATGGCACTCTTTCGTCAACTCAGAGAACCAGAGATTCATCAGCAATGAAGCTATCGACTTTTTGGATAAATTGCTCAGATACGACCACACCGTAAGTGTTCCCTGATCCTGTAGAGGTTCGCCTTGATGGACACTATCACTAACTTGACTCATAGGAACGTCTGACTGCTCAGGAGGCGATGGCCCACCCCTACTTCGCCCCTGTTCGCGCTGCCGCTGCCACGAATGCCCAGAGCAGCCCTAGCACTGCTCCTAACTCCTAAGCACTATCCGCGATACCCCTACATGTCACATTTTTTTTACTCGCCCAACTGTTTTGATACACCTCATCCCTCGACGCATATTTACCTCTCTCCTCCAGCAAGGGTTTTATTGGCAGAATAAATTTGAGCATCTATCCTCCAGTTAATCAGGGACCATTCATCATCGAGTAATTACCTTTGGGAGTCGGCAGGTGTACCTTATTTCCAGTATTTTCGTTTTTAGGTTGTTTAGCGCTATGCATGAGACGTCTACAGGAATGAATGGATAGTTGATGATGCCTCGATCAATCGCATTCACAGCTTCTGAAAACCCGTGCATTCCTTACCTTTTATCCGCCTATAATTAACAGTTGTATGTATATATCCCTGCGATTTTGTTCTTGCAGTCCGGTCTAGAAAAGTTCAATTACATAATCACATATCCGGTCCAGACCACGTGATATCTTTCTCTCTCCGAATTGAAGTGGGAGGTTTTTTGACTCATGAGGCTGGAAGTTGAAGAAACGAAGTTGATATCCCGTATCAATTGCGAATTTCTCCTTTTAAAAGGTGCCGTTCGCCGGTCCAAACCCTTGTTCGCCTAATTACTCACTCCTTTCCCCTCTATTTTTCCCACAGTTTACGGGCAAACCGTAAATCACGATACTCCGACGATTCGCAACGCGCTCGGCGCGGAGGGGAATTTACATTCGTCCTCAATTTGTAAACATGGCTTCCCTTGCTACAGCCCAATCTTCCGGTATGTGATCGAAAGTTATCTCCGCGCCGTTGGGAACGCCGTTAATCTAACATTCTCTGCCATCAATCTTAGACGCCCCGGCCGAATCGTCCACTGGCGGGGTAGCCAACCCAGTCCCAGATGCTGGAAACGCCGGAGCAGAAGCGCAAGGTGGAAAGGTCAAGTCGGAAAAAGAACGTAGGTTGTCCATTTCCTTTTAACCGGTGACACATCCTATACCTCGAAGTCGATATCTAACAGAAAAATTCGATATAGTTGAGAGGGAGCGAAAAAAGGCCGAAAAACTAAAGAAATTCGCCGAAAAGGCTGCAAAGAAGGCGACCACAGCCCCTGCGCCAGCCAAAACTACGGAGAAGAAGCCCAAGATAGAGAAAGACAAGACCACCGACGCCTACGACCCCAAAGTAATCGAAGCCGGCAGATACAAATGGTGGGAGGAGCGGGACTTGTTCAAACCCGAGTTTGGCCCTGACGGGAAAGTAAAAGAGGCCGGATACTTCGTCATTCCAATTCCACCACCAAATGTTACGGGAGCTCTCCACATTGGTCATGCTTTGACGAAGGCTCTTCAGGATACCATGATCCGATGGCAACGAATGAAGGGAAAGACCGTACTGTATCTTCCAGGATACGACCATGCTGGTATCTCCACACAGAGCGTTGTAGAGAAGATTCTATGGAAGACGGAAAAGAAATCGAGGCACGATCTTGGAAGAGAAGCTATGGTGGGCAAAATCTGGGAGTGGACACACAAGTACCACGACAGCATTACCGCCTCCCTTCGGAGGTTGGGCGGTTCTTTCGACTGGTCCAGAGAGGCCTTCACTATGGACGAAAACCTTTCTGCTGCCGTTACTGAGACCTTCGTCCGCCTCCATGAAGAAGGAACTATCTATCGTGGAAACCGCCTTGTGAACTGGTGTGTTGCTATGAATACATCCCTGTCCAATCTTGAGGTGGAAAACCGTGACCTTGAAGGTCGAACTTTGCTAGATGTCCCTGGCTATTCGAGGAAGGTTGAATTCGGTGTTCTGACTCACTTTTTGTATGAAGTCGATGGCACGGATGAGAAGATTGAAGTTGCGACTACTCGTCCAGAAACCATGCTTGGTGATACTGGTGTAGCTGTCCATCCTGATGACAAACGATATCAGAAGTTTATCGGAATGAAGGTTAAGCACCCCTTTGTCGACAGGTTGCTACCAATCTTCGCAGATGATAAGGTTGACCCTGAATTCGGTACTGGTGCTGTCAAGATCACTCCTGCACACGACTTTAATGATTATATTCGTGGAAAGGAAAACAACCTTGAGTTCATTTCGATCATGAACGATGACGGTACTTTCAACGAAAACGCTGGCCCCTTCGCCGGAGTGAAGCGTTTCGATGCCCGTTATCAAGTTATTGAGAAACTAAAGGAAAAAGGACTGTATGTGAAATGGGAGAACAACCCAATGAAGGTTCCACAGTGTCTCAAATCGGGTGATGTTATCGAGCCCATCATGAAGCCGCAATGGTGGATGAAGATGAGCGAGCTCGTGAAGCCTGCTATCAAGGCCGTCGAAAGTGGAGAAATTATCATCCGCCCAGAGAGCGCAGAGAAGAGTTACTACCGATGGATGTACAATCTCAATGACTGGTGCTTGTCGAGACAGCTGTGGTGGGGCCATCAAGCTCCCGCTTACTTCGTCGAGATTGAAGGCGAAAAGGGCGATGATTCCGACGGCAACCTCTGGGTAACTGGCCGCACTGAGGAGGAAGCAAAGGCTAAAGCCGACGCGAAATTCCCAGGAAAGAAATTCGTGCTAAAGAGAGACCCCGATGTGTTGGACACTTGGTTCTCTTCTGGTCAATGGCCATATTCTACTCTTGGCTGGCCTAAGAAGACCCATGACTTCGAAAATCTTTACCCTGTCTCCATCTTGGAAACTGGATGGGATATTCTCTTCTTCTGGGTTGCTCGCATGATCATGCTTGGAATCAAGATGACTGGTCAAGTCCCATTCAAAGAAGTATACTGCCACTCGCTCATCAGAGATTCCGAAGGCAGGAAAATGTCCAAGTCTCTTGGTAACGTTGTTGACCCCATCGATGTCATGAACGGCATCTCCCTACAAAAGTTGCACGATAAGCTGCTAGAAGGTAACCTTGCGGAGAAGGAAGTTGCAATCGCAACGAAATTCCAGAAAAAGGCTTTCCCTAAAGGCATCCCAGAGTGTGGTGCCGATGCGCTACGATTCTCGTTGCTTGCGTACAGTACAGGTGGTAAGTTAATATATATTTTGTCCCATAACTCGGAACGAAATAATGGGCCATTTGCTAACTCTCTGTTTCTCATAAGGTGGTGATATCAATTTCGACATTCAGGTGATCTACGGCTATAGAAGGTTCTGCAATAAAATTTACCAGGCCACCAAATTCGTTCTAGGCAAACTGGGAGACGACTTCAAACCCCAAGCAGCGCCTACTAAGACTGGCAAGGAGTCCCTTTCCGAGAGATGGATCTTGCATAAGTTCAACCAGGCTGCAAAGGCAACCAACGAGGCTTTGGAGAACCGTGAGTTCTCTGTCGCGGCCAACACTATTTACCAGTACTGGTACAGCCAACTTTGCGATGTTTTCATCGAAAATTCCAAGACTCTGTTGCAAGCAGATGCCGACCCCGCTGTCCAGCAGTCAGCTAAGGAAACTCTTTATACCTCTCTAGAGGGCGCTTTGACTCTTGTCCATCCAGTTATGCCTTTCGTAACTGAAGAGCTCTGGCAGCGCCTCCCCAGACGGCCTAATGATGAAACCATCTCCATCATGAAGGCCGCCTACCCAGACTATAACTCTTCGTTCGACGACCCCGCCGCAGAAACCGCCTATGAACTCATTCTCAATACGTCAAAGGCGATTCGAAGTATCCTCGCTGAATACGATGTGAAGACTAAGGGAGATGTCATCGTTCAAGCATATGACGCAACAAGCCACAAGACTATCTCCGAAGAACTTGCCAGCATCAAATCTTTGAGCGGCAAAAATATTGGCGAATTGACCCTGCTCGATGCCGATAACCGTACACCTCCACCAGGCTGTGTTGTTTCACCTGTCGGCGCCCAAGCCGCTGTATATCTCCAGGTGTCTGACGAAGTCCGCCTAGAGCAGGAGGAAAAGGCCAAAGCTAACCTCCTGAAGATCCAAGATACGATCAAGAAACAGCAGGCTATCATGAATGCTGCTCAGTGGAGAGAAAAGGCTAAGCCCGAGGTCAGAGAACTTGAAGAAAAGAAGCTGTTGGATGCCCAGGGCGAGGCGGCACGTCTTGAAGAGCAGATTTCTGAGTTAGAGAAACTGAAAATTTAAGTAGACGGGTAGTTTACTCCGTGGGCGTCTATCGCCTAGCTCCCAATTTATATTAAACTTTGAAATTCAAACTTGATTTTAAATAATTTCATAGGGGTACTAATGCATGATAGTCCCTGTAGCTCTCGAAAGCATTTAAAAGTTCTCAGGGTCAATTAAATCATATCTAACAATAGTAGTAGCTTTACCGACCGACTTCTATATTGCTCAACGAATGACAAACTTAGGGCTTGTATAAATCAAACTCTCCAAAATCTCAACCAGCCCTTCTTCGTACTCTTTCTAGTGGTATGATAACCAGTTCTTGCTGAAGGGGGTTAATTCCCATCCGGTTTGCGAGCAGGTCTGCAGGGAACAGCAAGCTTATGAGGCGGGATTATACCAAGCTTTGTACTGTCAGTGGTACAGGAGAGGATCGATTCTGGTCTTCCAGTCTTGAGCGCCTCCTTACGCACAGAACCAGCCCTTTCAGGGTTATCATACATATACTCTTGTGACTCCTGAGGGCTCCGACCTTTAGCTGAAGTCGAGGGAGCCCGCGGGGGCAAGGTAATGACTTCGGCTTTAGATGATGATACTGGCGTTTCATTCTGTGTCAACGTAGATGCTCTCGAGAAAGATACGGGTAGCGCATGCTGAGCTGAGTCTGAGCGATTCTGTGTCTGCGTTTCCTTGTTTTTCGTGTGCGTTTGTGTTTTTCTTTCTGTCTTAGATGGAGAGGCAGACTGATACTGTGTTTGGGCACACTTTGCCTGTCTCTTCTTCCTTGTCGTTGAGGAGATAGGATGGAAACTCGCGGACGGACGATGTTGCTTCATCAGCGGTCCGTTGTTTGGTACTATGTAGTCGTGGACGGCTATAGTTGGCGTTGGTACGAATTGAATGCCATTGATCGCCCCTATCCCATTGATTATCGATGGATGAGGCAGGTTTCCTGGAACAATGCCTTCCGTAGACAGGAGCTGGATATGTCTCGCGCAGTACACGGGGACCAATTCTATACACGGAATTTGTTATCCATATCATCCATTTTAGAATCCTTAGGATTTAAGGTAACGGGGGCTGAATATCAATATTTACCACCGTCTCTGATATGTGTTATGTCAGATAACACATGAATGTGACCTTCGTAAATATACCTGCCTTTATTTCCATCATTTAATGCCTTGCAGACTAGACAAGGACCTATCCGGCTCGATAGCCTCTCTTGGTAGGGGGTCAATTGTTCTCCAAGCTCACTGTAAACAAAATGTATAGCTTCCCCAGAACTGGGCATGTACATTGTTTCAAGTTGATAGCTAGTATCGATTTGTAGCTGCAGAGGCTGAACTTGAATCCGTGGCTCCTGGTCGAAGTATATCAACGAGTTGATATGCGCCATTGTTAAAGCACGAGTGATTGTTGTCTCATCTAGACTTCTACCTCCGGAGAGTATTTGAATGAAGTAGAAAAGTATTAGATATAGGGGTAAGAGAAGGCAATATACCTACTCCCATTCCTCATGGAGGCAGATCTGGTGTACAAAGTACGTCTTCATGGTGCGCTCAAAGGCCTTGTGACCTTAATACCAGAACATAAACCTCATGGTTGTAGGTAGTTAAACATACTCCGGCCCTATTTGAAATGTACGCCCAGTAGGTACCGGACACCTAGTATCATTTGCCTCATCCATGCTAGGAATGGAACAGCGTGCCCGTGTTCAATTCGTAGTGGTGTCGCTTCTATGATCATCCCCTGTTGTTTTCTTCTGTGACATATAATTTGGCATGTTCCAATATAGAGGAAGCGGTCCAGTTAGAGTCACAGAGTATCGGGGCTGCTGGACACGAGAAGGGCCACTTCTACCGGGCGTAGTACATGCATGCATGCATGGTAGTAAGGCTCAAGCAATGCAACTCTAGCAAACGGTTGACGTTGCTGTTTGTGGGGAGCGCAAGGCTGTACTATTCACCTGTTGTACACTGGTATGGGGGTGACAACCTCTGTTTCTATGGTATACTTGAGATATCCTGCAGCCCATATCGTGATGTTGCATGAGCAGTTGTAATAGAAATGTCTTTGACTGGTGACAAACCCCCAAGTCACTCCTAGGCGCCCCTTTTATATCGTAGCTAATCATCACATCCCTTGTGTGCAACAACGGCGGCAAGTTCGGAATAGACGAAGGCATAGAAACGACTTCATACCGGTACTTAGAAAAATACTTGCTGGGATGAAGGGCATACTACGTATGTCGTGGGGAGGCCGAGATACCCCAGAATGCACAATGACTTATCTATCCGGTCTATATTGGCCTTTGATGGATAGGACATTGATTCTCTTGCTTTCACTACATCTTCTGGCCAATATGGGAGTGAGTCCAACTTACATGGCTAACGCTCTGTTGAACGTGAAGCCCAGCAGCACTCTACGACCTGTGAACAAGAATGGGCAGATGCCCGCAATATATTGCTGCTATGAAGATCTCTCATACTGCAAACATTTTAACCTGGACACAAAGTCGATTATACTGCTACTATGGCTTCCGTTAAACCCAGCCCCGATTACTATGCGACCCTCGAAGTCTCACAGGCCGCGGATCTCGACACTATCAAGTCCAACTACAAGCGCCTTGCGCTGGCCAAACACCCAGACAAGAACCGCTCAAATCCTAACGCAACAACTGAATTCCAGCTGGTGGGCTCCCTAACTACTTGGTCGCTCCAGAGTCGAGCGCCGATCTAACTAGCTGAGCGTTTAGGTTCTAGAAGCGTACTCGACTCTATCTAACCCTAACACTCGGCGGAAATATGACCTCAGATACTCCCCTAATAAACGGACCTACCAAGCAGCACCCACTCCCCAGGGGGCCGCTGGTAGAGGTAAATCCTTCTGGGATATAACTGCTGAGAGGCGGCGAGGGGAGTGGGCGAAGTTATTGCAAATGATGATTGATAGGCTAGCGCAACAGAAGAACGACAGACTCAAAGGGAAGCAAAAGATAGACAAGTTGCGGAGCGAATTAACGAATCTGAAGAAAGGTATTGAACATTACAACGAAATCATAGATACGTTGGATTCGACACCGGGATATCTCAGCACGATTTTTACAGGAGATCAGCAAGAACGGAGGGATCACGCAAAGAATAAGGTGATAGAGAAGAAAAGACAACTGTCGGCCAAGCGAGGTATGCTAGAGAAGCAAGAGAGGCTCATGCGAGATTGTGAAATTTATATCCAGCGTACCATGAGCGACATCCGCAAGTTTAAAAACGAGGCCAGAAGAGACTGAGTGGAAGGCAGGACTGGAACCCTTTTTTCGGGGACATAAATCCTGATATCTCACAAAGCCGAGTATGTAGATCCACGACTAGTTAGTTAGATAGAATGCTTTATTTTTCTTGCCCTTTTTACAATACACTTGAATTGTCATGAAACCAATTACTACTATTAACAGCTGTTGTGCTCATCACCTATACGGAGATACCTTCAAATTTATCCACGATGACCTTCAACTCGTCATCCATCCACTCTATTTCGCTGGCCATGACTAACGCAGCCAGCCACTGCGTATCGTTAAGTATTGGCTGAAGCCCATCATCCAACCATGCTCTAACGCGCATAGTCTGTGGGGCCTGGTTGTTAGTTTGCCCATGGTAGTATTGACGGATGGTGTTAAGCAAGGTAGGTAGATCAGCGCACTGGTTAGCGGTGACCTGGAAACGAGGATATATCCGTTTGTGTTCTTGATCTTGTATAATATTGATCGATACTGTCACGGGCAGAGAGTCAGGCACTTGGTGATGTTGTGGCTGTTGCTCTAGTTCCTGCTGTATCTGTACCTGGTGGTCGGGTTGCTGGTGGTCGGGTTGCTGGATCATCGGCGCTGATGTTGGAAATTGAGGATGATGTTGGTGGGCGTCGCCGTTATTTTGTTGGATGTTCGGATGCTCCAGAAGATGGCTTTTCACTATGCGGGTTACATCACGGGTTATACCACTTGCGCTATATAACAGCGAAAGAGCTCAGTTAGCATCAAACATATCACATAATTTTCTTTGGCAAGGATAGATTGGAAACCTACAAATAATTGCGCGCAGCAATGTCTTCTTCGCCGCTTATTCGAAAGTTTATTTCGGACATGGACTCAGACGACATTATGTGGTTAACGGTGCACTCCTGGCAGCTATCCGTACACAGTGTCGCATCTCCACCATGGTCAAGCTGATAATGGCAGTCGACTGTTGCAACTAGTCCCCACCAATCTTGCTGAGACAAGCCGGAAATCGATCCAAGGTTATCCAAACGGTAACCCTGGTTATACGTATCATATGAGCGTGCGACAGAGTCCCAATCCGTTGGGTAGGTAGGGTATTCAGTCCTTATTAAACCTAACATCCCAAGCTCGGTGTTGTTGTTAGGAGGTGGCTGGTGATATCGCTGCACGCTTTCGGGTATGGTGTCCGACACAGTTGCTGAATTTCGTTTCTCCTTATCCTCAGTGTTGCCTCCTTTCCGTGTTTCGATGGCATATTGGCGCTGTCGTTCGTTGGTAACCATACGTCTAAGGAGAGGAATGACGAGTGAAATGATTTTCTGATCATCCCTAGGCCATATCATCTCCCTTGGGCCTACGCCCTCGTTCACAGCATTTTCTCCAAAAAATCGTAACCCATTTCCTTCCCGCTCAAGAAAATCGCCAACACAGTTCCACAATCGTAGCTTTACCATCTCGGTGTCCCCCCGTCCTCTCTGACCGACGCAGTCACGTCGTTCAGGGTGATTTTCATCAAGCATATATGCCTTTGCAGCAGCTTGAAGGTGAAGAAAATTCTCCGGTGATAATTCCAAGGAAGCAAACATCTTCGACATCGGCGGGCGCGTAGCTTTCTTGCTCGTCGCAGATGGCTGTCTGAAGAGGGCAACGGCAGAATGGACACCCGCTGCACGAGCATCGGATATTACTCTTTGAGGCGGCATCTCTCGGATATCCAAAGAGCTTCCATCATTTTCAGAAGGAGCTTGGGTAACCGTCACTTCCTGGGTGTGAAGACTTTCATCTCCATCCCCAAATCTGAACCGCGCCGTGGCTGAAGTCATGGCTGGGTCAACATTGGACTGGTTCCGCTTTCGTTTCCGCGTTGTCGCACTGCCCGTTGAATTTGATGCACTCATTGATCTGTCTACGCCTACTGCGGAGTCTCCGCTGGTAGGTATACCACCAAACGGATGGCCGGTTTGGCTAGTCGTCGCAAAACCATTGTCATCCAGGTGCATGCCAACGCCATAACTATCCAGGTGGCTCTGGATCGCCCGGCCATGACCAGCCGCCATCATGTCACTGTCATCGTTCTGCGCCCACCCAACGTCCTGTCCAGCAGCCGCAGTTGCAGCTTGAACAAGTCCAGCAAGATGATTATCAGTAGTGTACTCTGGCGAGACACCGACGTTGCTATTGCTTGAATGAGATGTACCCCCGTCAATGTGATGCTGTTGCTGAACCTGAGGCTGTTGCGTATGGTCCACAAAGTCATTGTTGGTATTCTGCTGCGAGCCAGATGCCATCACGTCTAGGGAGAGCAAACGGAACAATAGATGTCACTTTCCGGAGGTTATACTCCAATTGATTTTTTCACCTATTGGACGAATCAGCTCTTGAACAGGGAAAGACAGCTGTTTGTGATGTCAAGAATTCATAAGGGGTAATAGCGTCTTCCGGGTATATTATACTGCTGCTATAGCCATAGTTCTTGGTACATCATACCATGGTCGCGATGACGCATTTTCAGCCGGACATACCTGTCTTTCCCTATATCCCTAAAAAATCCATTCAACCAGGCCGAGTAGACACTACTACCCAACAGCTATTCCCGCGCGCTATCGAAGCTGTATACCGCGGATCTACACTGCAGATGTATAGAAAGTGCTTTGCTGGCGGTTTGTTTGTCGTGTTTGGTCGCTGGAGGAAAACGCGCGATGTTTGAGGTTTTTGTCTTCGAGGCAAATTATGTAAATTGTGGCGTCACGCTAGCTGATTTTGAAAATCACGTGTTGCATTACGTCATCTATAAAGGTCAAGGTTGAACAAAGGTGAACAGGTTGAACAAAGGTGAACAGGTTGAACAAGTTGAACAGGTTGAACAAGTGAGAAGTTGGATAGCTGATATATATATAATATGTACATGGCCATGGCGATATGGTATCCCTTCTCTATATGCGAAGGAGAGCGGTCAGCTCAAAACCCGTCGCCTTCTTTCCAAGGCCGGCCGGCAACCCAGGCACGTACACGGGGATCCTGCCCCCTTTGAACGCCTTCTCTCTTATACCCCCGTACACGACGTTCTTCTGCTCGATCTCTAGCTCTAATTCTGTATTCCTCCCCTTAGCGGGAACTTCTAGCTCTAGAAGGGCCGCAAAGTTCCGCTCTTTTCTCGCCTTCTTGATCGCGTTGGCCTTCTTGTGCCAGTTTGATAATTCTTGTCTGAGTCCAAAGAGCACGGAGCCCAGCTTCTTAAACTCGAGGTATGGCTCATCGTCTTTAAAGCATAGGCCGTATCCGTCACAGAAGCATGCCCGCTCGGCCGGGCAGTAGACATTCTGCCCAGTAAATATAACGTGCCAGAGATATTCCCAGACACGGCCAGAGTAGAAATCGTCTAGCTTGGTGCGAAGGAGCCAGTCGCGGTAGTAGACAAAGTGTGACTTGGGGACAGCCAACACTCTTTCACGAGAGATTGCAAACTGTGCACAGCATTGTCCGCCGAGAATCTCTGGAACCGGCTGTGAGGGGAATATTTCCCTCCATCCGTTTGCAACTATCGGCTGTTCTGGCTTTTCGGGGTCTTCCTCGGTGGATTTGGGATGTAACCAGTCAGGACACCCGGGAGCCCAATTGCACCGCAAGTTCATAAACCCGTCTCTCATGACTCGCTCATTGCTTAGCCTCTTTATCATCTCATTCGCATCGTAGTTTAACGGCTCTTCGTTGTGCCACGCAAGTTTATGCGAGTGCATGAATAGTATGATGTCTGGCAAATTGTCGTAGTTGTCGATTAGGTATGTTAGATATACCATGGCTTCACGACCTTTATTCTTTGGAGTTTTGGGAAGCGAATGCAGGTCGTCAACGACATATATCTCCTGGTTGATGTCCGAAAATCGTTCGTCGATCCAGTCGACCTTTTCTTTCGATAATCGGGGGACGACAAGGGTTCTTGTGTAGTTCGATCCGGGAGGCTTGGGAGTTCCGGCTGTAAAGTTGGAGAGAATCACTGCATCTTCTGCAACAAGGGAAGGCTGTCCTTGAGACGAGGAGTACCCTGGCGGTCCATAAAATTGTTGCTGCCATGGATATGTTATTATCTATACGGCTATTTCGGAAGCAAGGTGAATGTGTTTACCTGTATGCGCCGTGGTATTGACGGAAAGAGTCGTTGGCCGCCCATGATGAAAATGACAATGAAAACCAGGGCAACAATTGGCCTCCGGACCCCTGCCTTTGGGAGTAGAAAGCCCATCTTCGTTCGGTTAAAATAAGCAGGCAATGCTATGCAAGAGACAAAACACAATGACCCAAAAAGCCCGCTTCTCAGTCCTAGATAAGCATAGAGGCACGAGTAAGGAAAAGACGATGGGGATAACCTGTCCCTATCATCAATGGTGCTTCATAAGAAAGAAATGTCCCATTGAGAGAGCGGGTGGATGGTAAACCTGGTAGGGGGCGAATGCCACATATTAAAGGAAGAGAACCAGAGCAAGACGCTGGGTTCCTGGCCCCCATAGCGATCAAGCGGAAAGTATGGATGGGTCCACGGAGAATATCCAAGCATATGGATTGGCATACGCTGGCCTGTGGATCATCCAGTAAAATTGTCATCCGGATGGCGGTTAAAGGCCGTTTAGATGGCCGAGCGAGTCTTAAGCTTCATCCAAAACGCGTTACATACGGAGCACTCCATACGCACCAACAGTTGTTGGACGACGGTAAGGGGTTTATCGTCAGGTGAAGGACGTATCAGAAGGGACTCCTTTGAAGTTCAGGCAGTGTATTCGCGGCCGGGCTGATCCCAACGCCATCCCTCCACCATCATCCCGTAACTCTCAATGCTGACGGCATGACTTCGTATGTTGCAACGAACGAGCAGGCAGAGAACCTAGTCCCCTGGATGAAATCGACTAAGATTATCAAGCAAGATGCGGATTATGTATCCATGTACAGGTACGGAGTAGATGTTTATGTGGACACTTGGGATGCATGACAAACCAGGATTTTCGCCCTCGATGCTCGCCGTGAAGTTGTTGGTGGTTGAAATAAGTACTGTGGGGCCGGGTACCCGCAATAACAAGGGGGGGCCAAGGAGCGCTCCACTTTGGATATCAAAAGCCCAGCTTCGAAGTTTCTATAGATAATGATGTGTTTACTTGTCTACGGGCTTGTGTGTGCAACGTGAAGAGGTTTAACCGGCGACAATCATCGATAAACGGCTATGATCACTGCGAATATCTGCTTGGACGTCAATATATGTGATGTAGTTATGGAGACACCCCCTTGCCGCTCTCCATATTTTTTATTCGTAAGCTCTCCACCGATGACGCATCTTGACATGTTTCGTCTCAGGAGGTGGTGCAACATTGTACTAGCACCATCGGATACTCTAAGAGTCCGATAGTCGTGCTTGATCGCGATGAGGTATATAACTGTGCTCCAGCTCCATTATCTTTGTATATTTGGACCGACCTGGATAAGTGACTAAGTAGCCTTACATAACGATAAAGGGTACTTTCTGAAGAGAGGAAGGACAAAAGGGTAAAGATACGGGATATAGTTGCTACCAAAAATAAATACAAGTTTAGAATTGCATCAGGGGGAATTTCTATCTCAAGTTGGTCATTCAGAATCTGCCTCGTCTTCAACTGTAACAGCTCGACCCTTCCCTTTAGTTGGTGAGGAGCCAGATATGGTATGACCATTTGACTCAGCGCCGCCGTCATCATATTCACCTTCCTCTCCGTCTTCGTCTTCCTCTTCTTCGTCTTCTTCGTCATCCTCCTCATCGTCATCCTCATCCTCGTCTTCTTCAAGGGACTTCGGTGCCGAAAATCTGTTGAAGAGTGGCCTAGTCTCTTCAGACGTTTCCTGAAGCGGAGAAGCCCTAGAGGGTGAACTTTGCTGCTGCTGTTGTAATACATTTGTGGCAGCTGTTGAGGTAGCTGCGCCAGGGGAAGGGTCCTGCGTAGTGGATACGGTTGGGGGCCGATAGGTCGTATTAGGCCTCAAGAAATCTGGCGAACTTGAGGGCCTGACACCGGTTATGTTGTTCTCCTGTTGTTGGGAGGATGGTTGCGTTGTTGGCGTGGGTGTGGTGGGATTGGGGCTGAGAAGGGGAGAAAGACTTGAAGATGGCGGCTGAGGAGACGTGGATGAGGGCGACAAGGCACCTGCGCCGCTTGCACCTGCGTTGGGTGTTGTGGCATTATGCAGATCTCCTGATTGGCCAGCTTGTTGAAGGCGATACATGGGTACTAGCGTCCATCCTTGGGGAATGGTAAGCCCTTCAGGTAAGCGTGAATCGCCAGAGGGTATCGAGTTATATTGAGGGTTTGACGCAACGTAGCGCTGGGTTACCGTGGTTATAGCCGATGTCCCAGACGGAAAAGCCCGTCCCGTGAGAGGCTGTGTCTGAGGGGTGTTTGGCTGGGCTGTTGACGGTCCAGAGCCAGCCCCTATGTTATTGGGTGGGTTGGCTGGCGGTCCACGAAGCCGGGCTAATTCGTTATGTAAAGTCCGTATGATCTGTAGTTGATCCGCTGTGTTCATAAGGTTGTTTATCTCTTGGCTCACCTGCTGCTCGAGCTGGTAAACGATCTGTTGAACATCACGGTGATTAAAATCGGCGCCGGGAGTAAGTACAGGTGTGGCTGCTGGGGCAGGGGGACGGCCGGTTCCGAATCCAAAGCTTGTTCGTGGCGCTTGTCCCGCAGGCGGGTTTTGATTTGCAGCCGGTGCCTGTGCGGCCTGGCCCTGGCCCTGGCCTTGAGCCAAGTCGACATTCTGTAACATATCACCACGGCCAGCCCCAAATCCGATGCGGAGAGGGCCAAAGTTAAGAAACCACATCCGGCCTCTGTTCTCGCCGCCTGCACCACCTGCGTCATTAGCACCTTGTTGCTGGTCTCCGCCTCTCTGTCCGCCCGCAGCCACACCACGCCCTACAAAAGGCCTAATATTTCCTCGGGCTCCCGTTGCAACTGGTTGTCGACAAGTCGGGCAATTTTGCTGCCGCTCTAACCAGCTTCGTAAGCAGGCAAAATGAAGTAAGTGGCCACACGGCAACTTCTTAGCCCGTAATCTTTCTGGAATGGGTCTCGCCGGCCGGACAGGGGTAGCTGCGTTGTTTGCTGCCGGGGCCGGTACCCATGGTTGCATCTCCTCACGACATATGATACAGACGTCCTCCCTCGCGATCTCCTCCGCAGTGGCATCTGGATATCTCTGGTTCATATCCCGGGTAGCGTTCCGATATCGAATGAAGTCGATAATACGTTTGGCAAAGGACCTCATCGTCATGACGACATCTCTGAGGATATGGATCGGGAGTCCGTAAAAGGTGAACAGGATTGCGAAGAAGGAGAGGTACACCACTAATTTTAGGAAGTCTTTGAGATGCAGAATTAGTATTTTGAAGCAAAATCTGGGCAGAAATCTTTTATTGCTTACCAGTTATAAGGTCGAGATAGAACACCCATCGACCCTTCTCCTCCCACCCGGAAACGTCAAGCTCCATTTCGTCTATATCGTCCTCGGTCGGCAGATTTTCTACACTTGGAGTGGCCGCCCCCAAGGCAGCCCGTTGACGGATCATCTGTTCTCTTTCTGCACGAATCTCCGCTCGTCGTTCCAACAATTTAGCCCGCTTCTGCTGTCGAGTGATGTATATCTCGACTAAAGAAAGGGCGTATCTAGCCATTGTTGAAGTGGAAAGTATTGTAAGGACGGCAAACTCAAAGCCAAACATTACCATCATATCTGGGCGGGCCTGGCGTAGGACCGTTCTGATGGCGTATTCAAGCATTTGCGAATTGAACAATACTGAGATGATCAACGACACGGCCAGTCGTGTGTGGAACAGGCGGGGATTGGCCGGCGGCTGTTGCTCCAGAATCTCTACCCTGCCCTCACCTATCCATCCCCAGACCTTGCCCGCCAGCAAGCAAACAAACATTATCACGAACCAGGCTCCCACCTCCCCTCGAAATATTGTCATAGCAAGGCATGTTTCTGTAACTGCGAACCACGCCTTCTCATATAGCTGTTCGGTTTCTATCTGACGCAGGCGGCCGTAAAGTAATCTCTGGAGACCGAATAGGGCATAACCGGCTATGAGGAGGCATAGATTTATGAGAATCTATATTGAGGTGATCTTGTCAGCATCCTGCAACTCCTTCAATCGTGATATGAATCTCCTTTTTTTTTTGATTTTAACATCAATCCAGGTCGAGGCCTTACCATAACATTCGCATTATTTTGGGAAAGAAACACAGCGGCGGAATAAAAGTTCGAGCGTTGATGGAGTGCCCTGAAGGCCACCCCCGCAGCCAGGACTACAGAAGCCTTTCAATGTTGTCAGTGATGATTGACATATAGCTCGCGATTCCGTGAAATCAAACATACCCCGGTATAAGCAGCCAACCTCATTGTGGATGGTTATATAACTGAATCGCAAATAACAAAACAACCACGCAACACCCGAAGATGGAGGTGTAGCAGCTAAGGTTACAAGGATGCCTCAGTAGCTCATGGCAGAGATAGCTTTGCTCCAAGACAAAAGAACATTCTAAGTGCTCCTTTCAATCGCGCGTCCACTGTGGCAGGCCAAAATGCGGTGTTGCATCTGCTGCATCTCGCCAACTGGCCCTTGAAGCTGTTGCTGAATGCTCGATGTGGACACTTATCGCAATCCGATAATCAGATGCTGACTCAGCATGCCATATTAATCAGCTTTGATCAGATAAGGACGCGGTTTCTCATCTTTCAGCTCACTTCATGCGGTCAACAAGCTACAAAGAACCCATCAATTACTGCACAAAGTCTCTGTAATACGAATATCCATTTACATGGAGATAATATATTGAGCGTGTCTAGTTACTGAGAAATGCACTCTCGTGGTGCGGTGGAATGATGATCTCCCGAAGCAGGTTGCAGACGGCAACCTACCTGCTCGCGGTTTGCCCGTTCTCCATCGCTTTCTTAGTGTTTATGAATTCAGCGGTGTCCTTTGTCGTTACTGACTTGATCCGTCTCGAACACGGTCATGGTGACGCTGTTGGGACCTTGGGGTTCGCAGACGAGTTACTCGCTCTCGTTGCTTGTCCCGTGTGGGGGTTGATATCAGATCGTGTTGGAGCAAGATATGTAAGGCTTAACCCCTTTGACTACATTTGCTTGGTGTTGAATGTATCATCCTAACTTGATAGTAGGTCTCGACCATCGGCTATTTTATCATTGCTATATCATTAGTACTCTTTGTGCAAGCCAAAAATGTCTATCCTCAGCTCTTGCTTGGAAGGCTTCTGTTCTGTCTGGGTGGCTCTGCAGTGGCAACAATGGTGACAGCACTACTTCCGGCTATCACTGCTAATCAAGATATCACCAAATGTCCGGTTCCCGGTATTGCCGAACCTCAGAATGGCGTGCCCAATACCACCAACACCACCTCTGATTTGCCTAGCAATGGCCAATCCCATCGAGAAACAAAGCAACTACGCTCAAGAGGCTCTGCACCCCGACTGGCCGGGTACGTCGGCATGCTGACAGGCTGCGGAGCTCTGATCGCCCTTCTGGTTTTCTTACCTCTGCCAGTACGTTTTCAGAAGGCTGGGTATTCGCCCGTGCAAGCTATCAGGCTCAGCTTTTATATTGTTGGCCTTGTAGCACTTGTTGTTTCCGTTGTATGTTTTTTCGGATTACGTGGTCTTCGAGGGGATGAAGGGAAATCTTTCAAGTCTCTGCTTGGCTTCCTTCAGAAAGCCGACAATCCACACAGCGAGGAGCAAACCATAATGAATACAGGGAAACCTGTTGGCTCCTCTTCGCGGTCTTATCTAACCCAGTTTACCACTGCCTTGAAAGCGGGAGTGACAAACTATAATATCGGGCTAGCCTACATTGGTGGATTTGTAGCGCGGTCGTCCTCCGTCGGCATCTCCCTATTTATCCCACTCTACGTGAATCAATACTATCGACATTTCGGCCTCTGTCATGAAGGTGATACGTCTGCTGGGACTCGACCCTTCAGTGAGAACCCGGGCGATATCAAACAATCCTGCCCCCGAGCCTATGTTGTTGCGTCAATCTTGACTGGCGTGTCGCAGCTAGTGGCCTTACTATGCGCACCCTTGTTTGGCTACTTATCCGATAAGTCGCGCATGTATAATTTCCCCTTATTAGCGGGCGCGCTTTTAGGGTCTCTGGCTTATATCATGCTGGGATTGCTACCAAGTCCTCAAATCAACGGCCCACAGGGGAATGCAGCCATATTTCTCGACATGGCGTTTATTGGCATCAGCCAGATTGCCGCCATAGTCTGCAGTCTGGCTATCTTGAGTAATGGTATTAATGGTATTCTCCCGGCTGCAGGTAACACAGAGCAGGAAAGCCACGATGACACACCAAATGAGCGAGTCAACCCAGGAGCAGTGGATTCCAACGGACAACGGATAATTGAAACTACAAACGAATGCTCCCCCTTACTATCCGGCGATATACGTCCCCCTACTTCGCCACAGAGCTTCGTTCACATCAAGGGTTCGATAGCTGGCATGTATTCCCTTTGGGGAGGTGCTGGTATACTCATTCTTACCAAGGTTGGCGGACTCATGTTTGATAAGCTCGCGCCACAATCTCCCTTCTATATCCTCGCCAGCTTCAATGCATTACTCCTTGTCAGTGGTTTAATTATCGGGCTCAGGCAGCACTGGGACTCAAGACTTCGGCGTTGATATCATTGCTAGAAGCTTCTACCCTCCCCATCCTTCACGTCAGCTCGGCGATATGGCGATATAAATAATTTCTGAAACGGCAGATAGGACCTTGGGGATGCTCCGTTCGTGGTATCCCTGACTTATCTACTCGCCCTCGACATAATGTTTAGTTTATCAGTTTTGTGATTACCAGGATACGGAGTTGTTTGATTGAGCTATCTATGGCAGGCCCTTAGTCCGAACAGCCTATGGGCCGGTGTCCCTGGATTGTGGCGTTTCTACTTACTCGATTAGGCTAACAGACTTGAATTTCCAGATTGAGTGTGCTGCAGAGAAGGATGGAAGAATATTCTATTCAACAAGCCTATTTTCATGCAGATCATGCAGCCTCGTATCCCTCACATCTCTGTAGGTAGATTCGAAATTGGAATGAATTTTAGAGATTTCATCCAGAATGACGGCATAGGGCTGACCTGACTCAACGTTCGCGAGCCGCTGTGCGGGAACCTACACTATTGTATTTACGGAACCTATTTTTGGAAGGTCATCCGTTAATGAAAACGGATGGAATGAAGCAAAGCATGTTTACTTTGTGTTTATTTTTGGATTATATCTCTTGATCGTGACTTGCAATATCGACACCATACATATCCACGGACAACTCCGGCAGACCATTTTTTTTCCTAATATCGACTTAGAAAACCCAGGGGGAGATCATTTGGTTCCCGACTAAGAATTTTGCATCTTCGACGTATTGGGTCAGGGCGGATGTACGGAGTAGATCCAACCACGTATTTGGACAACGTGGTGGGCTCGAAATATGGCATAAGATTGGTACTGTATGTGCAGCTACTCTGTATGCACACCCTACATGGCCGGCTGGCCATGGTCGACCAGCACACAACACGCAGAGAATGCCAGTCGATCCATGAATCGGCCCCCATGAACCCTATGTTAGCGCTTACCAGTTGGCAGGGCCTACATTAGTCTCTGCGGCGCCTCCCGGGGATATGTCCCCATGTCCGAAATCTAAACAACCCTTATCTGGTGCAGGGGCCCTAGCGCTGAAGAAAAGTGAATGAAGGAGAAAAGCAAATATACCGACATCAACGTCCAATCTGTGCCCACATCCTGCAGCCGTCATGCACTGAAGCAGCGAAGAATTTTCTACAAGAAGAAACACGGATCCATGCATGACGTTAGCGACAAGGCAAGATGTACGGAGTTAGCCAGGCCCCATTCCCACCACCAACCACGGGTGTGATGAGGGTGCGTGCATGAAAATTTCCATCCCGACGAGAGCTGGTTCGGTTATGAAGTTGAAAAAAAGAAAAAATAAAAAGTCAGGAAGGAGAGCAGACGAATCCATAGGGCGGGGAACAGAGATGAGGTCTGTTGCCAGTGGTATAACAAGCCGGAAGAGGCCGTAAACCGGCCACTTCGTCTGGTAGATCTCGTATACCAACCAAGTTCGAGATTGATACCCCGGCCGAGGGGCACTCAAACTATGTCCGAGCAAGCCCCCTTCGACCTCTCTTAGGCCCTCGAAGCCGACGATCTCCTACATCATCCCGCACTATCCTCCGTCGACATTCCTGGAAGGAAGACGGCTCGCGAATGTTATTATATACGGTTTAAACTGGCGAAATCGAAGTCGGCCATATGTCTATGCAAAGGAAACGGAGCATAAATTGTCGGTGTACTCATTGATAGATCGCACCGCCATTCTCACAAGATGAATAATGAGAAACGGTAGAAGCCATTCTGCACTGCAAACAAAGAATGCACCAGGCTGCGATTTTTGAAACCCTCCGATCTCCCCATGATCGCTCAGTCTCAGGTCAAATGAAATAAATTTCCGACCCGCAGGACTCTATAGAGCTGAAAATGTTAGAGATATGCATCTTTTGAAACAAAAGACTCATGGCTCGTTTACTTTCGACCTTCACACTAAATATCGGTCAGACACCACACCGTTCGGCTCCTGCGGGCCATGATATATCCCCCCAAATGCTGGATGCATCCACGAAAACTACGTGGCACATAACGTACTAAGCCATGGTCAGAATGAGGAGCAAACTCCACCATGGGAAAAAGGAAAGGGAATCCAACCCCAGATGAAACCTAAAATTCGTCAGAACATTATCTCTCGGCTGGACTAGGGAAAGGAGACATATCATTGGAAAAGAAAAGGGCAACGAGAAAGGAAAAGAAAGCATGGGAAATGAATCTGGCTAGTTACCATGACCTGCATGTGTCCGATACACGGTTTGAACCGAATGACATGAGTGAGCTGCACCCGGCATCTAGGATATGCAACCAAGTTGCCCCGGCGGAAGGCATGTAGCGCTGCAGTCTGCGAGAAACATAGTCGACATCCCACTCATCTCCCACCCACACATGCTGCGGGATCCGCCTGGTTTCTTAGCGCAACGCATGGATAAAAGCAATGTTCAGTCATGCGGCAGACGTGGAAAGAATGGATCTAGAACTGCAGGCTGCTGACAGACCTGAAGAGTTTATGTCTAATCTCAAGTCTAGAGAGCCCTGCTAGGGAGGTCATTGGAAGATGGCCCTGCCTTACCAAGTCGATCGTTTGAACGGGTGACGAGATGATAGGAGTGCGGTAGGAAAAAAAATTTCCACACCTCAAAATCAGAACCCGGCGCTCGCATGGCTGAAATAGCCTCCCATAGCAGCGGGTTCTTCAGCCCTGAGAAGTCTTTAAGTACCGCAGGTACCGTTGTCGTTTCTAGATGCATAGCTCATTCAAATTATGGTGAATCGTGAATTCCAATGCCAGGTACAAGCTTCACCGAGCATCATTAGGTTTATACAACATCATACAACATAAATCCCTGGGCACACAGAGAATATCACCGCCGCCATCACCACCGTCGGTGCTGCCAAAATATATTCGTTTACCTTTCCCGCGATATAAAGAAATCCCCCATCAGCTCTTGCGATTGACCTCACCGCTCCTCTAATCTACCCGAAGTGAAACAATTTGAGAAAGACAAAAAGAAAAGCGGGCAAATACCGGTCGGAAATTTCCTAGCTGCATCGTGCCTCAAGATCTGGATCCTGGTGTGCAACGGTGTGGTGGAATCTATCTGAATCTCTAGGGTAGAGATTAATTTTGCTGGTCAAATTATTAAACCTCCCGGAAAAACTCAGAGATTCCTAGATGGACTCCAGGCGGCAGATTAAACGCACCGGCATACCACCCTTGAACAACCTTAGCCATGCCGATGCTCGTGAAGAGACCTTAGTCTTTAGCCATCCATCCAATTCGACCAGCATGCCATACCAGTTAAATGAAGCAAAGGACAGAGCTGCTTCCACGTCAAAGAGTGGCACCTTATCAGAGTCAAACGAAAATCAAACAGAGCAGCAGACGATGAGTTCCCATTGCCCACTACAACAGGAAGAGCTCAAGGGCACGCCCCATCCTGAAAATAGATGTTTATCTCAGAGGGAGGCAGGCATATTGAAGGAGAGCTGGAAGCTTAACCACGCCAATGCCGCCACTCAAATGAAGGCGACCACAAATGAACAAGGATCAACATTGCATGCAAGTCAGTATGAACTTGTTGCATTCCCAGGTACATCATGGCCACAGCGCAGGGTTCCCCCAGCGACGGTGCAGAGGAAACAGTCTGGCCAAGAAACATCACGGCGAAACTGGCTACCAACTTCAGCTTGCGATGGTATACAGCCGAACCCCGGCAACGGGGGTGCTCGCCCTCATTTCGAATGGCAGGTGACATCTGGTACCAGCAGCATAACTTTCCCTGCTACAACTATAGGCGAGCTCGAAAGGAGTGATGCAGACACCGAACCTCTAGTTCCAGGATATCTCGAATCCTTAAACATCACCGGATGGATGGAGAGAAATGGTGACGGATATTACCCATACTATCCCCAAGGCATACCTTATTCAGCCATCCACTACCTTGATACCCAGTCTCACTCATGGACGGACATTTCTTGCTCAAATATGGCCAGCGTACCGACTCAGCACCAAAATTCACAATGGGAAACGCATAACGAGGGTCACAGTCCCGATTATGGTTTTTACTGCAGCCCCGGGTCCCCCTTTTCTTCGGCACTATCAAGTGCGGCGACACCAGACCTACCACTAACATCGACCAACCCTGGGTCCTTGGTCGCCAGCGAAAGCAATATGTATCTCGAAGATCTGGACCTGGATACTGTGGGAGAAGGGCAATCTCGAGGTGGTTCCAGCGCAGGCGCGGATATAGATGGTCAATTTGCACTCAGTGACGGTGCCAACGAAGATCGGGTCAAGCGGAGAGGATGCCGCTCATCCTGCCAGCGCAATGACGAGAGAGATGCATTTCTGATAGAGTGCAAGCTCTCAGGGATGTCCTATAAGGAGATTAAGGCAAAGGGAAAGTTCACAGTAGCAGAGTCTACCCTGCGAGGCCGTTTTCGAAGCTTGACAAAAAGAAAAGAGCTTCGAGTAAGGAAGCCAGGCTGGCAAGAGAGTGACGTGAGTATACCACCTCAAACTGGAAATGTCCAGCAATAAACAATGGGACATAAATGCTAACTTATAACCGTTTGAACAGCTGAGACTCCTCTGTGAAGCCGTAGCCCGATTTTCTGAACCTCTCTCCGTTATAGCCCCAGGAGAAAGAAGGCTACCCCCGAAAATCTCCTGGAAGCAAGTTGGAGAGTATATTTGGAGGAATGGAGGTTCTTACCACTTTGGAAATGCGACATGTAAAAAGAAATGGGCTGAGATCCAACGCACCCAAGCATACGCCCAAGCGACGGCCTTTAACTAGGCGCTCCAGCTTGGGCACACCTTGCTTCCTTTAGCTCCCTAGAAGTCTGATAGAAACTGATAGAGATAGACACACTGTAAATAGATTAATATATATGTATCGATTATCGATATTCTTGGAAAGTAGCGTAATATCGTAATTCGCTTCTCTACCTGGTTCATAGAGCTGATACTCGTATTCAGCTTGCATGCAAACATATCTATATGCCACGAAGAATCGAGGATGGTATATGCTGGGGAAGTGTATATCCAGAAATGGACAGATGCGTTTAAATGATCAAAATATCCGCAGCTTTAAGCCGGAATTCCAACGGTACTGAGAATCTTTTCTAGCATCGAAGGCTGCTGTTTAAGGGCGTTCCACTCCGCTTCAGCTTTAACCATCAACGTTCCCGCCAGTATCGTCCCATTGAGTTTTACCAACCCTTCATCAACGAGGCCACCTTCAAGTGCAGGCTCTAGTGGAATCCAGGCATGCTCACTTCTGCGTGGACAAATCATCATTTTTGAGGTCGTCATGGCTAGGTTATAGCTAATAGCGGCTTCACCATGGGTTCCTAGCGCTCTCGAGGCGGAGATGTTACTCAACAACGACTCCGAATGTTGAGCGGCAGAGGTCACAGCCATTGCATACAGGGACAAGTATGCCCGATGTAACTCTTCCGGGGTTGGGTTGGAGGGCATCGCGGCTGTATAGGTAACGAATGGCAATTTCTGCTGCTCAGGTACCTCCAATCCCTCGCTATTCTCGATATGATCCTCTGCGTCAATCAGGGGCGCCCAGTTCGCGGCATCATCAACTTGACGCATGTCCTCTACAGGTAGGAACTGTAGATGACGATGGGGTTGGCTTGCACCACTATGCTCTCCAGAATTGAAGAAGGCAAAGAGACGCTTCTGCTGCTTTACAGCCTGCGTATCTTCTCTCCCACCCTGCTCATCAGCCGGCTTTTCCCACTCCTTTAGGCATGTAAATGCTGCATGGAGATCGTTTGCCTCCAGCAGATGTGTCTGCGGCTTGAAGTCCTTCGTTGCAAGAATGAAATGGTTTGGTATGACGGGGAACTTGTTTAGAACAAGGATATGGCTCGGGCTGGATGCCGGTATCTGGGCGATTAGGAGGTCGGTATGCGGGTTTTCAAAGGGGTCTATCTTCGGCTTTGGTTTCGCATCCTCGCTGCTCGTACTGGTGGGCTGTGGAGGGGTGTTGTTGGTCGGCTTGACTGCCAGCGCTGGACAGTATCTGAGTTGGAACTATTGGTCATTGTCAGTACTCAGGTATGATATTGGGTAGAGTAGCCTCGTATAGCCATCTCTAGAGAGAGAAAACGATCGATCTTACGGGAACACTGGACGAACGCAGCGAAGTCACCTCTGTTTGCGAGAAGACCAGCGACCCGGCCTTCTTTGCAGTTGTAAATCGTCGCCCAACCAGCGAGGCGAGATGTTCAGAGAGGCCGAATAGCATATTTTCATTTCGAGGCTCTGCCTTGGTCCCCATGGTTATTATATTATGCCTGTTTGACAAATACTAACGCTGGTAAACGCAAGTCGATCTCCGTCATCAGCTGTTTAGTGTCGCTGCGAAGACGTTTCACCTGCAACTCCGCAACCTCCGGCCTGACGTCAACGATGTCAACAAATATATAAACCACCACCAACGCGCCGTTTCGTGCCTGAGATATAAATCCAGGCCAGCTCTAAGGCGTCTGTTTGTTGAATTATCTACCTATGATTCAATAATACGGCCTTTTTGTTGGATATTTGCTACAGTATCCTCAGAGCGTTGTCCTAACTTCACCCACGGATGATGCTTCGATTGTTCTGCCTTACAGGCACTCAGGCATCGATATACCCAGAAGATGAGATTGATTGATTCGTCTGGCCGAAAGAGTCGATGACCCCAGCGGAGATTTCAAAAAGGGCCACGCATAGGCATCAGTTTTCCGTGAGAACGGGGCCGGCCACTGCAACATACCTAGGCAAGACAGCCACCGGACACCTATATCATCACGAGGGTGTCACTAGAGACACCTCAAGCAAGTTCTGCCCATCTTGGAAAATGCTCGATTTGCTCTCAGGCACCGCTCGCCTCGTGAAACCAGCAAGGGGACGCCTCTGCCGGTTTGGTTTATTTTTATGTGGTTACACCAAGTGCAAGACCCTACATATTCGACATCGGAGGGAAATCCATCATATTACGAAGAAAGATAAGATGTTCATGTCCGCGAGGATTGCATGTGGATGCCTGCGTGTAACAAACTAGGTACCGACGATTCGGACAACTTCCTGGGTGGTGGCTTAGCTCGAATGCAGATATTGCATTGTAATCAACGGGTTGGACGTCGTGTCCTCGCCAAAGCATATACTTTGCGTACTGTCATCAGCGAGATACTACCTCATGGACAATCAAGGTTGGATACATCTGCGGACGGAGGATGCTTGCTTCGCGTGGCCTTCGAAGGATGGCAGGTAGGGGTGGCGGAGGAAGTTAATGAAAGGAAGACACTTGCATACTTTGTGCAGAAGTTTCCGATAGCTGTTGTCGTAAGACACCCTCCATGCTCGTTTCCCGCCCAAGTTTACCTGTTTCAGAGGTGGTTGGCTTTTCATAGGGGTTGAGATATCATTGGAGGCGGCTCCTCGCAGAGCATGCATGGACACCCATAGCCTGGAGTTTGTTGTACCCATGTCTAAGACACCCTTAGTCCCTCGTGTCTATCCCATATCATCTTTATATTACAAGCAATACGATGAGGTGGAGGTGGAAGCTACGGAGGGTTAATCGCGCCGATCAACCATGTCCAATATACTCCCGTCCTATCATCAACGGCTAACGTCAGTGAAGCAATAGCTTCCATCTAGTCAAATACCGATACAAATCCATGAAGGATTCCGCTGGTGCGACTCTTGGGGCGATCCTGCCTGGCTATTGTTTCCCAGTGCCGTTAATCAAAGAGAAAAAAACAAGGCAACGAAAATACCCATGATACTTGATAGTGTCATCAACCGCAATAGCTATCCCCGGTCGAAAGACTAGATAGCTTTTCTCGTGTGGAAGCTCGCAATTTAACACGGCGTCGAATCACATTGCAGAAGCTCACTTTTCCATCAATTGGACCCCTTCGCACGGCTTCTCTCTCCACTTCCTCTTCCTTTTTAACTTTGGCCTTCGCGGGTGCACTATGGTACCACGTTGTACCTCTGCCGGAGGTTTTATTCTAAGTATATGGAAGTCCACCGTCTAGTCAAAGACACCGATGCGGGAAGTAAAAAGGACGGGAGAGGCCTACTATTGACTATATGGTCCGATAGGTCGGGTAAGCTCCATCTTGGTTCGTCCGCCAGGCCTAAGCCCTGCTGCATGCATGCGTGCCTCAAGCCTTACGAGCATGCAGGAGCAAAAGGGGCATTAGTTTGGGGGAATTGGAGACTTGAATGTACAGTATCTCTGGGATGCTTGGATGTCTCCTTGCCCGCCCCTTTTTACCTTTCCCATGGCCCGTCCATTCGCTTTTTAACATTTCAATATCAGCTATGCAAGGGCATATCTGCCTGTATATACATAACCTTGACAGGGTGGTAACACGTTTCTAGCGTTAAGTTTTGACCATCTGCGCTCGTTAACCAGTAATATACCTATTTCCTCTTTTTCACTTACTGGCTGCGATATCAACATGTGCGGGCAGGTAAATAAAGTAACCTAACTCGCTTACTAGACGCTTTTATCAAGTTGCAAAGTTTACCAGGGCAATAAAGCGGGCAAAAATAATGAGTAATATATGTATATTTTAGCTGCAGTATATAAAAATGAGTAAAAAGCATTATCTTAAAAGGATAAAAAGAGGGAGGGATAGAGTTGTCCAGACGATCAACTGGAGAGGGTTGGATGAGTCGGCAGAGCAAGACTGTCATAGGCTACCAGGAAGTCGTTCGACTATCTAGGAATATGCAACGTATGTGATCATTAATCAACAATTCAAACGGTCGGGGGTCCTCACAAGGCTGCGTATCGAGCGTTCTGATCGCCATGGATATCGTGGCTGCCATTGGACGGAGCGCCGTATACTACCATATTCTGCATGCATCCCGCCAGACCGTCAGAGTTACGAGGAGACCCGGACAACGAAAAGAGACCGAACTGTGGAGAAGGAGCCCAAAGGGGATTCCTACAGACCGCAAGATTAGGAGCAGACGCACTCATGGCTCTGCGAACACAGTAGGTGAGGGGGGGAAGACGAGAGTTTTCCCTTCTGCTTCCCCCTATCCCTACGGTTGCATGCATGTTGATACTCGTGCCTCCGCGCTACCAACCTGCCTGTTGGTGCGCCCCAGCGTAACGATAATATCAGCGCAATGATAATTATTTTTAAATAATCACTTTATCAACTTCATCATTTTATTTATTAACCACCAATATGTTATCTAGCTCAGAAGATATAGAAATACGCATTCAAAAGGCTCTAGATCAATATTCTCGCGATAAAAAGCAAAAACTCGCGGTTCTTGCCCGTGAATATGAGGTTCCGTATCAGCGACTCCTCCGCCGGTCAAAAGGTATCCCATCGAAGTTATCTACGCAACCAACTAATAAATGCCTTACGGAGGATCAGGAGAAGGTAGTTAAACAGTGGATTCATCAATTAGACCGTGCCGGCCATGCCCCAACCGTGGAGATGGTGAAGAATTGCGCAAATAGCATCCTCCTACGAAATCATACAGATCCGGATACTGAACCACCTATTGTTGGAAAAATGTGGCCATATCGGTTTATCCAGCGCTTGCCAGGCTACGAGAGGGTAAAGAGGAAGCCAATGGACCCAAAGAGGATCGAGGTAGAAGATCTAGGGCTTATACAGACGTTTTTTGATCGATTAAAGATCTCCATGAGGCAGCATCACATCCAGCCAGCAGACCTTTACAACATGGATGAAATCGGCTTCCAGGTTGGCCAGGGAAGGGGAGAGATAGTTATTACAGCCTATCCGGAGCTTAATAACGTTATTTCCTCGAAGTTCTCGCGCGAGTTAATTACTGCAATTGAAACTGTTGCTGCGGATGGCTCTCTTCTTCCACCTTGCCTTATCCTTGCAGGGAAGCATCAGATGGAGGACTGGTATCTAAATACGTCCCTCCCAAGCAACTACTTCATTGTAACAACCGAGAATGGGTATACAACTGATGAGATGGGCTTCCAATGGCTACTACACTTCGATACTTATTCAAAAAAGCGACAGGTTGGCCGGTATCGAATGCTCTTAATGGATAATCACGGATCCCATCTTACACACCAGTTCCTATCTTTTTGCGAAGAGAATGACATTATTCCTTACTCTTTTCCGCCTCATACAACTCACCTGCTTCAGCCGCTCGATGGGAAGCCTTTTCAGCAATATAAACACTACCATTCAAAGGCAGTAAACAAGGCTGCAAGGGTTGGTTGTTCTCAGTTCAATAAGCGAGAGTTCCTCGTGGCTTTAGAAGGCGTACGAAAGGAGGCATTTAAACCAGCAACAATCATCCACTCTTTTGCAGATAGAGGCATCATTCCATGGAATCCTAATAAAGTCCTTGAGCCTTTACAGAAGAGGCTTAGTCCGACACCAGAGCTTCAAATGTTCGATGGAGATGCTTCTCCAGCGGCCCCGTCATCTCAACTATCATCACCGAAGACAGTACAGCGACTCCGGGACTGTATTACCAAGGCAAAAAGGAGTCTAGATGATGTCCAAAATGAGTTGGATTCGATATCTCCTCGTCTCAATAGCCAGCTACAAAAGATATTTACAGGAAGTCTTGTCCAGGCGGAACTCAGTGCTCAACGGGGGGCAGATCTCGATGACTTTTTACGAACAACCAAGCGATATAAGGCTCCAAGGACACGTCGCAGGGTGAACGTAGGTGGCCCCTTACGGGTAAAGGATGCCAATCGACATATTGAAGTCCGTAAGGCAGAGGAGGCAAAAAAGGAGTGGGCAAAGCGGAAGAAGGCAGAGGAGCAGCTGGTCCAAAAACACCAAGCAGATCGGCCAACTTGGCATCAAGAGTTTGGTATTATATATAACGAAGATAGAGATACGATTAACTATCTCGAAGGCAACCAAAATAACACTATATAGTGCATAGTTGGGTGTGGATGAATTTAATAAGTTGATGCTTTGGTTAAAATTATCGTTGCGCTGATATTATCGTTACGCTGGGGCGCACCAACAGGCAGGTTGGTAGCGCGGAGGCACGAGTATTGGCCAATTCGGAGATCTCCTCGACCTTCCATGTGTAACGCAGTATCCCCGTGCATATTATACAGCCGTACGCAACCGTGTACAATGCGGTACTCCGGACGTATACACCGTCTGATTGATAGAATCGTGATGTAATGCTACATGTCCGGCTGATGGACCATAGGGCTGATAGTGCGGTGCAGGGATGGGAAATCTTTTTCCATCGATTCCTTCACCGCACCGGGCATTAGTCTGTGTACCAAGACGTTAGTATTGCTGT